TGTATGCTTTGAAGCTTCCTATGTGATCCAACCAACATAGATTTGGATTTTTTAATATTTAAAATCATATCATTATTTTCACACCATATTTTAAAAGTTGCTATTTCGTCATTAAGTTTATCACATATATCATCAACGGAACTTGAAGAGTATTTAAGTTTTGTGTCATCCGCATACAAATCAGGCTTTGTATGATTTAGTTGAAGTGGGAGATCATTAATATACAAGGAAAAAATATAGGGCCTAGAATACTGCCCTGCGGTACACCAAATGTTACTTTTTGACCTGAAGATATGTTGGTATTTATTTTTACTTTTTGAGACCTGTTTAATAAATATGATTTGAATCACTTAAAAGAAAGAGAATCAAACTTATACATTTCTAATTTAATAATAAAATTGAGTGATTAACAATATCAAAAGCTTTTTTAAAATCTAAGAATACAACTCCAGTGTAGTTTCCTTGATACATGTTAATTAACAATTCTTCAACAATCTTCGTTAGAGCTGAGTGACAGGAATGGCCGTGTATAAACCCAGACTGGTACTTATAAATCAAATCAAATTCTATCAAATATTTGTATATTTGGGAATAAATAATCTTTTCAAAAATCTTTGGTAGAATTGGAAGTACAGATATTGGTCTATAGTTGTTCATATCTTTTACGTCGCCACTTTTTATGGATAGGTGATACTCTTGCACACTTAACGGTTGATGGGAATGTACCTGTACAAAGGCTTAAATCTAAAATATGCGCAACAGATTCAAAAATTATTGGAGCACTTAGTTTTAGAATTTTAGGACCAACATCATCCAAACCCATAGATTTATCAATTTTAACTTGTAATAGTTCATAAAATACTTCTATTGGAGATAAACAATAAAATTTAAAATAGTTATCACCAACTTTTTCTTCAATAAACTCTTTTAACTTTGGGGATTCGAAATTTGATTTGGGGTTAGGAATAACTGATTCAGCTACAGTACCAAAATGTTCATTGAAGTGTTCACAAACTTTTCCTGGTTCATTGACCTCAGATCCTTGAAAAGTAACACTTTCGCATTTACAGCATATCCACTGTACGTTGGATTTTTCTAGAAGTGCATAGTCTTTTTAACAGAGCTCTATGCAAGAGTTGTGGTGCCAGATGTTACACCCATCGCAGCATACTCATCGACAGTTCCATGTGACTGTATGCTCGCATAGTCCACAGGGATATACAGTTTCTTTTGTTGGCGGTTCAGGATTTAATTCGATGTCTCCACTTAAAGTTATCAATGATAGTAGGAACAAATATTTATTTTTAGCATTTAGTATTTGTTGGACTAGTTGTTGGTGAGTCCATGATTTTGTGTGTTGTGTTGGTATGATGAGCAGTACATGCATGAAAATAAGGGTCACTGCAAACATAGTGATTTAATGTATTGTGGAAAAACCCACGCTGACTAAATCTGCCTTCAATGATCTTATTTTGAGGATGGTTTATATGTACAACTTCCCAGCAGTCTCTCTTGGTCTGTTCCGAGATCTTCTTTCGTCAGTTTTTTGCTAAAAGCTCGCCTGGGTGTATTCCGTCCTGGTATAGTCCAAATTCGTAGCTTCTCTTCGTTTCCTGTCTTTCCCGCAGTGATATTTGCTGGTGTTACTAATATCTGAGGAAAATTCTGGTGAGTGGCTTCCTATATGTCTGTTTATTTCTCGTATTTTTCCGTTCAGTGTGTATAGTTGTCTCTATAGTTCAGTGTCCTGTTCTTCAAAGGTACCCGGATTCTTGTGACCTTGTTTGGTATTCCAGTCTTTATATTTATGTTTATATAATACAGAAAAACGCGTAAATAATTGAATTTAATAGAAAACAAAACAAAATAACGGATTTAAGAAAAAAAGCGGAGGGCTAAAAAAAAATTGTCTTGTCCCCAAGTATCCATGTTTAAATACAATCAGCCTCACTTCTTGATTTTGATGCAACCAACCATTTCATGAGGAGCGAGGGATTCTTATCGTCGAGTTGCCAGTTGCGAGTTAAGAAAGTAGAGTTGCGAGTTACGAAAGTCGAGTTGCGAGTTACGAATGTCGAGTTGCGAGTTACGAAGGTCGAGTGGCGAGTTACAAAATGATTATGTTTCTCTAATTTCTTAAGAATTATATATATAAACGGTCGTATATATGAACGGTCGTGTCGTCTGATTTTTTAAACAGAACTTCAGGTTTGGCTTCGCATTTAATAAACAAAGCATACATGTACCCGAACTTTGTTATACACTGCATGAGGAAGGGTCCCGGTATTTTGATTGCAGGATTTGAAAGAGTTATGTGATTCTTATTTATAAGAGTCTATATGTTGCAAAGTCAGGCACGCTTAAATTTCTTTCATGAGAGCGACATTGTTCATTTTCTAAAATAAAACAGGATATACTGTTAGATATAAGACAAAATGTATACGGTACTGAACAAATCAAGCATAAGAAATAAATCATGTAGACCAATGAAATATACTTGCAAATTATCGACATCTCACAGAATATGTCACTGTGTTAGCCCTAAAGTAAATATTTATCAAAGGTACCAGGCTTATAATATTTTCTACGCAAGACGCGCGTTTCGTCTATACAAGACTCATCAGTGACATTTGAATAAAGGATATTCATTAGAATACCAAGTGCTAACTCTTCGTCTTTCGCAAAGGTTTAGGGTGATATAGGCACAATTGCACATTTAACTTAGGAAAATATCTCATGAATTAGTTAGAAATGTGATATGCTATGTGCTTTATGTGATAAATTAAATAATTTTGAACTTTATAAACTTTGTGATTCAACCCCAAGCAGAGAGTGCACATATAAACCAAATAGTTAATAATCGAGTTGTTCAATGTATACATATATCTGAATACTACAACGCAAAAATAAGCATGTTATAGATGTCTTTCTATGGCATTATGGTAACTTCCTGGCATAGGAGATCATAATATGATTTTTTTTTTAATTTGGAAAGACGTTATTCTACAATAAGCTTATCGCTGTTACAAAAAAATAAAGGAACAGTTTTAAGGAATGATATTGCGTGTGTTTTTACGGTATGAGCACGGAAGCCTTGTCTGTCACAAGTTTACTTTTTTTACCTGCATGCAGCCTTGATACAAATGTTGTAGTTTCAGATATCAGCTGGATATTGTACATGTTTCTAAAAAAATGTGCTTCCTCTTCATTTTATTATCATGCATATTAAGCCTTTCACGAGAGCACCTGAAATTTTTTTTACCCGGGTAAGTATGGCATCAAGTTGTACTTTCAGGCATCTGCCATCCATATTTTGGAGAGGCGTAGGGTTTGTTTTTAAGAATTGTTTGATTCTGAATTCCTTGAGAAAAAACATTTAATTGAAGACATATAAAATTGCATATAACGTATACACATCGATACATGGAAAATCATTATAAAAACTAGATACGGACAAGAAATAAAATATCCTATAGGCGATAATAATAGTGGATTTTGCTAAGATTGGTTCATGGACACGATTATTTATAAAATTTTATACACACAATTAAAACTTTATGTAATCAATTTCCCATCTACTACACAATGAGTTTCGTGTAAAAAAAAAATTAAAAAGAGTTATATTTGTCAGCATTTTATTCCTAAATTAACTAAGTTGATTGATTTGTGTATGATTAACCCATTTTTTGAAAAGAAGTTACATATTCCAAAACTGCGTCTTTTGTCTCTTTTACAAAAGTATCTTTGACAGATACATGTATAAAATAAAGAATTGAAACGGGGAATATGTCAACGAGACAACAACCCAACCAAAATATACAAGTCAACCCAAGGCCACCAATGGGTCTTCAACACAGCGAGAAATCCCACACCCAGATGTAGCCCCGAGCAGGCCCCGAAACACAATGTACACTAGATCAAGAAAATGGACGCCATTCTATGCTCCGAAACATATAGATGAACCAAAATTTAAAAATATACAAGTCCAACAAAGGCTACAGGTTCCAGACTTAGGACAGACGCAAAAATGCGGCGGGGTTAAACAGGTTTTATGAGCGCTCAACCTTCCCCCTTCACCTCTAGCCAATGTAGACATATATAACTTATACCTCCACAATTTTGAGTGTCACTGCCAAAGAATATTTTTTGGGGTCCCTAATGAATATTAACTCTGCAGCTGTCCCCAAAGAGCCTACTCTTAACGAAATCTGCAAAAGGGGTCTTTTCAACATATATGTACTATAGTTTAGTTGCTATCTCCCTTTACGTTTAATATGACGTTGCTAGCTATGAAATTTAGTAATCATGAATTAAACTACAAGCCATCCGCTGTATTTCAAAAGGCTATATGTTTCTTCTTGCGTAGTGATTATGTAAGCAATCCATTCATTTTTTTACACGAGACTCAGATGAAGTCCAAACAACAAAAAGAATCAACAATACTGTATACAATTCTATAAGCAATCATCATTCAAAAATGTTTTCACATGTTTTTCGAGGATTTTAGAAATGAGTGGTAAAATAACAATTGGTCTGTAATTAAAAACATCCTGTTTTGAACCTTTGTTCTTATAAACTGGTATGACTTTTGCCAGTTTAAATGAAAATGGAAAAATACATTTTTTAATACTTAAGTTAAAAATGTGACAAAGTGGTAGTGAAATAGCATGAGAAGACATCTTTAAAAACTTTGCACTTATGTTAGCAAGACCTGTTGCTTTTGATTCATCTAGTGCTTTTAGTTGTAAACACACAAAATCATTACTCATAAGTGGTATAGAAAAATACACATTATCTCGCAACTCGACTTACTTAACTCGCAACTCGCAACTCGACAACAAGTGAATCTCATGAGGAGCGAACCAAATAACCAAAAGCATATGCGCATTGGCCACGGTATCATTGATCATCATGAGCAGGCTTAGTTTCGAAACAGGTTTAAAGTCCGGAAATACAAGCATGATCGTCCCGATAGTCCCTGGCTGTTTTCTTCATTTTGAAATTTCCGGTTTGCAGACGATTTTTGCATCAGAATTTGCTTCAGGATATAATGACCTATGGTCAGAGGTTAGCCTTTTGAATCCGTTTTGAATCTTACTCGGTTAGTATTTCATGATTTATTGACTTATGAAAAATGGTTTACAATGAACTGTCATTGGGCAATGGCCAATGTCTTCAACGTGACTTCTGAGTGTTTTTCACTGGATAGATATTGACGACTTTCAGTGGTGTACCGTGTAGCATTGTAAGCTTACGTAATGCTTAAGCATGGGCTTACAAATAATTTTATAAAACATTTTTTTTCGATAAGAGGGGGGGGGGGGGGGGGGGGGGGGGCATGCGTCTGCGTCACCAGATCCCCTGCTTACAATTTATTTTTCAGTGGCCATGCCACTGACTTTTTAAGAAATTAAGTTCAAGTTGGTTCATTACAGATTTCAATTCTTATTTTTGTAACGTTTTAGTCAAAGACAAAAATTCAAATAAATGGGAGCACACAAAACGTGAGAGAAATTTAATACATTGAAAGTAATGGAAGTGAAGTGTTTCATGCTGTTAAAACCTATTTATAAGCATAGGGAGTCATATTTTTTTTATTTAAGTTGCATCAGAAAACATTTATTCAACCCTGCCCCCCCCCCCCCCCCCCCCTTCCAGGCATCTATATAACATAATTTAGCTCTGTACACCATTTTACCAAACAGCTAGCTATTACCATGCATGCAAATAAAGACATACAAAACAATTTAAATATATATTAATATGAGGATGGTTACAGGTTGTTTCGCGCCTCAGTTCCTGTTTGTACCAAGTTATTTTGCTCTGGTCAGTTTGGCCCAATTAAAATATATATATGTATCAATATCATAGAAGAAAATCTCATGTATTCTTAATGCTTTTTTCCATTGTTCTGAATTTTTTTTTTGGATGGCTCTTTTAATATTTAATTGGTGTATCTTTATACCTCGACCCCTGGAACAATCAATATATCCATTCAACACAAATTTCCATTATCACTAATTTCCTACATTATACCTTGTTTAAATAATGGTATGTAGAGATTTTGCAGTAAGACTATTGTATCATCGCAACGCAGCAATTGCAAGATTATTGATCTCTTGTCAAAATAAAAAAATGTCTTATAATACAAAGAGCAAGTAAAAAAAACATACTTACCAGATTGTCATCTTAATGACACTCAAAATGTAACATTTCCTAACTAAGTACCCATAAAACACTTAACAATTCACATTATTGCCCAACAATATTGATTTATGAAATTGGTGTGAAATGACTAAGAGGGAACTGGAATCGGGGCGAATGAGAACCAGGGCAAAATGAAAGAAATTCAAGAGGATGAAGTCTATTGGGTTGCTTTTTAAAATGGTCTAAGTTATTTTTTTCAAAATTAATTAATTGAATAAAATTGATTCTTATAGTGGGGAAATCATATCTTTTTTTAGCTCACCTGGCCTAAAGGGCCAAGTGAGCTTTTCTCATCACTTGGCATCCGTTGTCCGTCGTCCGTCATCATCGTTACATTTTACAAAAAATCTTCTCCTCTGAAACTATTTGGCCAAATATAACCAAACTTAGCCACAATCATCATTTGGGTATCTAGTTTGAAAAATATGTCCGATGACCTGACCCGCCAACCAAGATGGCTGCCATGGCTAAAAATAGAACATAGGGGTAAAATGTAGATTTTGGCTTCTATCTCTGAAACCAAAGCACTTTTAGAGCAAATCTGACGAGGTTAAATTGTTCATCAGGTCAAGATCTATCTGCCCCAAAAATTTCAGACAAATCAGACAACCCGTTGTTGGGTTGCTGCCCCGGAATTGGTCATTTTATGGAAATTTTGCAGTTTTTGGTTATTATTTTGAATATTATTATAGATAGAGATAAACTGTAAGCAGCAATAATGTTCAGCAAAGTAAGATCTACAAATAAGTCAACATGACCAAAATAGTCAATTGACCCCTTAAGCAGTTATTGCCCTTTATAGTCAATTCTTAACAATTTTTCATAAATTTTTGTAATCTTTTACAAAAAATCTTCTCCTCTGAAACTACATAGACAAATTCAACCAAACTTGGCCACAATCATCATTAGGGTATCTTTTTTAAAAAAATGTGTCCGATGACCCACCTGCCAACCAACATAGCCACCATGGCTAAAAATAGAACATAGCTGTAAAATGCAGTTTTTGGCTTATATCTCTAAAACTAAAGCATTTAGAGCAAATCTGATATGGGTAAAATTGTTCAGCAGGTTAAGATCTATCTGCCCTGAAGTTTTCAGACGAATCAGAAAACCTGTTGTTGGGTTGCTGCCCCTGAATTGGTAATTTTAAGGAAATTTTGCAGTTTTTGGTTATTATCTTGAATATTATTATAGATAAAGATAAACTGTAAACAGCAATAATGTGTAGCAAAGTAAGATCTACAAATAAGTCAACATTACCAAGCTGGTCAATTGACCCCTTAAGGAGTTATTGCCCTTTAAAGTCAATTTTTAACATTTTTTTTGTAAATTTTTGTAATCTTTTACAAATATCTTCTCCTCTGAAACTACTGAAACAAAGGCCACGATCATCATTAGGGTATCTAGTTAAAAAATGTGTCTGATGACCCTGCCTGCCAACCAACATGGCTGACATGGCTAAAAATAGAACATAGGGGTAAAATGCAGTTTTTGGCTTATAGCTCTGAAACTAAAGCAAAAGCATAATGGTTGCATTATTTCATGCATCAATTGTAAACAAAAATATCAGGTGAGCGACACAGGCTCCTTGGAGCCTCTAGTTTCATTTTGCAATGATATTACAAAAAATCATATACAATAATCATAAAAAACATTTTAAGTGGAAATACCATTCATGATTGAGGCTTGAAGATACAATAACCAGATTTATTGAATTTGTTGCACAATTACTTTTAAAAATATCAAAGCAAGCTGAAATAGGGAATCCTCCCCCAGTGTTGTTGATCAATCTATTATGCATTTTATTTATGAAGTCATTATCTATTTTAACAAAGAAACGCTGTTTACACTATTTGTTTCAGGTACTGTTATTATCTTACATTGTATTATAGTTCTAATTATTACTACATGAAATCCAACAAGATAGACACATTCATGACATTGATGTTTGTAAATGTTGTTTACAAAAATTCTTATTATTTATCAGGTGAGTTTTCCCTGAAACTCATGTTGCTTTGTATCCTATATTATAAAATTGCAAAATACATATTCGTTGGAAAGTCACTGTACTTAGACCACCTAAAGATATTTAATTTATAGAAAGATTCTGACAGCTTTGTTTATTTACTACCATGCTTTGTCAAGCTTGGTGCCTAGATTACCGTAGATAAGATGAGATAATTTATTTTATTCAAAGCCGAATTTGTACAACATAGTTAACTCAAGCTTTTATAAGGCAATAAACAACTTATAAATCAACAGTAAAATAATTCATGCAAAGTTAGGAACAGAAACAAGATGGCAGTCTTATTTTGTAAAAACATTGCCTAATTATAAAAATATCTCATTAAAAATTTGATGGTACATGTTTTTAAAAACAATAAGAGGTATAAAGAGAAAATTAAAGATACATTGTACATTTTTCCATCTAAAACATGCACATTTTTGGGTATTCCCATTCCAAGTTAATATAAAAAAATTTTAATTGTTCATAATTTGTTTCTTTTCTGACATTTTCAGACTATGTTCCATAATATGACGCAACATATCAAAAAGATTTTTTTCCAAAAGACGTTAAACTTGTTCTAATTGATGGAATTAAAGTAACATATCTAAAATGTACTTTGTGTTTGATTTATACTAACCAGATCATTCAGACTTGAAGGAGCTAGGCTGTTTATGATTTTAAAAGTCTCTATCCATCATGCTATCGCCATAGTTCTCATGCATCTAATCCTAAAGAAGGGTATCTGAGCTACATCAGGCAATATTTCATTATCTAAAAGACAATCGTTCAAGCAATGACTCGTAATCTGAAAGACTATCATTGTATATAAATATCAGAGCCCTCTCCTGAATTTGTCCTATCTTATTGTCCCCCGTGAAGCGTGTTGCAGGGGACATGGAAATACCGTCTGTCCGTCTGTGTGTCCGTTCGTCCGGTCTTGTTAGTGCTCTCACAGGTACAATTCTTGCCAGATTTTTATAAAACTTATACTATAGGTTAATCAGTAATATCTCGGACAAGTTCTATAATGGTGGCCGATCGACTTTTTTAAAAAGAGTTATGCCCTTGGAAGTATAAAATATGTGCAAAGAGGGGGACATTGGAACTCTGTTTTTTTATTTCCATTTGATTCACTATAGAAATGCCATGAAAGTGGACAATCATTAAAATTTAAAGGTGTGAAAAAAGTTGCTTAGTTTTGATAAATTAACACCAATTCATTTAAAATATTTAATTTGTTGTTTCCTTATCACTTAATGAAAGATGATGCAATAAGACAGCAGCTGACCAACTTTGTGAACTTCATATAATTCTGGTGACAAACTCACATGATTTTTAAGAAGGCCTGCAAAAGAAATTATGATTGTATTTGTAAATAAACTCATCATAGATACCAGGCTTAAAATTCCTTGCCTTCTGCATGTCATCTTTAAACTTTTCAGCAATCAGATAAATACAAAACTGTGGACCATTGTATGCTCCTTTATGACATAATCATTTAGAAAATTATGGAAATCATATTCTCTTTATGATGACGTTTGAAAAATCAGGAAAAAAATGAAAACCAGAATGTATTTCTTACAATGTGAAAGACAGAAAACGAAATTGAAAGATTTTTCCACTGTTTTGAGAACTTTGTCATATTAAAGAGTTTTATTGTCATTATAAGATGACTTTTACCTCTTTTTTTGCAGAAACTTTGGTAGATAGAGAGAAACTTTTAGTGGTTTAAACCCCCATTAATATACATTAAACAGCAAAATAATCATTGATGCAAGATCTATACAAAAAAAATCCTGGTGAGCAACTCAGGCACTCAGGAGGCTCTTTTTTTTTATATAAAATATTAAATATTGTGTCAGTGTATTTTAAAATACATGTAGATGAATTTAGTAAGCATGAATACAAATATCAAATATGCATTTTGTATTAAAAAATTGCTGGAGTTTTTTAAACTATATTTTATTCATATAATGGGTAGCTGTCTTTTTTCAAATTCTATATATTTTACATACTGTATAAACTAGAATGATTTATTTGATTTATTCACAAAACAAGCCCTTTATTTAGGACAAGAACAGAATACTTTATTAAGTCTCAACATTTGTTACAGATAAAATATACAACATATTTAAAAAATAAACCACAAGAGCTCCTCAATAAAGAGTTATAAGGGACCATAAAACAATTTTATATACAAAAACAAGACAACTATCATGAGTATAAAATACATTTTCGCTTTATTAAAATTTCATAAAACATCCAAGTTTATGATGTTTATATTTCATTGATGACAATAAAATATAACCATAGGCTTGTCAAACTGCTACAATGGTAACTCATTAAAAATCTATTATGTATCACTGTAGTTTCTTTTGAAATCCTACATATTTTAATTATATTCTACAAGACATACATGTTCAATCAGTTTTAAACTACTTTACTGAGATAATTTTGTAGGTCACTTACTTAAGATAAAGATATGGAATAACAAAATCTTATCTTCATTTTGGAACTTCTCAGGACAAACTATTCAACATGGCACAACTGTTTAAGAAAGTGTTCTCTAAATATTTAGTTGTTACCAATACAGTCACCTGTGGTTGTCTGCTAGGAGCTGGAGATCTTTTAACACAGAATATAGAACAGAGATTCATGCATAGGAAAACAGATGAAAGTTCAGGTGTTAAAATAAACTGGAGTAGGACAGGTAAGAGGTTTATAAATGAAGAAAAGGATAGGTAGGAAAACAGATGCAATAAAATTGAGAATGGAAGCGGGGAATGTGTCAAAGAGACAACAACCTGACCAAAGTGCAGAAAACAGCCCAAGGCCACGAATGGGTCTTCACAGCGAGAAAATCCTGCACCCGGAGATTACAGGTGATAAGATAAAATCAGATCTTTTACATTGCTCCGTTTCATTTGTCTGTTGCTTGTGTTAGATCTAAAAATATCCTATAAGAGTCCTGTTTAGATGACTTTTAATTCAAAATTTATAATCAACCAATTATTTCAAGTTTTACTTTGGCACTTTGGGTACAGATATGTCCCTGCAAATATTTACACATTGAATAAAAATTTCACAGTTATTGATGAAAAATTTTATAGACTTAGGATTTTTTATATAAAAAATAAAACAAAACAATGTATATTTACTATTTTTCAAAGAATAAGGATTTATGCAAAATTACATCATGCAACAATCACTTCTAAATTTTGACATCAAATGTTTTTAATTGTGATGCAATATTTTGCGGGAACTTGACTTAGTGACTTAATTCATGTTCAAAGGATGAGAATGTAAACAGCTACATTGTTTCAACAGAATGCTCATAATAGTTGATTTGATTTATTTCCTTACAAGTATTTTGCGATTGGTCCAAACATTGTTTGTTGATGTTGCGAATTTATGACAGATGTGACCAAACCAAGGTGGATACAGGTGGCAGGTATTAAATAAAGTTTATGTCAAAAGTGTTTCATGAAGCTGCATTCATTCAGACTACCAAATGGATTGCAAGCAGAGAACAAATTTAAATTGATACACTTAACAAAATATAAGATTTCTGCAGAATTCTTTTGTTGTTGCAGGATTTGGACTAAAATAAAAACTTGTGTTGTAATTTATTTGATTTTTATACCAAAACATGTATGTTCTTGCAGGAAGGATGTTTTTAATGGGTGTAAGTTTGGGACCATTAACACATTTATGGTATAGTCATATAATAGAGAGGTTTATTAAAGGAACGGGAAACAAGATGGTGTTCAAGAAGATATTAGCCGATCAGTTAGTAGCAGGTCCTTGGTTTTGTTCTTCATTTTTCTTTGGTAAGTTTAAAACAAAAATAATGATACTTATTATTTCAATGCAGTTAAATTGTATTATGGAAATTCAAGTCTTCATGCCAGATCAAAGTAAGTAACTATAGTTGGCTTCAGACCACTTCAGCCTTTCTCCAATATTGCACGATTTCAAGTTTCACTTGGTTTTTAAAAAAATAGTTGCAAGGTTTATTAAGTTTAATTGTATGTTAAAAAGTTATTTATTACTTATTGGAAGTTGGAGATTTTCTGTATCATATAAAACATAATAAAATGGCATTGAACTCCATCAGTCTATGTGGAAAAAAGTTACTACTTAAGTGTAAAGTAATCCCTCTTTTACTTAGTAAGATAAAACCACTGAACTTTTCACTTTGACTTAATGTACCACACCAAAATCATAATCTGACAGATAGATGGAGGTAATATGTCAAATACATGAAAACAGTGTTATAAAAGCCTTAAAAGAAAACTGTAATTAAGAATATTTTTGATTTATACTTGATATGTCAATAAAATATCATTATTATAGGTCTCTTCATTTTTGGATAATAAAGATGTGTATGTTTCTAATGATAAAACAACATTCTGAAGGCAATTTGATATACCACAGCACTGTTATTAAATATGAATAAAATGAAAGAAAAAGAAATTGACATTTTGACTGGTTTGTGTGGGTTAAGTATTAATAAATAATTCAGTTTTTATTAATTTTTTTTTTATTAATTTTTTTATATTTCTATAACATATTTCTATACACTACCATTTGAAAATAACTTTTGTTTTTAATTATATACATATGCAAATATGTATAAATGCCAGGGCAATACATTTTGACACAGGATAAGAAGCACACAAACAATATCATGAGCTTGTCAGCTTGAACAATAGCAGACCATAAGTTGATGTCTTTTCTGTTGTTGCTGTCTTATTGACCTTTTTCCAACACATTGTTTTATCCCTAACTATGATAAACATGATGTGACATGATGGCATTTTTTTTACAAGTATATGTAAAAACCAGGATATTTTATCACAACAATCAGACAGTGAGAGGACAGTCTGACAGATTAGAGAACAAACAGACAGATGTACAGGTAGACAGACAGATAGACAGACTAGATTGAAGTAATATTAGTTTCCATGTCAGGGAGGGGACTTCCATGAAAACAGCATATATTCTGGTTAAAGAATATTCTGGTTAAAGAAATATTTTTTCTTGTAAAAAACAACTTTTTTTTTTGAGAATTAATGTAATGTATTTATTATTGTGGTAAAAAGATATTCATACACAAGATTAAGAAACATTTTGATGAAATAGTATTGATTTGATGGAACTCTTATTTTTGGTTTTTTGTTTTTTTCTATAAGCCAGTAAAACAATTATATCTTTTTTATCTTGTTTTTGAATTGGTTGACAACTTCATTCTCAAGTTCAAATTCTGAAATGGTCAGTACGACTTAAAAGAGAAAAAATATATTTAAAACTCCTGTTATGTTCCAATTGGGTCATATAAAATTTCACTCTTAATATAAATTGGTCTGACATCTTGTAATTGTTTTTGCCTCTGCTGTAAATACTGCAACAAGAACTTCACTTAAAACCTTCATAAATTTAGGAATGGGATTGTTGGAAGGGAGAGGAGTACAAGGTGCTATAGGAGAAGTTAAAGAAAATTTCCTTCCTGTATACTTGGTAAGTGTGTTCATTTAAAAAAAAAATTAGTCTGAGGAAATATACAGACATATTGCTTAAAACAATGTTAAATTACAAAACATATATTGAATTATGGAAATAAGTTTTGCATTGTTTTAGCCAGCATTTTAAACTACTGATCATGTATGAATTGTACAGTAGATGACATGTGTTGTAAACTTTCTTTTAAGTCTAAATCAATTGACAAAATAGAGGTTCAGTGTTAATGGAACAAACTCTTAACCAATCACAATGCAACCAAAGAAACTACACTAGGAATTACAGATTGAATTTAGCCCTTAAGGCTCATTTATATAGTTTTATTTTCAACCTTGACTCAAGGAGTCTGGATATGTGTGAAAATCCTATAGAAATAGACAATTAGATCTTACGATGTCACGTCGAATAAACATAATTGTAGCTAAGTAGGTGTAAAGGAGTGCTTACAACATGAGTGATTTTACTGAAAGTTCATGTTTATGTCAACCAGATCATATAGTTTGCTTAGTTCATATGCAGTGTCTTTGAAAATATTATGTACAAATTTTCAGTTACTGGATTGAGTTGTTATATTGACAAACATGTCTTCTGTTTAAATATTTTCAAATGCTGTCAAATATAAAATATATCCTTTTTGGACCTCAAATTACAAATTACCATGCTTTTTTAAAAGCACAATTTTGTTTGTTGCTGTCTATAAGCTCTTGCATAATGTTGTGACAAGGACAACTTATAAAAATGAAAAGAGAAATGTTAAGAGTCATTAAAAATGTATCAGTATGTATCACCGAGTTATGATTTGCCATATGTCAAGTAAATTATTTTAGTTTCAAAATAGAAAAACAATTTGGTTTTTAAAAGTAAATTATTTTAACATTCACAAAGTTGAAGTTTAAATTCACGCATAAATATAAAAATGAAATTGACCATGTAAGGTATTTATTATGAAGACAATATGGAGGGAAACAGGTAAATTAAATTGAGTTGTCTCCCTTTAATAATAGCTTGGATCTTTATCAAAACTGTTGGTTATTTTACCATAAAATTTAAGGTGATTTTTCCAATATCAGTTTTCTACAATGCCATGTTGTTTTTGCAATATAAATACAACATCTTTTGCTCCTTCCATTTGCTGTCAGAAGATATGTGAAATATAAAATTATAAAAACAACAATTTGGCAACTTTTCCTTGGTTATTGAAACAATTCTTATCAGGATAGTTGGTATGAGGGTTCTGTAGTTCCCATGGCTTAGTTTTGACCCAAAGACAATGGTACAAAGGTATTAACAAAAATGGTAGAATTCAAGGCCTTATTGTCACCACTATTACCTTATTTTTCTTTCCTTATTGTTATTGCTATAGCCTTATTTTTCTTTCCTTATTGTTATTGCCTTAATTTTCCCACCTAACTTACTGCTATATTTTCTGTCCTAACATACTGCTACTTTTATCACTATGGTCTTAAGATTCTTTCCTATTTTTATGCCCCCGCCAAAGCAGAGGGGGCATTAAGTTTTACCCTTGTCCGTCTTGACTTACGTACATCCGTCCATACGTACGTCACAAAATTGGTTTCCATTCTCTAACTTTAGTTATGCCCCTTTACAAATGGAAAAATTGCAAAATTTTTCATTTCCGTTCTCTAACTTTAGTTTGCCTCAACCAAATGTAATGAAACTTATACACAATGCTTCTTACCACAAAACACAGATCAAGTTTGAATTTTGGTGGCATCACTTTAACCGTTCTCGAGTTATGACCCTTTACAAATGGAAAAATTGCTGAATTTTTTGTTTCTGTTCTCTAACTTAAGTTTGCCTCAACTAAATGTTATGAAACTTATGAACAATGCTTATTACCACAAAACTCAGATCAAGTACAAATTTTGGTAGGGTAGGGTCACTTTTACAGTTCTTGAGTTATGTCCCTTTATAACATTATATGCAAGCGGTGGCATCATCATGGGACACATTCCCCATTTATTTCTCTAGCCTTTATTTTCTGTCCTTACATACTGCTATTGCCTTTATTTTCTTTCCTATGCATCTATGATAATAAGTTTCGGCAACAGCATTTATTTTCCTCAAATATGGTCATCCCTGGGCATCCCAAGAGTGACTGGGGAATAGAAATATGGTCATTTTGATCTTCCGACCCGCAGAAAAACCATTGCCAAAGTGGGATTTCAGTTTGGCTGTGTGGGATGTATTAAGTATATGCAGCAATGTCCAGTCAGAATGGGGATGTTAAATCTGATGCCTCGTGTAGAGATTGTGCCACGCTCTCTGTACGTTAAGAACCCTTGCAACAACTCTTTGAGGGGTCCGTAGTTGGCCTGTTGCAAGGGTTAATTTCTGTCCCTATCCAATATACCCTCATTTTCAAGTGGCAGTCAAAATTTCCCCAACCTTCATCCCGGATGCCTCTATTACAAGACCTGCTTATTTTATTTATTGTTGATTTGTTCTCGTCCTGAACGTGCATGAAATATTTGCCACTGGTTGTTAAGCAACAAACAATCTATCAATCGTCCCTGGACTCCTTTCAAGCAAGGTGCTAAACAGAGGTATCTGTTTGCTGTATGGGATGCACAGAAACTCAGCCATGTTTGGTCATAAGGGGGATGCTAAATCAAATGTCTTTTAAAGGGAAAGTGCTCTCTGATTGTTAAAAAACCCTTAACTCTTTCTGAAAGTGACATTTTAAATTACACAAAAATAAGGTATTTAATTGCCTGTTTATTTAATAGGTAGACTGGTGCTTTTGGCCACCAGCTCAGTTCATCAACTTCAAATATGTACCATTAGAGTATAGAGTAGTATTTGTATGCACACTGACTTTATGTTGGAACACATTTTTATCATACATGAAACATAGGGTAAGTAATTGTATACATAAGTTTGTTAAATAATTTGGGATGAGGAAAACATGTCAAAGCAGACGAAAGATGAGCAATAAATATAGAAAAGAGATAATGTAAAACAATATAGAAATCATCCTATTATATAGCATGTGGGGCATGCAATAAGACAGCAACCCAATGACAAAAAAAGAGTCAAAAGATATCTAAAGGTTAATACTGTCTTCGTAAAGTAAATCAATTGTCCTAACAATATGTCATGCTTAATATAATTGTCCATAGTCTATTCTCATTCTCAAGTTGGTGGTTGACAACATTCTCTTTACATTTTTCTTCCTAATTCCTGTATTTTTAAAGAAATTGAAATTATTTCCAAAGTATGTCTTGAGACAAAAAAAATAGGGGAGATTTTGTTAAATTCCACCTACTCTGGATTCATTATTATTCGTGGGATACAAATTTCTGTGGAATTTGTGTCTATAGGTTAACCACGAATTTAAATGTCCACCGAAGTTCACATTTACTAAAGGCTTGAATACAGATTTGGGTAAATCCACGAAAATATGAGAATTTTGTCAATCCACGAAAATTGCTATCCATAAAAAATGGTATTCACGAAAATAAATGAATCCACAGTATCAATACTTTGTGCTTTAATTTAATCAACTTTCAGAGAATAGCAACTCTTGTCAGACTTTACAAATCTGGTTTGACTGACTGTTTCACACCATTTTCAGACACTTTAATGCTTAATTTTTTCTGTGGTAAAGTATGATAAGTCAGATAAATTTTAGAATGACAAACACTCAAGTGACCATAATATATTTATTTTCAGCATGGAGATTATAAAGTTGAAGCCCCAGCAGTCTCTGTTATAGAAAATACTCAGTCATAGTTATATTTTATAGTAAAATCTCAGTTTTATAAACTTTTATATTTAGGATTTCAATGTACAGTTATAAATATTTTTGATTAAACAGAGTCAAGAATACTCTAATAGTTGAATATCAAGTGAAATATTTATAGTATTATTATTGTATATCATTGTCTTCGTACAATTTTTATTGATCTGCAGATATTTTTATATGATAAGATTTTTCGAAAAATAAATAATAGTTTCTATTTCCCATATTAGTGAAAACAAATCATTGAATGATCTCAGTTGTTTTGTTGTTTTTATTTCAATTTTTATTACTGAATTGTACCCTAAGGGTACTGATATTTCCTATGCTCTTAAAGAAAAAACATGTTATCTGTTTTGTAAGACAACAAGAACAATTTGTTTGTTCAGAGTTCGCACAATGGTTATATTATACATGTAGTTGATTGGTCTTGAAATTTTACTTCACCTTAAAAAAAAAACGCCAAAAAGGGGCATAGTTTGATGAATAGCATTTGTTATCAGCAAATTTTATTGCAGTATTTTCTTATTCTTTATAAAACTCTGTATATGTTCAACAGGTTTGAGGTAATATTTATTGTTGGGAATAAAATAAGAGTCTTAATTTAAATCCATTCCAAATATTTCATTATATATTTAGTCTGATTTTGAAGAGTTTTTCTTTTTCTCTTTTTCTTAAAATTGCTGATGAAATTCCTGACTTTTTTTCAGGAACATATACATTGATTAGATATACTATTCCCAGCTTTTTTCAATAATATTTGTGTTAAAGTTTCCAAGCTATAATAAACCAAAGAGACTGGAAGAAGCACTTTAACAGGGTACATAGAATTGTTATATTCCTTCTGTTTGAATGGATTTTTTTAATCACTTCCTTTTATACAAAAAATTGCATTTGTCAGCATTTTTTAAAGAACTCTTTACAGTTTCTTTGCTATGGAAGGGTCAGTTGACATGTTTTTTCGGTGGAATTTTATAAGACTTCCTGCTTGGGACTGCCAATCAGATTTTTAAGCTCTTAAACTTTTAGAATAATAAGAGACCAAAGGGTTAAATATGGTACATTGTATTCATGCAAATTCAATAAGGCTTTTTTTGTTGAGAGGTTTACGGACTATAGCAACTTATTTTGCAATACTCTTTAAGTTTTAAGTAATAAAGAGATTAAAAAGTCCCACTTATACATGGTACATAGAATTAAACTACCGTATCAAGACAATCACTGTCAAACAAATACAACTGTGTATGTTACAATACTGTGTCACTTTTGGTATTACAGTGTTTAGCTTTATACACTAATTTTTACTAAAATTTACTGTGAAGTAAAACATAAAAGTAATATAAGTTGTAAAGACTATCTACCTCATATTTGAAATAACAGAATATTTATATAATAGTTATTGAAAAACTGGTCATTATCGTGATATACAGACTGCCCACAGGACAGTGGTATTTACTAAGACAGCGATAATGACTGAGCCATAGGCGAGGTCATTATCGCTGTCGCAGTCAATATGGGCAGTCCATGTATCACGATAATGACCAGTTCTTCATTAATTATACTGTTTATTTCATTGAGGAACCATGTTTTTTAAAATTCTCATAAATTCAAATTGTTCAAAGCAAACTCGAGCTATTGTACGATTTCTATAGGAAAGAGTGAAGACCTGTCATAGTGATAACTATAAGTTACTGCCATTCATATAAGTGCAATTTTTCAGTATATAAATGCTTTCATGCCTTCCAGTTCAGTCAGGTTCCAAACGTCTGAATCGCAATTGCATTTTATTAAAGGGACATCACTCTAAACAGAGAAACCACGCCCCACTGGTCATTAACATGTATAAGTTCGTTAACGACCGGTTTTCTGGTCCGTTTTTTTCTGTTAAAGACTGATGGAATTTTTTACTGAAGAATATAGAATGTCATGTGGCCCCTTGTTATCCAATAAGAGAAGCTAATTCTTAACCGATATGAAATAAACTGCATTAAACATATTTTGGTTCTCATTGCTTAATTTTAAACATTGGTCAATTATCAATTCTTTCACCCCACAACCAGCTGGCTTATTAAAATCAGAGAGCCAATAAATAACAGACAGGCTGCTATCACTTTTTATTTATATAATATCAGTTTTGATACAACAGCAAACCTGTCCACAAGACTATCTGCAAGCATTTATGCATTTCCTCATGGAGTTCCTATTGTTTTCTCCTGAACAACTCTATTTTTATTCTTTCGTTAGTATATGCAGGAGTGTCTAATTTTTTATTGAAATAAAGAAGTACTTTTAAGTTATTTTTGTACAATAATAGTTATATTTCTAGACAATCTGATACAATGGGTTGTTGTAGTAAACAACAATTTAATTTGAAGTACATGTATTTGAAGATCTTATCTGTTTTTGTTAAATTAAGTCTTTCATTATTGGAATAAAATTAAATTATTTATCTCTTTGTTTTTCATTTATTCTATAGGTTTAGCTTATTAATTCAATTATTGGCATGCTATTGATTTATTTATTGGGTTTTAATTCCACTTTATATGCATTTATACACTCACATAGAAGCTAGTTTCATTAGTAAAGGAATGATAAAGTAAACTAGATATCTTTGGCAAGTGACTGACAAATCTGACAATCACAAATCAAAAGTAAGATTGCACCTTGCCATTCTTAGAAAATGACTGTCCCTTAATCTCATTTCATGTTATAATTTTTTTTTACAATTACAATAATACCTTTATCTATTTCTATTTGTAAAACACTTGACCAGAACATCAAATTAGTCATATTCAAATTCTGTCTACTTACTTTAATTTGCTGATAGTTGTCTTTCAAGTAAATTAAAAAAGTTTGTCTTTTGAATTTCAAGTGCAATTTTGAATGCTCAAGGGGGGTAACAATATTTGCCAGGGTTTTCTTAAATTGGTCATTCCCACCCTGTGTTTCATCATGTTCATTAACCATACAAAAACTTGCTATTACCATATTGTAAACAATTGCTCTTGAAGGGATCTCAACCAATACAAAATTTTAGAGGCGTTGGTTCAGCAGTTCTTTATTGAAGGGATGTTTAAACATGTTTTATTTCCTGAACCAAAACTGATTCAACACGTAAAACTTACTTATGAAGTCTTCTCCATGATACTACAGATATAGCAATACAATATTGAAGTAAAAATGCATCACATAATATATAAATCAATAATATTACGAAGTTGAACTAAGAAACAGAATAGGGAAAAAAGGAAAGAACGACAAAGATGATGATGACAATGTGTATTTTACTTGTGAAAATAGTAGTAAGAGCTAGTCATTAGGCATTTAAATTTTTTTTTCTAATTCTGACATTTGACTATCAGGATTCAAATTGATGTTTGGTCAGTACATCAAACTAGCTAAGTAGTATTAAAATTTGGTCAACTAACTCAATTTGATGATTATTGTCTTTCAAAGAAATTAGAAAATTTTTTCCTGTGGATTTTAAATGGAATTTACAATGCCAAAGGGAGATAACTACTGTAAATTGAAAAATAATTGAGTGCATATATCATTGTAAATGTAGCATAATGCACAGAAATGAAGATTTAAAAATTGTGTTTCAGGAAATGCTGCATAAAAATAATGCTATCCAAATATAAAATGTGATTTTTTTTTAAATTTGCAAAACCTATCATGTCACAATTTTTGGCAATAGTAAGTATCACAATAATTTCTGAATTTATAGTATCTAGACTTGGATTTTCTTTCATTGTTGAGAATGACTCTGTGTTTTATCAGCCTTACAGAAAATTAAAAAGTAGAACTTTCTAGTAATGGTTTTCAATGGGTAAAAGCTACTTTTTTGCATTTTAATTTTTTTCAGTTACAGAAGGTTTACACATGTGTTTGATTATTAGGCCCTGTCATTGTTGTTTGGAATCTTTGAATATTGATCATTCCAACATGGCAAAATCTATAACACAAGATGAAGGTTTAAAGACAGTAGAATTGAACCTTTGCTGTATAGGTGATATTATAAATGCAATATATAGTTGATGTGCTACAGGGTCTTTGTGTGTGTGTTTTTTTTTTCTTTTTGCAACCTGTCACTTTGAAATAAATACAAGTCAACTATCATTAAGCTGACCATACAGTTGCTTTTTATACGCCTGTTTACGGGACGTATTATGGTATACCGTTGTCCATCTGTCCTTCCGTCCGTCCATCTGTCCGTCCGTAGTCAACATGTCGAACAATAACTCGAAAACACTTTAACCAATTTGCATGAAACTTTTGTGAATTGTTAATATCTATTGATGTGAGCTCCCTTTCGATTTTAATAAATTTTGGATTTTACGTTTCAGAGTTATGGGGTTTTATTCATTAAAAAAGGGGGATTTTCCCGTTTTCGGACAATAACTAAAAATGCTTAGAACAGGTTTCATGAATCTTTGGTGAATTGTTTATGTCAATTGATGTGAGCTCCCTTTTGATTTTTTTAAATTTTTTATTTTACGTTTCAGAGCTATGGGGTTTTATTCATTAAAAAAGGGGGGTTTTTCCAGTTTTCGGACAATTACTCAAAAATGCTTTGAGCAGTTTTCATGAAACTTTGGTGACTGGTTATTATCTATTGAAAAAGCGACGGGCGTATCATGAGCTCATGGCGCAGCTGTTTATTTAGTACTGATAGATATAAGAAAGAGGAGAATCCCTTCTTAATTGACCTTATGATAGTGGTCACTCTTGGACAAAGTATCTATGATATGGAGAGAAACAATGAAGAAAAGGATGTGTAACTATATATAAATCATGGACAGCCAACAGGCAATCTGCAACTTTAATATGTGTTCCCAAAATTGTATATCATGAAATGGGAGAGTTAAATCCATGGCTTGATGTTGATTAGAATTTTTTTCAAATATAGAAAATTAAGAATAATGCTATAGCACAAAAATACCATTGGATCTGGAGAAAAAAATATATTAGAAAAATTATGAAGGAAATTGAAATTAGAAAATTAAAGATTTGGGTAAATTGACCATAGACAGTTGAGCATCAAGCACATAGATATACTATCTATTGTTTTACATTTGGTCATTTTGGGGCCTTTTTTAACTGACTATGCGGTATGGGTTTACTCATTGTTGAAGGCAGTACAATGACCTATATTCATATTGTAAATTAAGTGAGTAAAGATTGTCAGGTCTAGAATGTGAAATATAGTTAATTGTCCTTGAAACAACACTTTACTGTATTAGTAAAAAAAATTACGAAAATTCACAGAAATGATCATCTTTGCTGAAGTATTGTATTACTTAACAGATTTGCTTTGGTAATATGGAATGGTAAAATATAGCTTTTGACATAAATCAAAATGTCCTTTAACTTTAAAATCATTGTATATATAAAAACTAGGAGATGTGGTACAATTGCCAATGAGACAACTATCCACAATAGTTCAAATGAAGTGGATGTAAGCAATTATAGGCAACTGTTCAGCCTTCAACAATGAGAAAAACCCATACTGCACAGTATGCCATTTACATGTTACAAGCATTTCCAATAGATTGCAACTTGTTTTGTTAAAAATATTATCACACTAATTCCCCAGATTGGTACACATTAATAACATCATAGTTTTAAAATTCAATTTTAACTACAATTAAACTGAAGTCAAGCTATCCTTCATAGAATTCTGTGTATCATGATTCCATGTTTTATTATAGTGTTGATGACATAATAGTTCTTCCTTGATACCTTAGGATGGCCTGAGGAACAAGGCATTGATGTCATACTAATAGGAAGTACATATGTCTAGTAATCTACAAAATTTCTTCTACTCAAATTATTGTTTTTTTTAATGAAAATATACTATTACATATTCAACTGTTAAAAGGAGAAATTTTGTACACATTGTAAAAATTCATGAAGAAAACTTAAAACCGAATTTACCAGATGATGGTTATTGTCAGTGGTTACAAGAAAAGAAATATTTGGTAAGTACTATTTATCAACAATTTTGTAAAAAAAAAAATTAACAAAAAAAGATTTAAATAGGATTATATATCATTTTAATAATAAAAATATATATATTATATGATTTCAATATAATAGATATAATAAGGTTAATTTCTTTACCAGAAAGACTTTAATCTGAAACAGCTTTAAAATATAAAAAAAATAAATTTCATATGATCTTTTGCCGTCTAGTTCAAATGCAATATTTTGTATTTAAAATAATAATTTTCTTTTTTTAGATTTATGAGTGAAACACTTTAAAAGATCTGACTTTAAAATAACATACCATGGGATTTTGGAAACAATTGTACCTTCTAAGCTGGAAAAATTTTACTCTTCGAAAAAGACAAAAGGTGAGTAAAATTTCTCTGTACCTTTGCACCACATTGTTCTAGTAGAACTTAGAGAACTAACATTTCTTGACTAGGATTGTTGGTGCAAATAAATGATTAAAATAAAATTACAAAGGATCATCATATTCTCTCTGTATTACAGAAAGACGAAAAGGTTTTACAATCCAAATTGCAGTTTGCTAAAAATTACTTGTATAATATGGGCCTTTTTAAAAAAAAATTCCATTTTTGACAACTGGAAAATGAAAAAAAAATGTTGAGAAATAAGTGATTTAATTGTACATAGATATAAGAAGATGTGGTATGAGTGCCAATGAGACAACTCTCCATCCAAGTGACAATTTGTAAAAGTAAACCATTATAGGTCAAAGTACGGCCTTCAACACAGAGCCTTGGCTCACACCGAACAGCAAGCTATAAAGGACCCCAAAAATGACTAGTGTAAAACCATTCAAACAGGAAAACCAACAGTCTAATCTATATAAAAAAAAAAGAGAAACGTCAATACTTTAACATCAGTATAAACTAAATACAAAATATGCATCCTTAAACTGAACGGTAAGTTTGACAACTCTGTAAAAGTGAACATGGTGTACTAAGATGTCCCCTTCGCAACGATTTGTCAAGGCTCTACCATGATAAAAAATTGGAATTCAAAGGTATTTTTTCTTTAAAAATCTGACAAAGTAAATGATTTTATACGGTTTAACTATTTGATTTGTAATTTTAACTACTAGAAAATATTACAAGTCATTTTTGAAATATTCACAAATGTCCACTGCATAACGATATATGTCCCCTATGAAACCCTAGGTGTCCACTACGCAACGTATTGTATCCACTTCGAAATGAAATGTTGAGTAGTATACCGTTGGGCAACAGACGTATTTACAAGTTAGCAGCCATTGTTGTTACAAGCAGTTTCTCAGATACATGTTTTTTATGATTACTGTCTTAGATAATACATTTTATTTCATAAACTCAACGTTTTTTATGATTTGAGGTCAACATTTCTTAAAAAAAATAAGTTGCAAAGTGGACAAGTAAAAAAGTACTCTATCAATAGGACTTGCCAATTGATTCAATGCAGACAAACTATATCATCAGCATCCAAAGATGACCGCCATTTTACTAAATGAAGTTGTATTAGTGACAAGTAAAAGGAAAGACTAAAATTTGAATGAAAGAATGATTATAATTTTCCCAATTATTTGTTGTCGTTGCGATGAAATTTTGAAAATTTGAATAAACTTTCAAATGTGGACAGTGTTTTTTGCTGTTTATGAGCCCTTTGGTCTGATTTTTTTCAGAGAGTCAATACCACAAAGCAGACAAAAAGTGTTGTTGTTGTCTGTTATAAGTACAATTTATAGACTGAGACAACAACAACAAAAAAATATATGATTTTTTCAATTTAATCCCTGGACAGTGAAAGTGGACATTTTTTGAAAAATCACCCATATATATTAATGTGTAAAAATTATTGCTACAATGGGAGTCTTTTTGGCCAATTAATCTTTTGTTTAGCACATCAACAAGTAAGTGTTTTGCTTGTTTACAATTTTGCTACTGTAGAATTGGGATAATCAGAAATTGTATTAAGAGTGACAAAAGTTAACCAAAATAGAAGAGAGTCTGTATTATGAATAAGACTTTACAGTGATAAGCAATCAAGGTTTGAAATTGTACTAATGATTACCTGACTGTGTAAATCAAGAATTAATATTTGATATCATGCCCTGATTATAGAGTGCATGGGAAAATAGTTTCCTATATTCCATATTTCAATGGTAGGGATTTTTTCTGTTTCTTAAGTCGATGACAAACTGACAATGCCATGACAGAAAACAAAGACAAACAACAGTATACAAAACACAACATAGAAAACCAAAGACTGGCTGATTTTAAATATATTATGACCAATTCTGATGTCTTTTACTCTCTATGTAAATGTATCAAGGCAAACTGGTTGTGTTGGCAAGAATTGCTCACTTGCCAATAAATTGATGCCATATCATAACAGCATTGCGGGTGATTTAGATCAGATTGAAGAATTGTGTAAGAAAAATGAAATGTATATCAATCTTACTAACAGGAATTAGCAATCACAAAACATTTTCTTAATTTGACCATTGGGAATTCAAACATTCGGTTTTACAAATTGTCACTTGGATGGAGAGTTGTCTCATTGGCACTCATACCACATCTTCTTATATCTATTAGATTTATTATTGTTTGTTATTAGAAATTAATATATTTAGATATTTGCAATTTTTTTATGTATTTTTTAGTTATGTAAAAATTTGTGTGTATTATTATGAGAGCGTGATGGCCTCAAGGAAGATTGTGTTTGTACAAAATGTACTAATTGAGCTAACCATCTTGAAATAAAGATTATTATTATTGACAATGTTTTTGATCTATTTTACAGTACCACTTGCTATTTGAGTTGATAGCTCCATTGGTTTTATTTCTCATACTGGTTGGAATCAGAACAAGTCCTGGTTTGAAGACTTATCATCATGAATGTAAGTATCAGAGTAAAAAGTAGGTCTGCAAAAGTGTTACTGGTATAATTAATACATAATATTTAGAAGTAAGTTTGTTAATTTTTATACCTCTGTGAAGTGAAACCGATTGTATAGTCATCATTGTGTCTCCGAATTTGATTAGCCACATATGCATCAGAGTTCTGGAAAGTGGTTGTCTGAAGTTTTTGAACACCAAAACTTTGAAAAGGACCAACACAATTTAGGTATTTTGCAATAGAAATAATAGTCAGGACCGGACCGGCAGATTTTCTTCTAGGACCACCAGGAAAAAAAAAGATTTCCAGAACTCTGATGCATATTTAGTTGATTTGTTGTATGCATATTCTGAAACCATTATTTCAAAAATATATAAACCAAAGGATTGATGGTCCCTATTGAACTAATTTACAAATTATTTATATATATCCATTTATATATTCAGATTAATTTAGAACATGACATAAAGGTGCTTTTCTATCATTTAAGACCATATGTTGATCTCCAGATACCTCATTTGATTTGTATATCTGGTGTTCATTGACTTTAATTCAAGAAGCAAACAAAATGTACATATTCAAATTTCAGGTCATTTTAATGGCAAAGCTATGCCTAGTGCTGGGTTATTTCCCTTTCTTCAATCCTTTTTCTGTAACTTCAACAATACTTGTTACAAGGAGATGACACCAACTGAATCAATGGGAACTGTAGACAGCTTTAACCAATCAATGTGAGTATGACATTTACTAAAACAAAGCTTTCATATTCTGCAAAAACATGAGCTATTCAAATGTCTTTTGCTTGATTGTTTAGTCTAACAAATAATATTCGATTATATATGGATAAAGTGTCTTCTTCCTCAAAACCTTAATCAGATTTTATTTGAGGTTATAAAGAAAACACATTCATGATTCAGATTACATGCGGAAACATTTAGTTGGTGTTGACCAGATTTTAAAAGTTTTATCAATAATGAAAATATTATTTTCTTTAAATTCATGGTTTAAATAGCTAATTTTATTTTGACAGTTTTACACAGCTAGCAAATGACATAGAGGATTTGTTTCACAACCATTTAGATAAAGACACAGTTACAGGTTTGTTCAAAGACATACAGATTGGTTCAACATTACTACACAAAATCAAAAATGGCAGTACAACAGGTATGTTAAGCTTTTATTTGTTTATGATATATCATTCAAATCGGTACCTACAGAAAGTTATTGTTATTATTTACTGTTTCTTAACATTGACTTGTTTAAGAAAATAATTTATGATAGATAGATAATTTATTTTATTAAAGTGTCACCATCCATTACAATATCTATATATATATACACAAAGTCATAAAAACCTAACATTAAGTAAAAGGATGGCAGCCGAAATTGACTTATGAGACACTATTATTAAAACAGACATCTTATACATGCATAAAAAGACAACATTTTTACATGTTGAAAGTAGTTAGAAAATAAAAAAAATTATGCAACTTCTAAATAACAATATGTTTTCCTCGGTAAAACATAGAATAAAGGGAACTAGCTAAAAGAGGAAACATATTCTCATTACATATAAGAGTTTTTCAATATCACATGAATAATCAAAATCAGGATTTAAAAGACAGGCTTTGGCATATAATTCATGTCTGATATCAGAGTAAAAAAGACAATTAAAAAGGAAGTGCTTCTCATCTTCAATTTGGCCACTATCACAAAAATACACAAATGATTTTGTATAGGTTCTGGTGGTCTAGCATATCGATCTGTCTCATACCTGCCAACTGTCACTATTTGCGGGGGATTTTCCCCATGGAAGTTCCCAAATGGAAAGTTTGAAAGAGCAATTTTGTCCACAATTTAAAACAAAACAATCAATTTACAATGGCTATAGGATTGTAAAAGTATGAAGAAGCAAATTAACAACATTCCAATAAATTTGAAGGCCCTTTAAAGGTTTTGTAGGACTATGAGAGCCATCTTACACATAAAACCCCCATGGCCATTTTGAAATGTTGGCAGGTATGCTGTCTCAAGTTAAGGTTGTAACAAACCAGCTCTGAATTATGTAAGGAAAATGTTTAAAAAATACAAAATACTTTTTAAAAGCCCACAAAATACCTACACTTGGTAATAAATTAGAAAAAGACAGAATATTTAGATGTGCATGCTAAAATAACTCATGAAATATTAGAAAGACACAAGATATCTAAGTAATAGTACTTTTATTGCTGTTTTTTTGTTGTCTAGGTCTTCAATGGGCCTTTCAAAAATAAAAGAAAGCTTACTTTAATTTTTCAAATGCACATAAACTCATAAACACTATAATAAACCTGTATTTATATAAGGTTTTACATAGCAGCATATTGTTTTTGAAGGTGAAATTAAAGTAGCTAATTTGTTTACCAACCTGACAACAATCAGGGCAGAGTTGAAAGAGAAAGGAGTAAGATTTACTCTGGTAGAGTTTATACAGCTCATGAATGCCTCTATTGATTTTCAGAAGGTGAGAATTTAGTTAAAAAAATACCAAATTGTTGCTTCGATTCTTTTCTATAGTCATATACTGGTATATATATATAAACATATGGTTTGATAATTGTTTACATAACAAAACCATGCAATAAACTAAAAACCTTTATTTGAAATTGAGTTGAAAAGTATATTATAGAGAATGTAATTAATTCAAAGCTTTACCATTACAGAAAATAAGATCTCTTGTAATATCAAATTAAGGAATAACACAACTATGTTTGAAGAGTTGGCAATGTTAATCCTAAGTTGACTGTGGCAACTCTTCAAACACTTTTTAAGTACTGTTATTTCTATTCTAATGTTTCTTTTGTGATACTTGTAAAATGTTCAAAATTAGATATTTGTAATATCTGGAAATGTTGACTGCCATTGCCAAATGACAGACTGATTGTCAACCATGGAATTTAGGTCAGACATCATCCAATTAAAAGTGGCATTACTTACTATTATTACTATATTGCATTAGAATTACAATAGACACACCATGATTTTAAATAATATAATTTTATTTCGTGATATCAAAATTACTATGAATATATTTTATTTTAGGTACATTTGTCCAACTTTAACACAGCTCTAAAAAGTTTTGACAGTTGCCCTGGTACTGAATCTTCCCAGCAGGATGCTATATCTGCCATGTCTCATTCTACATTATGTTCATCATACGGATTACTGGGAAATCTACAGTTTTATCCTGCCTCAGCTAAAGCAAATTTAACATCTAAAATATGTGGATTAAATAATCAACAGAAAACTGATCTATTAATTGTATTCAGATCAGGATTTAGTATCAAGAAGTTTGTTTTACAGGTATATATCTATTTACCCATACAATAGTATTTGGAAAAAAAGGTAAAAATCAAGATAACATGAAGGGTCAAACATGACATATTTCTCACTACCCAACGAGGAGAAAATATATGACAGATACAAAAACAAACAAGAACTGTGTTTGTCTGACTTTACTGAAATGTTTAGAAATAATTAGTTGATATTAAACCATTTTTCACAAAGCAAATATATTATTGAGAAAATCTATAAAGGTTATATTAAGCACCATACATATACACAAAAGCAAATCTTGGTGTTGAAAAAGTTTAGATTATCAGATTTTCTGTATATTGATATCAGAAAATATCACCTGCAAGCTACACTGTAAAGCTTTTTTGGGGAATAAAAACAGTGAACAGGTAAAAAAAGTTTCATATTGTGTGGAGCAACTGATATTTATACCCCACAGAAAAAAATTCTGTAGGGTATAATGTTTTTGACCCTCCGTCTGTCAGTCCGTCCGTCAGTCCTTCCGTCAGTCAGTCAGTCAGTCAGTCCATCAGTCTGTCTGTCCGTCTGTCAGTCCTGTTCTTGTCATCACAACTCCTCTGAAACCACACTACAGAATTTCATGAATCTTTGTAGATAGTAAGGACTTACTTTGTAGATGTGCATATCAACAGGAAGTTATGATTTAATTTTTTTTCTAGGAGTTATGCCCCTTTGAACTTAGAATTTTGGCATAAATATACTACTGTTATCTGCTCTTTGGTCGGGTTGTTGTTTCTTTGGCATATTCCCCATTTCCATTCTCAATTTTACTGCAGCAGTTTGTCATTGCAACTCCCCTGACACCATACAACAGAATTTCATGAAACTTTGTAGATAATAAGGACATAATATGCAGATGTGCATGTATCCACAAGAAATTTTTATCAGTTGACTTTTGTAGAAGTTATTAGTCTTTGAACTTAGGAATCGGGTGAGGTTTGGTTTGCCCAGTGACAATATGGGGTGTAGGGTATGTGAGCATGTTCACAAAGGTTCTTTAATTTATGATAACTGTAAGCAGAAAATCTGATAATCTGTTTATTGTACTATTTCTGGTCTTTTTCCCCTCCCTTTATAGACAGTTCTGCTCTCATATTGTGATGTTGCTGTTTCACACATAGCGACGTCGCTGAGAAGTTCTCCTCACATCAGAAAGTAGTGATACAAGAATAACGGAGCAACTGAAAAGGATGATATAGAAGCAGGGAAGTAAAATAATGAATGATCAAAAGACAGATAAACAATACTTGATGATCAATTATATTCATTACTTGTATTTCATGTCTTGATTTTTCAACTTTGTCTCTTCTTGCAGATGGTGAAGTTTACATTTATTAACACCAGACAGTTTCCCAATATAAATAGAATTTTCACTAATCTAAGAAATGTTTATACCTCGGTGAGTATTCAGATTTTTAAGAAATATACATTTAAGTTTAAAACTATTAAAATTAGATGTTTTGTTAATTTCATACAACTGAATATAATCCAGACATTTTTAATTCAAGTTTGATGTAACTTTAAATTTTCAAAATTTGATATCCATATAGCTTTCAATTAGGATTTTGAGAGACTAAAATATCAATACAAATTGAAGTTTTTATGTAGAAGTAAAATTCTAAAATGCAGTTTTGAATATAATAATACCTCATGTAAGATGGTGTGGGTTTTTTCCCTATCTAGGTCCTTTTTTATTTTGATTGTCTTAAATCTTAACTGATTCAAGTGTTGACTTATTTTCTTTCAATAGTTCAATTAAAATTTAACATAGAGCTATTGAATTAATTTTATGTGTAGCTTCTGCCTAGGTGAAACAGCTTGCCTTTATTTTCCGGAATATTGGTTCCAAATACTGATATTTTTATGACAGATCTTCATATATGAATTAGAATTGACAACTTGGAAGAAAACTGTTTCACACTTCTAAGATTTTGGTTGTAAAGTTTTGTGTAATTGGCTCCCAAAAGTTTAAGTGTTGAGCATACCTAATGAAAGATATTCCAGAAACATGTGATGTGCACACTGATGTCAGTATTATTCATATTTATTATAATTTATTTTTACAGATAAAATCAATGAAAAGTTTGAAACATCGAAAAATAAAAGCAACATTTGAGAAACTGATCCAGTCAACATTAGATAATGGTTCTTTGAATTCTTCCAGTATTGTACAAGCATTAGGACAGTTTGTATGTGGTGGCCATTCCTTTCTACAAGTTCAGAGTGAGAAACCCAGTGACCTGTTATCCAGATTCCTTATAAGTGGAACTAAAGATTACCACGCTGAAGCGTCCTATAATGAATATGGACCTAACGGTACATATCCTTCCTCATTTTCATATTCAACCCACCTTTTATAAATAATGACAAAAATATTCACTCAAAAGATAAATTTTAGAAATAATTGGTAAAAGTAATAGGGGTCATTAGGAGTCAGTATTAACTACATATCAAGTGATGAGCATTGTCATCTAAATATTAAAAGGGAAATATTTCTCTTCAAATGTTTTGTTGTCTATAGATCATTTTCTTGCAGAAAACAATAATATAATGAAGATTTTAAATTAATAAAAATCAATTGACCTTTGTGTTTTACAATAGATACTTTTATTCAGAAGATTTATGAACAAGATAAAAGACTTTTAGAATGATATATCTGAAACAAACAGGAGAACAGAAATGCATCCAAAAACAAATATTACCTAAAATAAAATCATTTAGGTATATACTTTGTAAGACCTTCACAATGGCAATGAATAAGTGTTCTTAAGTTTCCCAGTCTAGGAAAGGGAATTTTATCTGTTTGAATCTATTCAACAGAGGGGACTAAAGAACTTTAAATAAACATTTTTTTCTATAGATAAAGAAGAAATATTTTAAATTTCACTAAAATATGTTTTTTAGACGTGGAAACGTCTGATCTTTTAGATACACCTTGTTCTGAATATGCCATGAAGAACTTGCTATTTGATTATGGTACTTTTCTGTTAATGAAGTCTATATGATAACACTGAAATACTAAATATAAAGATGTAGTAATTCATTGTCGGTCTTATTTATTCATGTAGAAATTTTCTACCCTTACAAATTAGGTCTTATTTTAAAGAAAAAAATAATGAAATAAACTGAAAATGTGATAGCACACACACGTTCTATTTTTAGCTCCTATTTGTCGTAACCTTGTGAATGTTATGAACTCTGACCCCAACACTAAGATGCTGTGGAGATATCTGAAGGCTGTTGTCTTAGGAAAAATACCATATGCTCCAGATACTCCTGCTGTTTTGGAGGTGATCAAAATGGTAGGTTTTTCTTTTTTAAGGGAAAGACAATATGTTATCTTTTAGAAAGTGTCATCCATGAAGGTTTGCCGATCAATAGTTACACACATGTTTGTGTCATTTGTCGTATGTGTTAAATGTGGAGATTGGAGCTGTTTCCTGAAGGAGAAAATTTGTTAGTATTAAACATGCCTATCATTTTAGGTTACATTAGTTTTATAAGCCCCTATCTCTGAATAGTGAAAAAACAGCAGTATGACATGAAAGAAAGTTTTTGATAAAATTTTTGAATACAATTTGATGAGGAAGTGGTTTAAATTGAATAATAAACTTTTTGATAAATGCCCCCATTTCGGTTAAAAGTATATTGCCATAAGATAAAATAATATAGGTTTTTTTTCCATCAGATGAATATTGATGAAAAGGATTTGGTTATTGCATGAAAAATAGCTATTTTTGATTAAAATCTTTAACGAGTTTTAAAATAACTTGAAGTTTTACATCCTCAAGCTACCTTTACATAACATCACAGGTGTCGATTCTAAAGTTTTAATCTAGGTTAAATGTCATCAGATGTCCAACAAAAACACAGATTATGAAAAAATAGTAATTACTTACATTCAAACGCAAAGAGAAAATATAATTACAAATTTACAATTGCTTAGTTATTTAGGATCAGGCTAGAAAGTTCAGAAAAGCAATGTGAATTGCATCATATTTCAATACAGTATGGTTTGCATACCTCCTATTTTAGTATTTGCTTTACAGGGATCCTACCCAAAGGAGGACTAAATAGAGTATATGTAGGCATTTTTTGTCCTATAAAAGTTAATTTTTATAAAGTTATGTGTATTCTGTTTTAAGGCAAATCGAACATTTTCTGACTTGGCTGATATAATAGATATAGCAAAGAAATGGGAAAGTTATGTAGATAATCTCCAGGAATATCTCAAGCAAAGCCATGGATTTGGACTTATACAGGTAAACCGCCTCTTGTCATATCTTCTTTTCTCAGAAATAGTTTTCCTACTAGACAGTCCTTAACAGTGATATATGATGTGTGTTATAGTGTCTATAATTTACAAAGAAAAAAAGAAAATATATAAGGCTGCAGGATTTTGTTTGCATCTGTCTATAATTTACAGAAAGAAAAGTAAAAAATCTAGTCAGAAGGGTTTTGGTTGATCTTATATTCCTTCAAAATCTCCACTTGTTCTAGTTTCATTTATGCTTAAACTTAAAAAGGATACCTTAGGACTTTCATTCAATCTAGAATTATTATACCCTTGCTCTGTCCTTCCATCTGTCATATGAAATGTTTGTTGCACTTTTCTAAGGAACTACAATTCAGAGCTTCCTGAAATTTAGTAACAAGCTTCATTTGAGCATTCTTTTCTGTTAGGTGCATTTTTAGATTCATTTCTCTCATAAATTTCCTGCTTATCAAATACTTGTATGTTCTTATACATAATGGTCATGTTAGAGATTTTTGTTGCAATTTCTCAGGGCGTTCCAAAATTTGGAATCAAGCTTTATGTGTGCATGCTATATCGTTGATGTATCTTCATATCCATTTCTCTTCAACTTCCTGTTTACAAAATACTAATAGAGAGGATATCATTTGTGCACAAAAGCTTACAATTCAACTTGTTATATCTATCTCTGAACAAAAGTAGAGGTCACTTTGAATGTTAAAGGCTACTAATTTTATAAATGAAGAAAATGTTTTACTCTAAAAGTTTGCTGATGTCTGATATTGAACAAATATTTTACATATTACTTCAGAGTTTCTCCGGGTCCTGTTTATGTAACTTGATGGAGAGGAAAAGTTTGAAACAAGACCTTAAAGACCAGCATAGTGTGACATGTAAATTTCTACAGGAGTTCTTTACTAACAACAATAATACAGTAAATTGGGAGAAAATGTTGGTGTATTCAAAAGCCTTGGCAAAACTTATTGCTGATTATGGTCAGGTAAGTACCTTTAATATATTCATTTTTATTATTGGTATTGTTGAAAAATGTACCAAAATGTAATTATTTATTGTGATTTCAGGAAATGCTGCATACAAATAATGCTATAAAAAATTAAAATGCAAGTTTTTTTTGGGGTAAAACATATCCCATTGCAATTTTAACAATAAAAAAAACATTGCAAAAATTATCTGAATATACAGTAGTACACAGTAAAAGATTTTTAATTTCAATGAACGTTTTTTGTAGAAAGCTAAAGCTTGTCAAATATGTCTATCCTTGTATTGAAAAATACAATTATTGATTATGGTGTGAAAAAAGAACCCTTAACCTTTTTCCTTTTCTTAACATATTCAAGATTTCATTATTTGATTTTATTGTTTTGTTGGGTTGCCATCTGACTTATGTATACCTTACATTTCATTTTATTCAACAAGGAGCTGCCACAGATATATTTTAACACTATATGTGGTATCTATGTGACCCATTATACTGTAATCTATTTGTATTTACAGTGTATTGTATTTGACAAGTTTGTACCCTATCCATCAGAGAAAGACCTGGTGAAGAACAGCTTAGGAATGATACAAAACAGAACATTTTTGGCTGGTAAGTTTATGTTTTATATATGTTTTTTAAAGTTTTCGTTTACATGATATACAATATAAAAGAAACATTCTTAATGAGACAGCTGGTACAAAATATTTTCACAAAAATGTAATTCATTATAATGGTGTATGATTTCTTCTGTAGCTGTTGTATTCAATGTGGACAAGAGAACGCCAGACAGACTACCAAAACATGTCAGTTATAAAATCAGAATGGACACAGACAGAGTGGACAATACCAAACAGGTGACAGATAGGTAAGTATTGTCAATACTCAACACAGAGAATCAGAATGGACACAGACAGAGTGGACAATACCAAACAGGTGACAGATAGGTAAGTATTGTCAATACTCAACACAGAGAATCAGAATGGACACAGACAGAGTGGACAATACCAAACAGGTGACAGATAGGTAAGTATTGTCAATACTCAACACAGAGAATCAGAATGGACACAGACAGAGTGGACAATACCAAACAGGTGACAGATAGGTAAGTATTGTCAATACTCAACACAGAGAATCAGAATGGACACAGACAGAGTGGACAATACCAAACAGGTGACAGATAGGTAAGTATTGTCAATACTCAACACAGAGAATCAGAATGAACACAGACAGAGTGGACAATACCAAACAGGTGACAGATAGGTAAGTATTGTCAATACTCAACACAGAGAATCAGAATGGACACAGACAGAGTGGACAATACCAAACAGGTGACAGATAGGTAAGTATTGTCAATACTCAACACAGAGAATCAGAATGGACACAGACAGAGTGGACAATACCAAACAGGTGACAGATAGGTAAGTATTGTCAATACTCAACACAGAGAATCAGAATGGACACAGACAGAGTGGACAATACCAAACAGGTGACAGATAGGTAAGTATTGTCAATACTCAACACAGAGAATCAGAATGGACACAGACAGAGTGGACAATACCAAACAGGTGACAGATAGGTAAGTATTGTCAATACTCAACACAGAGAATCAGAATGGACACAGACAGAGTGGACAATACCAAACAGGTGACAGATAGGTAAGTATTGTCAATACTCAACACAGAGAATCAGAATGGACACAGACAGAGTGGACAATACCAAACAGGTGACAGATAGGTAAGTATTGTCAATACTCAACACAGAGAATCAGAATGAACACAGACAGAGTGGACAATACCAAACAGGTGACAGATAGGTAAGTATTGTCAATACTCAACACAGAGAATCAGAATGGACACAGACAGAGTGGACAATACCAAACAGGTGACAGATAGGTAAGTATTGTAAATACTCAACACAGAGAATCAGAATGGACGTAGACAGATATAATTGCCAAGTTTCAATTTAATGTTGGATATTATTTGGATAGGAGAAAATGTTTCATGTCAATTTCCTGATTTTATTTTTCTGATTGATAAGTTTTTCATTTCAGAAGTTACAATATACTCATCATGTTCTCAAAAGTTTCATTTGAATACTAGCCTGTAGTACACAAATAAAAGGAAAATGAGAAAATATTGATTTCTGACCATTTTTTTTTTTTGTGGATTTAGATTCTAGACACCTTGACCTTATTAATATTGATTTCTGACCTTTTTCTATGTACTTTAGATTCTGGACACCTGGCCCTAGAAGCCGACCTGGACCACAGACCAAATATCTAACCTATGGTTTTGCCTACCTACAGGATATGATAGAACAAGCGATCATTAAGATACAGACTGGTATGAGTAACAACATAGGACTTGTACTACAACAGTTTCCTTATCCTTGTTATATTGAAGACTCGTAAGTTATGCAAATTGATTTCAGTTAGGACATTGCAGACATCTCTTTTACTAAGGGAATTTAGAATGTACAAAATAACAACAAAAAGAAAGTGAGTGATATAAGCAAGAAATTAAAAATATTCCTGGTACTAGCCTGACTGCCTCCTGTGGGACAGTTTAGAAAGGTTTTACTGAAACATAATTTACATTTCAGTTTTATGTATGGTATAAGACAATACCATAATATTCCTGATACTAGCATGATTTATTCCTGTGGTTTGGTATTGACAAGTTTTATCATAATATATTTCTATTTCAGGTTTATGTATGGTATAAGTAAGACGTTACCATTGTTCCTGGTACTAGCCTGGTTGTTCCCTGTGGCTATGATTTGTAAGAATATTGTGTATGAAAAGGAGATGAGATTGAAGGAAGTGATGAAGATTATGGGACTTGGTAATGGAGTACATTGGTTGGCATGGTTCATCAATGCCTTTTCAATCATGTTTCTAACTGTTTGCTTGTTGGTCATAATTCTTAAGGTAATGATAAGTATAATAATATTGATAATTCTTTTTTGATAGAGGATAACACAGTTTGCTAGAGAACTATTCTTCAAATATCCTTATTATGTAATGCATAATTTACTTTGACAAAAAATTACAATTTTAAAATAGTAGATGATAATGGATAAGCAGTAAAAATCATTTATGTAAGAAGGAAAACAATCCCAACATTTAAAATTTAACAACTCAGTAATTAATGGCTATCAGGCCCAGCCTAGGATAGTAGATATGTTTTCCAGTTTGTGTGGCTAATAGTCTGGCAGTTTAAAATTCTGGTTTAAGGTTGTTCACCCTGAAGTTGTGGTCACATCAACTTGGAACTAATTACAAATGTGCATTATGATTTGAACTTTTACAATGTTTGCCAAATAACGGTTTTCACCTCAGACTTCAAGGTTCACTGAACATAGAAATGTGATAGTGATTTAGGGGCATGGTGTCCTATGAACACATAAAATGGTAAAATTGAGTCATAATTGTGTGATGTAAGTTTGTAGATTCAAGAAGTAGTGGAACATTCTGATGTCAGTATATTATTAATATTTATAACAGTATTTGAAGTTTCTATGTAATAATCTGTTTTATTTGTTGATAGAAGGGGTAATAAAACAAACAAATGCCAGTAAAGATGTTTCTGCATAGTACTTTTGTGTAATAATCTGTTTTATTTTGTAGTTAGGAGGAGTTATAGAACACACTAATGCCAGTATATCATTGGCATTTCTTACATTATATGATATTTTTGTGTAATAATCTGTTTTATTTTGTAGTTAGGAGGAGTTATAGAACACACTGATGCCAGTATATTATTGGTATTCCTAACAGTATATGGTATTTCAACTATCATGCAGTGTTTTCTGATCACAGTTTTTTTCAACCAAGCTAACCTGTGTGCATGTTGCGCTAGCTTTATATACTTTGCTTTATACCTGCCATACCTGTTAGCCAGACATTGGGAACATTTGATGTCACTTGATCAGAAACTTGCTGTTGTAAGTATAGGTATATCTTTATACCACTGAGGTCTGCTGTGAAATTTTATAGAAAAATTAGATATTTAAAACACAAATGCCTTCATCAAATCAAAAACAGTTGGTGGTGGTATTTCATAGTCCTTTGTATCTTTTTTGTGGAAATATTTAGATTTATATACATGTTGAGCTTTACTTTGAATTGGGTTTTGTTTGGTTAAGTTCATACAATCTATCCAATCATTGAATCATCAAGTATTTGCTCTAGCAAAAAAGCATTTTAAATAGTAAGACCCTGTCCCTTGGCAATGCCATTGATATTGGCAAGATGTAATAATGTGATATTTTTAATTTACAGAATCAAATCATTTATCTCTAATTTTTTCCAGATTTAAAAAAATCAAAATTACTTGACCTTTATTTGTATAAAGTTTTGAAGTTAATAGAAATATCTACAAACTGGTTGTAATTCTAAATGTTGTATTACTCAATTTGAAGTACATGGTATAAAGTTTATTTGAATGTACATTTATAGAGCCTATCATCTAATGTAGCGTTTGGATTTGGTTGTACCTATATATCAAGGTTTGAAGAACAAGCTGTGGGTATGCAGTGGAGTAACATCAATACAAGTCCAGTCCCTGATGACCATTTTAACATGTACCTGTGTATTATGATGATGTTATCAGATGCCACTATATACGGAATATTGACCTGGTATATTGAGGCTGTATTCCCAGGTACTTTTGTTATTCACATGTTTGGTCATCAGATATATTAAGCAGACAAACATTTTCATTTTGTTCAATATTTTCTTTTTTTATCATAGAATAGGTTGCTATGAATATTTTTCTGATTTTTTAAGTAAATGATTTTTTTCTATGAATCAGGAAGCTTATGTCTTGATTATAATAATTATCAACTGGATATAGTTTAATTTTGAAAATTTAAACTTTTAAGCTTGTTGACAATCACAGAATGTACACACAAAGGGTAGCATGGTAGTTTTTTTTTTTTGTAGTGCTTTAATGAAAAACTCCAAGTATGTTATTCCAAATACATTTTGCTATACATCACTTGCAATTTTCTAATCAATGTGTAGTTTAATCAAACTGGCCAGAATAGGTTTCAAATACAGTAAGAATTAGAGAAAAATAAATGTAAAGTGAAATTCTTCTTTTAGTATTGCTGTTATTTTACATGGTTAATCATGAAAAAAAGCACTACATATCTGTAAGAAAGATATTGGTTTTTGTTCATGTACATTATTTCCTGTTTGTTTTAAAATTCATGTAAACCTTTATTGTGATATTATGGTAGGTAATGAGTTGAACCAAAGTGATGTTAAACTATTACAATGTTTTAGGTAGTTATGGATTACCCAGACCATGGTATTTCCCATTACAGCCATCATATTGGTGTGGTACATCTGTTTGTAGATCTAATGAGGAGGAAGACTCAAAAACCAACAATAATAAAGGTAAGTTCAAAAGTTTATACCTGGACATTTTGTGATATGTATTTTATAAATGAAAAATATCAAATAAAGAAAGGTTATTGCTGAAAGATTGTTTTTTACTCTATATGGAACACAGGATCAAGTTTTTTTCTCTAACCAATAATAAAATGCTTTGCAATAAAATAGTTATGGAAGAAACATTAAAAATTAAGTATTTTCACTTCAGATGCACCTAAACTAGAGGAAGAACCCCATGACAGACCATTAGGTGTATCCATAAAGAATTTGAAGAAACATTATCAGAAGGGGAAAAAGAATGCAGTAGATGGTTTGAGTGTGAACTTTTATGAAGGACAAATAACGTCATTCCTAGGACATAATGGTGCAGGGAAAACAACTACGATGTAAGATAGTCAGATGTTTTATGAATGAAATAATGAGAAAATGTATAATGTTTGGAACAGTTTGTCCCCTTTTATAAAATGTAGTATCTTGGTCTTAATGAGGACATACCTATTGTAGAAACTTGTTTTGAGGAAAAAGAAACCATAGAAGTTAATGAATGGAATAGTATTCTTACTAGTAACCTATTTCATTATTGAAACAAACCACAAATGTTATCCCATCAAAAGATTCAAATTTTTGCAATGTAATAAATCTAGATTTTGGAACTCAAGAAGCATACATATAACTGGTTTAGAGGCAACAAATATGCCCTTAATTAAGCATCCAAATGATTAGATGAAAGTGCTTTGGATGTGGTTTAAGGAAATAGAACTACCCTTTCTATATTTATCTCTGGAGAAACTTTTTGGCTGAATTGGTTTTGGATAGATGACTTGTGTTTCTAATGGAACAATATTGCCTCAGAATAAAATATGACATACTGAGAATTTCCATTTAGGTTTTTTATTATTAAAAAAAATCTTGATTTATTTTCTAGGTCAATCTTGACTGGATTGTTTCCACCATCACAAGGATCTGCCTTCATCTATGGACAGAATATTCTCACAGACATGGACAAAATCAGGAACAATCTAGGCATGTGTCCACAGTTTAATGTATTGTTTAAATTGTGAGTAATTATTGTCAGAAGTCATAGAAATTGATATATAATTCCTGGTTTAGAAGTTTTTAAGACTCATCTTCATAGTTACAGTAAAAGTTGTTAATATGTCAGTCAACATAACAATGAAGTTTAAACATAGGTTTAGTAGAAAAAAAGGGTAAATTTTGAATTATTCAGAAAAATGAAAATGGATTTGATATGAATACATTGGCTTGTGTGAAAAACTTTTTTTTGTTATTAACAACTGATGTATTTGTTGTTTTATTATGTTAGTAAATGTATTTGTTGTTTTATTATGTTAGTAAATGTATTTGTTGTTTTATTATATTAGTAAATGTATTTGTTGTTTTATTATGTTAGTAAATGTATTTGTTGTTTTATTATGTTAGTAAATGTATTTGTTGTTTTATTATGTTAGTAAATGTATTTGTTGTTTTATTATATTAGTAAATGTATTTGTTGTTTTATTATGTTAGTAAATGTATTTGTTGTTTTATTATGTTAGTAAATGTATTTGTTGTTTTATTATGTTATTAAATGTATTTGTTGTTTTATTATGTTAGTAAATGTATTTGATGTTTTATTATGTTAGTAAATGTATTTGTTGTTTTTATTTACCAACAGTTTGACTGTAGAGGAGCATATCTGGTTCTACACTAGCTTAAAAGGCAAACCAAATAAACAGGCTCATGCAGAATGTGACAGAATGATGAGAGAAACAGGTCTTTATCACAGAGCACAAGAATTCCCTGATCAGTTGTCTGGTAAGTTTTGTTGATATCACAGAGCACAAGATTTTTCTGATCTGATAAATCTTGCCGTTATTACACAGCACAAGAATATTGCATTCACCTTTCCCATGCATTTGTCACTATGTTCGTGCAACACATATTTCTCTCACATTTATCTTGGGTACTATTGAACAGTATGAGTTCCTATCTGATCTGCAGCTTGACAGTGATAAGTTGTAAGTTTTTAACCCTTTTTTTATCTGTTACACACCTGCTTCATTTTTTCGAGTACTTTTAATTACAAGCAGACAATGTGTGTATTCATGTTGAAATTTGTTCTCCTGGAAAACAAGAAAATCATTGATGATTTCTCTCTGAATTCCAATGTAGGAGGAATATATACATACATGCCAACCTCTGACAATGACAAAACATGTCATGACATGACATGACATGTCAAAAAGCGTGTGAAAATGCGTGTCACAGATGCACTGGCACTCATACCACATCTTCTTATATCTTTTTAATATGAACATTATACAAATTTCTCAATATAAAAAAACAATATTCTAGTGTAAACTTTTATTGTATTCAACAGTGGCCTGTTTTGCTGCTTTCAAAACAACACAACTAGGCACATATTCAAAACAACTACCAGTTTGGTTAAATTTACATGATACATGTTAAATTTACATGATACATGTAACAATACACACAATGTATCATTGTTGAGTTCTTATCTGAATTCAGTGTAAATATTCTTTATAATTGAAAATGCTCTCTCACAGTCAGAATTGCTATTTGGCAGAACTAAAATAGCTTTAGCAAGCTTTGAAAGAATTAATAACATTTTTTGTCATTAAAAATGTCAACTATGTCTGCCATTGCTCCCCAGAATGTTGCTTTTTCCTGGTCAAAGCTGGGTAGTTCATCAGGAGAAGACAGCTAGTACTCTGAGAACTGATCCAACAGTTCTGTGATATTCCCATTCCCTATGGCATGTGGAAATCTGTTGGCTAGAGCCTAGATTTGAAACTGAAAAAGAAAAATAATTTTATAATTTTAAAACCATTGAATGCTTTATCAAATAGCTAGTACTCCTCTCACACATGTTGTTATGATTGCAAATGATTGATAATGTTTAAGATGCATAATCCTTTGTAACTAATATGCCTTTGATCCGTTTAAACTCGGACTCACATCTTTTTTAGTACGTACACATGTATCGTTTTCGCTTAGCACTCGGCTCTTTAGACGACTGTACAGGTCCAAAAAGCAACATCTTTCTGCTGGACATTTCCCCAAAGTGAATTTGAAAGGAAAGAAAGTAACATAACCTTAAAAACTACTCACCACCTTACTTGAAGGGCTTTTGTAGTTCGTCCATTTCAAAAAATAAACAATGGCGACCCAAAGAATACTTCGAAATTTTCGGTTTTTATCGTCTTAATTTTATGAAAAAAACCGAGAATCACGATATCACTAACGACCAAAACAAATCAAAACAACGAAAAAGCGTGTAATGGCATGTAAAGTGGCTAAAGCGTGTACATGCCATGTGACAAAATCTTCGCGAAAACCGTTGAAAAAGCGTGTATTACACGCAAATATCATGTGAGTTGGCAACTATGTTTATATATGTGGTTCACAAGACAATTATTAATTGATTTTGAACTTCATTGTACTATCAGAAACAATCCATAAATAAATAGGGAAATGCAATCCATAGCCATTAATGTGATTCTATTTTTCAGGTGGAATGAAGAGAAAGCTTTCCATAGCCATTGCATTTGTAGGTGATGCAAAGACAGTGATTCTAGATGAACCAACTGCTGGTGTAGATCCCCAGGCAAGACGAGCTATCTGGGAACTTCTCATTAAATTCAAGAAAAGTAAGTTGATTTGCATATCAATTATGGTATGGTTGAAATACACATTAAATCTACAGTTTATTTTCATGCTATTATGAGCTATTAGAGAATTTAAGAAAAGGGTAGGTCAATGATTCAACGAAAATGATCTTGGATTAAAAGAGATGTAATTTGAAAATTTGTGGGTAATTTACATTTGAATAAATATCTATTTGAAATTTTCAGATAGAACAATAATTTTATCAACACACCATATGGATGAAGCAGACATTCTTGGTGACAGGATAGCCATCATATCTCAAGGGAGACTACTCTGTTGTGGGTCCAGTTTATACCTCAAGTCACAGTATGGTAATGGATACTATTTGACTATGGTTAAAGATGGCAATCTTGATTCAGATTCATTAGATAGACAGAGAGTTGGATTTAATAGACAGGTAGATAGAAAAGACATGGCTGTATTTACTTTTAACGTTTTCGTGTTTGATTGTTGTAACTTGTATCATCAACAACCTGTATGTAAAAAAAATCTTCGAATGAGTGAATTTTTATACCACTCAGTGTAAGTTTCCTCGTATAAAAGATCTACATTAATTTTCTGTTCATTCTATAAAATTTCTCTTAAGTAAACCATGGAAACTTGATTGATATATATTGCCTCATATTTACATTTATCAATTTGCCAGATGTGATTTGGATTTCACTATTTGTGAGTAAAAAAAAATCAGGTTGAAGAATGTACACTTCAAATTTTCATCATTTTAAGAATTCATTAATTCATTTTACAAAATAAATATAGCAAGATGTGGTATAATTGCCAACGAGACAACTCTCCACATGAGACCAAATGACACAGAAATTAACATCTATCGATCACCGTATGACCTTCAACAATGAGCAAAACCCATACCGCATAATCAGCTATAAAAGGCCCGAAATGACAAATGTAAAACAATTCAAACGAGAAAACTTACGGCCTAATTTATGTACAAAATAATGAACAAAAACAAATATGATACATAGAAACAGACGACAACCACTGAATTACAGGCTCCTGACTTGGGACAGGCACATACAGAATGTGGCGGGGTTAAGCATGTTAGCTGGCACTCAACCCTCCCCCTCACCTGGGACAGTGGTGTAACAGTACAACATAAGAACAAACTATAAAAATCAGTTGAAAAAGGCTTAAATCATCAGATGAATACAAACAGAAATACATATAACAAAAACACAAAGTGGACGTGGCAGGGTACTTATACATCCCCACAACAAAAAGACACTAAGTACTGCTGTGAGAATTCTCGCAGTTACTGACAACTAGTTCAAAGTCAATAACAACTAATAAAAAAATTATGCATCTAAGACTAAAATATCAACCAATACACATCCAACATCCAATGAATTAAGTGTAAAGATGTCATTAACATTCAGAGAAAAACATGACCGTGTGCAATGCCAAGATGCAGGTATCGACAGATTGTAGAGCCATAAATGTGCATATGTATATAAAAATAATATTTAGTTTGATTTTAATTTACTGATAACAAAATCAATACTTATACCAAAAATGACAATATTCAAAGATCTAATTACAGTGTTGAATTGGTAACCTTTTAGAATAAGTTTATTTAAAGGATCAATAAGTTTACCCGGATCGTATATAAATTTCTGTGCTCGGTAAACAACATCTCCGTAAAAATTAGGATGTGCTATCCCGTTTCAAATAAGTTTTTTACAGATACAACCAAACTTCAAAACCAAATCTTTATATCTATAGAAGAATTAAGTAAAGGTTTTAAGTAATTTGTGGTAAAGAAATCCCTGACTTAATAATTTACCATTATTGATGCATGAAACTTTCTTTTTGTAATTGTAAGACACAAACTTGCTTGTATAAAACGTAAATATGTAACATCCCATATTAATAAAACATTATTAACCTCAAATGAATTATATCAGGTACCTTGTTTCAAATATGAAATTGAAAACCAGGTGTTATTTGCTTTTGTTTTTGATATCTCTCTTTTATATTTCAGTTATCAGATATACTTGATGAAGGATTTTTGGAAACAGTAGAGAAATCAGAAGGGGAAGCTACTCTTCCTTTACCTGTAAATGGTCCAAGAATAATGAGAGGTAAAAGCTTATTAAACTTTAAAAATATGTTTTCTTTGTTTGATTTGTAATTTGTGGAAATCTTGTGTTAATTGCAAACAATTACCCAGCTTATGTTTAAGGTGGATAGACATTTTTTTCTGAAAAAAAAAAGAGTTATATATACATTTTCAAAACTTACTGAGTAAGTTGTCATAGTTATTTTCCAGATTAATAATGCTCACTGCTTCTTTTACAGGATATTCAAAGAAGAGAATAACAGCTTTTGTGAAGAAGTATATCAGGAGGGCAAAACTTGTAGAAGATAATTCTACAGAAGTAATATTTCAGCTACCTCCAGAGTCTGCCAGGGATGGCTACTTTGAGATGTTATTTGAAATGTTAGAAAACTGTCATGAAGACCTAGGAATATCAAGTTATGGTATCTCTGATACTTGCCTAGAGGAGGTATTTTGATTGTTTGAATTTGTTACTAAAAATGGCTATATTCTACTTGTTTTCAGACACATAATTTTGGCCTCCCCTTACTTCTTATTTTTAGCTCACCTTTCCAAAGGAAATGTGAGCTTTTGCCATCACTTGGCATCCGTCGTCATCCGTCTTGTGTAAACTATTTCAAACATCTTCTCCACTGAAACTACAGAAACAATTCCAACTAAAGCTGAATGATTCTTTGGGTATCTAGAATAAAGTGTATGTTTTATTTTCTGTTTCGTCAAAAAACACGGCCGCCATGGCTAAAAATAGAACATAGGGGTAAAATGCAGTTTTTGGCTTATATCTAAAAAACTAAAGCATTTAGAGCAAATCTGACACAGGTTAAAGTATTCCTTAGGTCAAGGTCTACCTGCCCTGAAATAATCAGCCAAATCGGGTATCTGATTTTTAGGTTATTGCCCCTGAATTGATGATTTTAAGGAAATTTTGCAGTTTTCCGTTATTATCTTGAATATTATTATAGATAAAGATAAACTGTAAACAGCAAAAATGTTCAGCAAAGTAAGATCTACAAATAAATTTTGTATGACCGAAATTGTCAATTGACCCCTTAAGGAGTTATTGTCCTTTAAAGACAATTTTTCACAATTTGTTCATCTAGTTTGCTTACTTTAAAAAATCTTCTCCTTTGAAACTGCTGAATCAATTTCAGCCAAACTTGGGCTGAATGAGTTTCAGAGTATCTAGTATAAATTTTGTATTTTATTTCCTTGTACGTCAAGAATCAGCCACTATGGCTAAAATGAAACATAGGGGTAAAATGCATTTTTTGCTTTTGAAGAAAATATGACAGATACAAAGAACATTTAAATGGCATTTTTAAGCCACTCATTAATATATATTGAAAAGCAAAAATAATCATTGATGAAAGATTTAAGCAAAAAATTACAGGTGAACGATTCAGGCTCTTGAGAGCCTCTTGTTTAAGAAATTAAAGTGGTTTCAATTTCTATTCTAATTGAGAAAATAGTACTTGATTATTTTATGTTATAATCAAAATCTTGTCATATTGCAAGTGAGATGATTTTAAAAAATGTTTGATATTTGAATTATAAAAACGACCAGTAGAAAATACTTTGTAAAAAAAAAAAAAGAAACATACATGTTAAATTTACTTATTTTTTTTGTGAGAAAATATTTCTTTTTTAGTTGAATTCCATAATTATTTTGCCTTGCTAGGTGTTCCTGAAAGTGGCAGAGGAAGATGATGACCATACTGATGAATTTAAAAGACAAAAGTTAGAGGAAGCTACTGATGGCAAGCTTGTTCAAATATTTATTTTATTGTTAATTTAAAAATGGAAAAATTATGGTGGATAAATAGCTTTACATGCAAAGAATTTTATGTAACAAAATTTCTTTACAGATATTTAAAGGGAAAAAATGAATCCTAATAAAACATGAAAACAAATAGGATAGATTTAACGTGTTTTTTATATATTTCCTCTGTTACTTATACTATGAAAAGCACATTCCATCAACTAGACAAATACAAAGATTGATCAATGATGTTTCTGATATGCCGCATGAAGGAAATAGTACATTAAAAAAGCCTATTATTTTTTTATTTTGTAAAGTATTCATTGTTGGTGTAAAGTTTTCTTTCTTGTCTTATTTTTGAATAAAAATGCTTTATAGAATTATTGTTTCATTCTCTTTTCAACAGGGGGAAGAATAGCTAGGCCAGTTACACAACTCAGCTTTAAAAGAAATAAGAAAAGGTCATTCTTAAGAAGTATTTCTGAAGAAAATAGACTGGGCACTGATGAAATTGAAATAGGTACAGTATTTCTAAAAAGTTTTTAAACAATTCATTAAATATCTTATAAAGGAACACTTATAAACAGTCAGTTTGGAAAAAAGGGATAGGATTTTTATATACATGAAAAAAAACTTGTCAAAAGCACAAACAATAATATATAAAAGCTTTCCAGCCTTTCTACATTTTTATGGTTATATAAATGTCTCCAAAAAAGAATTGTAAGAGTGTTGATATATGGTTTGATAAAGCACTTTCATGAAACTCACTTCTGAAAGCCTGAATCTTAAATTACAACTGAATAGAAGTTATTTCCCTTGTTCGCTGCAGTGCAGAGCAATAGTGAGAAGTAAAAGAAAACTATGTGCTACTTTAATTTACAAACATTTCAAGCTTTTTAATCAAGCTTTATCACATGTATGTTGGAAGGCAAAAGATCATTTATAATTTGTAAATTTATATGAACCAAATATTGTCTTTAAATCAACAGGGATTTAAAACTGCTAGTCATTGAGTTTCATTCCTGTTATGCAGTTATAAAAAAATACTGCCCAAACCTACTTCAAATAGTTTTAGAATAAATTCATGATTCTCTTAATTTTTAGGATTCTCAGTTCAATTTATAAAATATATTTTCAAATTTTATTTCCTTACTCTTATTAGGCAGTGGTTACCTAGGTTTATGGTACATCTCTATATACCTTTGATAAAATGTTCTTTTACATTTGAAGTTATAAAAAAACTTTTACATTACAACCCTGTTACATTACTATCTGTTGTTTCTCCATGGTCATTGTATCCATACCTTGGTATCAAGTAGTCCATTCATTTCTTGGTCTTTTTTTCTAACATTTAGTTTAATCTAACACATCAACATGAATTGTGTCTAGGTAACACATTGAGCGTTTAATCATTTTAGTTTGTTGTGGACTACCTACAGGTTTAATTAAAATTCAATCATTTTAAATGCAGAAATATGGATTTTATTTCCTAAATATTCTATCTGAAAATCTTGAAAATAAGTTTTTTGAAAAAAAGTATTGTCTCTATGATTGGTTTACAGGATAAGGAGGAAAATATTGATAATCTTTTTTTTTCTAGACGATTTTAATGATTTAGATTTGTTTTAGATGTACCAACAGAAACCAATGAGCCATTTACACATAAACAAGATGAGTTAGCCACTGGCTGTTTGTTATGGTGGAAGCAAGTATTTGCAATCTTCCTTAAAAGATTCCAACATTTCAAAAGAAGTAAAAAAGGTTTTGTTTGTGAGGTACAGTATACTAAGACAGTAATGAAAATGCTTAAAAAATAGGAATCGCTCAAAATACAGCACAGTACAATAGATCAAAACTCAAATGAAAAACTCAACAAACTTACAAGCCGATCTACTTATACATGAGTATGTGCAGTTAGACCATCTTTAGCATTAATGAAACTAAATATACAAAAATGGAAGAATATCAACAAAAAACAGAGGAATTAACAATTCAGGGAAGTCTATCTTGACAATTTATTCAATCCATGCAATGAATGTATATTTCATTTTTATAGAAATTCATCCATCTGAAACAAAAGTTCCTATCAGAGCAAAAATGTAATTGAAAGGTCATTTGGTAACCTGTGTAAAGGATTTTTTTTTTGGAAGACCTATCCATCAACAATTGGTTTAGGTTTTCTGTGATATCTTTAACAACTCAGAACTACAAGGCCAATTTCAACAGAAGTGTAGTGAAATAGTCCATCAATGGACCACTTCTATTTGTATGTCTGTTTACCTCACCTACCATCCATAATCCTAAATATGTAGCAGTAATGTTCATCTAGATTTTCCTTTACATGTTCTTTCAATTCATTGATTAATTGTTTGTTCTTTAATGTTAAGTTATTGACCATTTAATGTTGTGAATTTGAAACAGAATTTAACTAACTAAGAAGGTAATGACAACACATAAAATTAATTGATTGAATGGTATTACATATTTTTATAAATTGTTTGAATTATCTTGTACATTTTTCATTTTTATAATCTGGTTGATATATTTATACAGATTGTTATGCCTGCATTATTTATCCTTATTGCCATGTTATTTTCTGAAACGAACCCTCCGTATTCGGACCCTCCACCATTAGAGATTTACCCTTGGCACCTGATACCAAACAAAGGAGATCATCATCTATATATGTTTTACAGGTAAATACATTTTTATAAGTAACAAAAGTTGTTGAGCAAGATTTTTTAAATACTGTCATAATGCATACATTCAGAAGTTGTAAGCATTTTAGCAGTTACTAAGAATTAATTAAAGGAGTTGTGGGGTATATGTCAATGAGACAGCAGCCCAACATCAAGTAAAATCAAAAGACTTTTGTTCAGCTGTAATTTGCCTTGAAATCGTAGAAAAGTCATGAGATGATTGTACTCAACATTATAAATCTACTTATGATAAAAAAAGATTTAAGAAAAACAAACATTAAATAAGAATTGATATCTTTAGTAGTAGTTTCTGATGACCATTGCAGCACAACAACTGAGGTGAAATATACCATTAGCGTTCTTCCAATGGATGTAAATGAAAGCCATTATGAATTTATATGAATAAGAAGGTTATTTAAAGTCATTGCATGACTTGCTGTATAATTTAATGATTAACTTTGGCATGAAAGGTATGATTTAAGTTTTAAGTAAAATGTTTTTCTTTATTTAAAGTAATGACAGACCAGGCAGTCATGTAGGAGACAAATCTGAGGATGTTTTGTTATCTAAATATGGTATTGGTAACACTTGTCTGAGGGACTATCAGTCAAAAAGGTAACTTTAAAACTGTTCAACCTGTTGATATACTTGCACTTATAAGTATTTAGTATGAATAAATGGGGATGTACATCAGTTAAACAGCAACCAAACAACAAAAACCCCAAAAGACCTTTAAATGCCTTCATGATAGACCACTGTCTGTACCATGAGTCAAGCTGGTCCCAGCCAAAGAGTGAATGAATTAAAAAGGGAAAAAAATATGTTTTAAGCACCAAAATTGTTATAAAGGACCAAACAGATTAAGATTTAACTACAGGCAACGTTTAATGAACTTTGTGACTTTGGACATGCACATTAACATGTAGCTGAGTTAAACTAGGTTTTTCAAGAACTCAACCGAACTCCATTTTACATTCGATAGTTTGGAGGAAAATAGGTATACATAGTGTTCACAAAGAAATGCAATATGATGACAAAAATTAAAATTGGATAAAGATCCAGTGAGGCATATGTAGTTTTATAACCCTATAAACTGACTTGATACCATCAAAACATTTTATTTACAAACTTTTCTATAAATGTGTATAATTTATTTATAGCCTTCCATGTGACCAGAATTTGAATATTACAGACTTTACAAGACAGACAATGAATACAAATACAGTAGAATGTTCTTGTTCATCTGGAGTACAGGAATGTCCTGCTGGTATGTATGTTTTATTGTGTGGACCCTTGATACCTGGTTAACTGATATCCCCTAATGGACTTATACTGCCATGACTTGTTCTTTTTTGGTAATTTGATTAATGTAGGAAAAGAAATCCCCCCCCCCCAAACCCCCCATTAAAAAAATTAAAAATACCATCAAAAAGCTTTTGTCTAAGTGCTATATTATGTCACACAAAATGATCTGTTATTATGTGATATATTTATTTGGTCCTTGAACTTTATTTCTGAGCATTCCTACTTCTGTTTAGGGGTAGCCTGTTCACCTGGAGTGGGTTTGAACCCGGCCGGGTCAAACCAAAGACTTTAAAATTGATATTTGCTGCTTCTCCACTAAGCATGCAGCATTAAGGAGAAAGACCAAAGACTCGGGGTCAGAATAATGTGTCTGGGTAAGGTGACAAGTCTTCCTGCGGACTGTTACCTTGTAAACTAGCACGTGAAAAATCCAGTACAGCGTGTCGGTCAAGTACAAAGCATGGCTAACATTCATATTATATTAACATCTTCTCGTCCTGAATATGCATATTAATTTGGACGCTTGAAGTTAAGCAGCCGTCTATCATCATCATCATCATCGTATTTCTGTTGCAGAATTGCCTGAGCCTCCAGAACAGATGTTGTATTCCAGTGATTATCTGTACAACATGACAGGAAGAAACATTAGTGATTGGCTGGTTAAAACTAATTCCAGATACATGTCTCGAAGGTATGACGTGAAATACAATTATTGGCATAAAGATATTTGAGTATTAAGAAAATAATCACTACCTTTTATAAAATTTATAATATGGATAGTATATGACATATGATGTAAACTATCAGTTTTGATTGCAGGGCAATTATTAACTTGTGAAATCTTCTACACAGGTACTGTTTATAGTGTTTCCAGTACTAAAATTTGTTTACTTTTTATTTTAATCAAATGTAAATAATGTAGTGTCTAAGAGTCAATGTAACTGCCACTTAATTGTATTTTATTTTACAGATATGGAGGTCTATCCTTTGGTTCAGAGATACAAGACAGACATAATAATAGTGAACATGTCTCATCTGTTTTACAGTCCCTCCTAGAGCTTAATCTCACTGATCATAAACTGGTGTATCAACATACACAGATTTGGTCCAAAGTCATGGAATTGAAGAGCCATTTCAATACAGAAAATATCAACAAGGTAATTTGAACTGTGTGTGGGCTGATATACAACTCTTACAAATTATCTAATGATTAAAATCTTACTACCAAAATTGAAGGTTTTTTTTTCATTCAGTAATCAAAATCTTGTATATCTGTTGATAAGATTTACAGCAGAACTATTATTATATATAAATTTATTATCTGATAATTAAGTCTCCCAAACGAAGTTTCGGAAGACTTATTGTTTTTGCTCAGTTCTTATTAAGTCTCCCAAACGAAGTTTGGGAAGACTTATTGTTTTTGCTCAGTTCTTATTATTATTATTATTATTCTTCTTCTTCTTCCGCCGCTTTTAAATTTGAACTTGTCCGCACCCGTTCTCCAAAACCGCTTGTCAGATTAACTTAGGGTTTCACAATATGTTAGACTAACATGTCTAGTGGTGCAATCAGGGTTTTGTTTGTGCAATGGGGTTTATAAAGGGGTACTTTGAGGGGCAAAAAGAAAAGAGGGTTTTACTATAGAACCCTATGGGATTTTATTTTTTAAAATTTTCAAATGATTATAAATTGAAAACCGTTTGTGATAGACACAATCTTTTTAATTGAAAATGTTCTTAATGATAAAGCCAATTAAATGAAATACAGGGTTAGTCCCCAGGGGTCACCCCCACCCCCTGCCATTTAAGAAAGTTCTAATACCTTGTAAGTGGTCAAGATCCCCACCCCTAAACTATATATATTTTGGTTTGTCATGCTAAGATGGTTTGAATGATATACAGGGTTAGTCCCCAGGGGTCATCCTGACCCCCTGCCATTTGAGAAAGTTCTAATATCTTGTAAATGGTCGAGATCCCCACCCCTAAACCATATATATTCTGGTTTGTCATGATAAAGCACATCAAATGAAATACAGGGTTAGTCCCCAGGGGTCACCCCCACCCCCTGCCATTTAAGAAAGTTCTAATATCTTCTTAATAGTCAAGATCCCCACACCTAAACCATATATATTCTGGTTTGTCATGCTAAGATGGTTCGAATGATATACAGGGTTAGTCCCCAGGGGTCATCCCAACCCCCTGCCATTTGAGAAAGTTCTAATATCTTGTAAATGGATTCCCACCCCTAAACCATATATATTCTGGTTTGTCATGATAAAGCACATCAAATGAAATACAGGGTTAGTCCCAAGGGGTCACCCCCACCCCCTGCCATTTAAGAAAGTTCTAATATCTTCTAAGTGGTAAAGATCCCCACCCCTAAACCATATATATTCTGGTTTGTCATGCGAAGATGGTTTGAATGATATACAGGGTTAGTCCCCAGGGGTCATCCCGACCCCCTGCCATTTGAGAAAGTTCTAATATCTTGTAAATGGTCGAGATCCCCACCCCTAAACCATATATGGGTCATTATCAAAAAACATGCAAATTTCGATGAAGTAATATTTGGAAAAACGATGTCATTGTTTAAAACATTTAAATGTGTCCCTCTATTCTATAGTATGGTAGCAACTATTTTCAGAAATATGCAATGGGAAAAATGAAGGGTTCCCTTCAATTTTAACAATTTTAGGTCATCCTTTGATAGAATCGTGTCAATGGTGTTACCAATTTAAAACATGCATTTAGGTACTAAATATTATTGTTAAACATCAAACAACTGTTCCAATTTGTTGTTAAGGTTTAAATTACTACTTATTGACATTATTCCTCTAGCTATACATTCTTTTTAAACATAAATTTCAGAATACATTGCCGTAAAATAGTTGGCTCTCCTAATTATGGCTGTTGTAAATACTAAAAAATACACTTAAATTGAATATATGTATAATGTATAAGATGAAATGATAAGAATATGCTTAATCCTTCGTATACAACCTAAAAACGCTTTCATTTATGAATAAAAATTAAAAAGTATCGCATTTTTATATAGTAACACCACTGACTCTTCAGTAACTCCAATGACACAAAAGTATCACCATTGACAACACATTTCAAATGTTACTTTTATAAAGTACTGAACACAAAACAGAGAACACTGAGCAAAAGAAAAAGAAGAAAAAATAATTCTTAGGCTTAAAAATCTCAAATTATATAACATAATATCAATAACTAAAAATGTCAGTAGTGTTACTAAATAGTGTCATTGGTGTTACCAGCATACACCAGTTTTTGAAAACTTTGTATATGTAATACATGATATTGTTAAAACATTGTTAAATAAGTATTGTTTGTTATAAATAATATGATGTTTCGCTTGTTAAACATGAAAGAAACACCAAAAAATGCTGATTGTCATAATATATTCAGTGGTGTTACTAAGCTGGTCAATGGTGTTATTTTATTAAAATGGTCTCACCACTGACAGTAACACCATTGATTTTCAGGTGTATTTTAAGGTTTAGTTACAAAATAAGGGCTCCATTCCCCTATTTTATATGGAGTTCCTGGTGCATGTTTCTACAATCAATATATTTCATAATTCAAAGTTCAGGAATTTAAAAAAAAAAAGATTTTTATAAGGGTATACCATGGACACTATTTTCAATTACGATATAGCTTGTACTTACTTTTAATATTTTTTTACTAAATTTTCAACATAAATGTTTGTTTTCTTTTGCATAACATGCTTACAGGTAACATTGCTAAGGGAGACACTATTGTAAATGCTGAAATATTGAGAAAGATAACTCTCACCCTACCAATTTGTCTTTTGGTTACACCATTGACTTAAAAAATGAGACTTTTCCTTTTGGTTAAATTTTTTATTATAAAACCAACATACACCTTCCAAATCATTAAAAAAAAAATTGTATGTATCAAATGCAATAAAAAGTGATAATTTCTAATAACAAATGATATGAATAATAGCCCTATTTCAGGTCTGAAGGGATTTATAGTAAAAAATAACAGTTGATTCTGGCTATATCCAAGGGTTTGAGAAAAAATTAAGAATGTTTTTAAAACATTTCATACTGTAAACTGTGTATAGTGTATCACAAAACATTCATATCTTTCATATGCAATAGTTATTTTGATACATTTTGATATAGTTTCATGTCTTTTGACTTGAAAAGACCAAATAACATAGTTTTGCATGTTTTTTTGATAATGACCCATATATTCCTATTTGTCATGTCTTGAACATTTGAATGACGTATATGGTCAGTCCCCAGGGGTTTCCACCACCCCCAATGTTCTAATATCTTGTAAATGGTTGAGATCCCCACCCCTAAACCATATATATTCCTGTTCGTCATGTAATGAACATTTGAATGACGTATAGGGCCAGTCCCCAGGTGTTCCTCCCCACCCCCCAATGTTCTAGTATCTTGTCAATGGTCGAGATCCCCACCCCTAAACCATATATATTCTGGTTTGTCATGCCAAGATGATTTGAATGATATACAGGGTTAGTCCCCAGGCATCATTAATGCATATAACTTTACTGGACCAAACCAATTTTCACTGGACTTTGCCCAATGTCAGGCGACCCTGGGAATTACGAATTATGGGAGCTTCGTTTGGGAGACTTCGTAACAGCATCCTGTTACAATCATTTCTTGTTATTATTATTATTATTCTTCTTCTTCTTCTTCTTCTTCTTCTTCTTCTTCCGCCGCTTTTAAATTTGAACTTGTCCGCACCCGTTCTCCAAAACCGCTTGTCAGATTAACTTAGGGTTTCACAATATGTTAGACTAACATGTCTAGTGGTGCAATCAGGGTTTTGTTTGTGCAATGGGGTTTATAAAGGGGTACTTTGAGGGGCAAAAAGAAAAGAGGGTTTTACTAAAGAACCCTATGGGATTTTATTTTTTAAAATTTTCAAATGATTATAAATTGAAAACCGTTTGTGATAGACACAATCTTTTTAATTGAAAATGTTCTAAATGATAAAGCCAATTAAATGAAATACAGGGTTAGTCCCCAGGGGTCAACCCCACCCCCTGCCATTTAAGAAAGTTCTAATACCTTGTAAGTGGTCAAGATCCCCACCCCTAAACCATATATATTTTGGTTTGTCATGCTAAGATGGTTTGAATGATATACAGGGTAAGTCCCCAGGGGTCATCCCGACCCCCTGCCATTTGAGAAAATTCTAATATCTTGTAAATGGTCTAGATCCCCACCCCTAAACCATACATATTCTGGTTTGTCATGAGAAAGCACATCAAATGTAATACAGGGTTAGTCCCCAGGGGTCACCCCCACCCCATGCCATTTAAGAAAGTTCTAATAACTTCTAAGTGGTCAAGATCCCCACCCCTAAACCATATATATTCTGGTTTGTCATGCTAAGATGGTTTGAATGATATACAGGGTTAGTCCCCAGGGGTCACCCCCACCCCCTGCCATTTAAGAAAGTTCTAATATCTTGTAAGTGGTCAAGATCCCCACCCCTAAACCATATATATTCTGGTTTGTCATGCTAAGATGGTTTGAATGATATACAGGGTTAGTCCCCAGGGGTCATCCCGACCCCCTGCCATTTGAGAAAGTTCTAATATCTTGTAAATGGTAGAGATCCCCACCCCTAAACCATATATATTCCTATTTGTCATGTCTTGAACATTTGAATGACGTATATGGTCAGTCCCCAGGGGTTTCCCCACCCCCAATGTTCTAATATCTTGTAAATGGTTGAGATCCCCAACCCTAAACCATATATATTCCTGTTCGTCATGTAACGAACATTTGAATGACGTATAGGGTCAGTCCCCAGGGGTTCCCCCCACCCCCAATGTTCAAGTATCTTGTAAATGGTCGAGATCCCCACCCCTAAACCATATATATTCTGGTTTATCATGCCAAGATGATTTGAATGATATACAGGGTTAGTCCCCAGGTATCACTAATGCATATAACTTTTCTGGACCAAACCAATTTTCACTGGACGTTGCCCAATGTCAGGCGACCCTGGGAATTACGAATTATGGGAGCTTCGTTTGGGAGACTTCGTAACAGCATCCTGTTACAATCATTTCTTGTTTTGAATTGATTTGCAAAAAAGGAATTTGTAAACTGAACATTTACCTTGAGTTATTTAGTTTTATTTTACTTTAAATGCAGTTGCACAACCAGAAATTGTTTAAGGGCTATTCTATGACGGATCATAGAGTATTAGAACTACAGAGTTTTCTTTTAAACCAAGGTGGTGTTTGGAGTTTTAATGCTGATTTATGTACATTTTAATGCAAATGATTCTATAAAGCAAAACATCAACCCTCATTAAAACATTTTAGGTTTGGTATAACAACAAAGGCTGGATATCAGTGGTTGCTTACATGAACTTGATGAACAATATTATACTCAGGAGTAATCTCCCTTCAAATGAGGATCCTTCAGAATATGGAATCACAGCCTTCACACATCCTCTGGCTCCAACTAAACAACAGACACAACAACAAGCACAGTAAGTAGAGAGTTATCTCCTCTTAATTCATCTATGCTTTTTTAGCTCACCTGCCCTAAAAGGCCAAGTGAGCTTTTCTCATCACTTGGCGTCCGTCGTCATCTGTCGTCGTTAACTTTTACAAAAATCTTCTCCTCTGAAACTACAGGACCAAATTTAACCAAACTTGGCCACAATCATCATTTGGGTATCTAGTTTAAAAAATGTGTCCGATGACCCAGTCCGCCAACCAAAAAGGCCGCCATGGCTAAAAATAGAACATAGGGGTAAAATGTAGATTTTCGCTTATATCTCTGAAACCAAAGCATTTAGAGCAAATCTGACATGCAGTAAAATTGTTCATCAGGTCAAGATGTATCTGCCCTGATATTTTCAGACAAAACAGAAAACCAATTGTTGGGTTGCTGCCCTTTAAGAAAATTTTGCAGGTTTTTATACGACCGCAAAAAAATTTTGTGGTCGTATATTGGTATGACGTTGGCGTCGTCGTCGTCGTTGTCGTCGTCGTCGTCGTCGTCGTCGTCGTCCGGCGTCGTCGTCCGAATACATATTGGTTTTCGCACTCTAACTTTAGTTTAAGTGAATGGATCTTTTTGAAATTTGACCATAAGGTTAAATACCACAAAAGGAAGGTTGGGATTGATTTTGGGGGTTATGGTACCAACAGTTAAGGAATTAGGGGCCAAAAAGGGGCCAAAAATGAGCATTTTCTAGTTTCCAGACAATAACTGTGGAACGGTGTATGGATCTCTCTGAAATTATACTACAAGTTTCCATACCACAAAGGGATGGTTAGGATTTCCTTTGGGGGGTTTTGGCTCAAACCGTTTAGGAATTAGGGGCAAAAAAGGGGGAAAAACAAGGTTGTCCTGGTTAATGGACAAATACTTTAGTACAAAACATAATTTAAAGCAGTGTAAGGGAGATAAATCAAATACATCATTGAAATTATCTCCCTTACACTGCTTTTAAATTATGTATAAAGTAATGGTTAATGAACAATAAAGATAATCTAAAACAGTGTAAGGGAGGTAATCCAAATACAACGTTTTGGTTACTTCCCTTACACTGCTTTTAAATTATGTTTAAAGAAATGCATATTTATAAAGGAAGACCAGTAAAAATATCTGCAAATGTTTTCATCTTTTTTTTTTACAAAAAAATCCATATGAAAGATTTGACACTATATTTTTATTAATTCTATTATAAAATAGATTAAGTTAGCACTATGGTAAATTTAAATGGGTAATTATGGTTGCCAACTCCATTGGAAATTTGAATTGAGATTATGACCATATCTTGAGGGAAAGAATTTTTTTTGGGGGAAAAGGGGGGGGGGATAAAAAGAAATTGTGGGGGGCCAATTTTTTCTCATTTCAGATTTCAGAAATTAAAAAGAATTATTCTTCAAATATTTTTTTTTTTTCAAATTTCAAATATTGAAAAATTTCAAGAAGTAATCTTTAATTGCACAGTATGGCGCATTAGATTTGTAAAATCTTTGATCACATTTATTTATTTGTTATGCCGAATCTAACAGTGTATTTAGATTTTCAATTTTGGGTCCAGTTTTCAAATTGGTCTACATTAATGTCCAAAGGGTCCAAAATTAAACTTTGTTTGATTTTAGCAAAAATTGAATATATGAGGTTCTTTGATATGCTGAATCTAAACATGTATTTAGATTTTTGATTTTTGGCCCAGCTTTCAAGTTGGTCCAAATTGGGGTCCAAAATTAAACTTTGTTTGATTTCAACAAAAATTGAATATATGGGGTTCTTTGATATGCTGAATCTAACCATGTATTTAGATTTTTTATTTGTGGACCCCGTTATCTAATTGGTTCATATTGAGGTCAAAAGGGTCCAAAATTAAACTTTGTTTGATTTCATCTAAAATTGAATTATTGGGGTTCTTTAATATTCCAAATCTAACCGTGTATTTAGGTTTTTAATTTTGGGTCCTGTTTTTTAAATTGGTCTACATTGAGGTCCAAAGGGTCCAAAATTAAACTAAGTTTGATTTTGACAAAAATTGAATTCTTGGGGTTCTTTGATTTGCTGAATCTAAACATGTGTTTAGATTTTTGATTATGGGCCCAGTTTTCAAGTTGGTCCAAGCTAGGGTCCAGTATTTAAACTTTGTTTGATTTCAACAAAAATTGAATATATGGGGTTCTTTGATATGCTGAATCTAAACATGTATTTAGATTTTTGATTATGGGCCCAGTTTTCAAGTTGGTCCAAATTGGGGTCCAAAATTAAACTTTGTTTGATTTCAACAAAAATTGAATATATGAGGTTCTTTGATATGCTGAATCTAACCATGTATTTAGATTTTTTATTTGTAGGCCCCGCTATCAAATTGGTTCATATTGAGGTCAAAAGGGTCCAAAATTAAACTTTGTTTGATTTCATCGAAAATTGAATTATTGGGGTTCTTTGATATGCCAAATCTAACCGTGTTTTTAGATTTTTAATTTGGGTCCCGTTTTTTAAATTGGTCTTCATTGAGGTCCAAAGGGTCCAAAATTAAACTTAGTTTGATTTTAACAAAAATTGAATTCTTGGGGTTCTTTGATATGCTGAATCTAAACATGTGTTTAGATTTTTGATTATGGGCCCAGTTTTCAAGTTGGTCCAAGTTGGGGTCCAAAATTAAACTTTTTTTGATTTCAACAAAAATTGAATATATGGGGTTCTTTGATATGCTGAATCTAACCATGAATTTAGATTTTTTATTTGTGGGCCCCGCTATCAAATTGGTTCATATTGAGGTCAAAAGGGTCCAAAATTAAACTTTGTTTGATTTCATCAAAAATTGAATTATTGGGGTGCTTTGATATTCCAAATCTAACCGTGTATTTAGATTTTTAATTTTAAGTCCCGTTTTTTAAATTGGTCTACATTAAGGTCCAAAGGGTCCAAAATTAAACTTAGTTTGATTTTAGCAAAAATTGAATTCTTGGGGTTCTTTGATATGCTGAATCTAAACATGTGTTTAGATTTTTGATTATGGGCCCAGTTTTCAAGTTTGTCCAAGTTGGGGTCCAAAATTAAACTTTGTTTGATTTTAACAAAAATTGAATATATGGGGTTCTTTGATATGCTGAATCTAACCATGTATTTTGATTTTGGACATTGGACCATAATAGGTAAATTAAAAAAAATTCAAGTTCTTAGACCACATTCTTTCTGTGTCAGAAACCTATGCTGTGTCAAATATTTAATAACAATCCAAATTCAGAGCTGTATCAAGCTTGAATGTTGTGTCCATACTTGCCCCAACTGTTCAGGGTTCGACCTCTGCGGTCGTATCAAGCTGCGCCCCAGCGAAGCATTTTATTGTTATTATCTTCAATATTATTATAGATAGAGATAAACTGTAAACAGCAATAATGTACAGCAAAGTAAGATCTACAAATAAGGCAACATGACCAAATTGGTCAATTTACCCCTTAAGGAGTTATTGCCCTTTATAGTCAATTTTTAACAATTTTTTGTAAATTTTTGTAATCTTTTACAAAATCTTCTCCTCTGAAACTACTGAGACAAATTTAACCAAACTTGGCCACAATCATCATTAGGGTATTTAGTTTAAAAAATGTGTCCAATGACCCGCTTACCAACCAACATGGCCGACATGGATAAAAATAGAACATAGGGGTAAAATGCAAGTTTTGTCTATTATTTTTTGAACCGTTATAAATAGAGAAAATCTGAAAGAAGCAAAAATGTTCAAAATAATGAGCTCTACCAATTGTCCATATACGTCAAAACTGTTAGTCAGTTGTTGCCCATAAATGACAAATTTTACCATTTTTTTCATTTTTGACTATCATCATGAAAACTATATTTAGAGAGAAACATTTTTTTTTCCGTTATGCCTTATATGATTTAAATTATAATAGATAAATAAACACTTAAAATCACAAAAATTATCAGCAAGGCAAGATCTATCAAAAAGTCAAATTTTGCCTATATAGTAAGTAGACTGTCACTCTTCATAGGAGTGATTGCCCTTAAAACGAGGATTTTTTTTACCCTCTTATATGTTTTGAGCAAAAACTAAAGAAGATAGAGAGAAACTAAACAGACTAAAAGATCAGTAATACAAGATCAACAAAATAGAGATTTTTTTCATGAAGTCTATTCTCATCTACAATGTCGGAGAGTGTCCTTTGTTTGATATGCACATAGACCAAGGTGAGCGACACAGGCTCTTTAGAGCCTCTAGTTTCTTGTCATGATAGATTTTTAAATCATTGGAGATCAATTGCTAACATGAGAACTGAAATGTATACTGAGGTTAATTTTTAAAAATGTAGTGTGTTTTGAAATGTTCTCTTCTAAATGTATTCTACTTATTTTGCCATTACACTGATATAAAAATACTGTGTTAGTTATGTTATTTTCAGATTTAACAACATTGCTGATTAGGTAGTAGCTATTTGTATTATATTTGATGTTTTTTTCAGATTTAACAACAAAGGCTGATGTAGTTGTAGCTATCTGTATTATATTTTATGTTATTTTAAGATTTAACAACAAGGCTGATGTAGTTGTAGCTATCTGTATTATATTTGATGTTATTTTCAGATTTAACAACAAGGCTGATATAGTTGTAGCTATCTGTATTATATTTTATTTTATTTTCAGATTTAACAACAAGGCTGATGTAGTTGTAGCTATCTGTATTATATTTGATGTTATTTTCAGATTTAACAACAAGGCTGATATAGTAGTAGCTATCTGTATTATATTTGCTATGTCCTTTATACCTGCCAGTTTTGTAATGACTATGATAGAGGAGAGAGTGTCATATTCCAAACATCTACAGTTTATTAGTGGAGTCACACCATTTGTCTACTGGATAACAAACTTTGTATGGGATTTGGTGAGTAGATCTTAGTTGAATGCAACTTTTTGCTATGATATAAAAAATTTGGTAAGTAGGTCATCAGTAGGGTAAAAGAGTTGTACACTGGTTAACACTCTTCAAATGGTATTTGGTAATTCGATCATTGGTTGAGTACAACATTGAACAAAAAGAGTTGAAATATTCATAGTTACAAACATCAATAGAGTACAAAATTTATACACTGAATAACAAACTTTGCATGAACTTTTCTCATCACTTGGCATCTATCGTCTGTCGACTACTTTTACAAACAATTTATCCTCTGAAACTACTGGCCAATTAGAACCAAACTTGGCCAAAATCATCATTGGGATATCTAGTTTAAAAAATGTGTCCTGTGATCCCACCTACCGACCAACATGGCCGAGATGGCTAAAAATAGACGTATGGGATAAAATGCAATGTTTGGCTATTATCTTGAAAACCATTAAAAATCTGAAAGGGGCAAAAATGTTCAGAATGATGAGATCTACCTAATGTCTATGACATCAAAACTGTCAGACGACTTTTTATAGTAGTTATTGCACTTAAACGACGAATTTTACCAACTCTTTTGTATTTTTGCCCATTATCTCGAAAGTTATGATAGATGGAAAGAAACTTTAATAACAAAAATGATCAGCAAGTCAAGATCTACAAATAAGTCAACAAGTTCTAAACTGTTAGTTGACATCTTATTGAAGTTATTGCCCTTTAATGACGATTTTTCCCAATTTTTTGCACTTTTGCTTATTATCTTGAAAACTTTAATAGATAGATAGAAATTTAAATAAAAAAATGATCAGCAAGACAAGGTCTACAAATAAGTCAGTAAGACAAAAGTCGTTGGTTGACTCCTTGTTGAAGTTCTTGCCCTTTAGTGACGATTTTTCCAATTTTTCATTTTTGCCTATTATCTTGAAAGCTATAATAGATAGAAAGAAACTTTAAAAAGCAAAAATGATCAGCAAGACAAGATCTACAAAAAAGCTTCATGGTCGAAATCTTCAAGTGACTCTTTATTGGAGTTATTGCCCTTTCATAATAATTTTACAATTTTTTTGACATTTTTTGCTTATTATCTTGAAAGCTATAATAGAAAAATAGAAAATTTGAAAAATAAAAATAATTAGCAGGCCAAGATCTACAAATATGTCAACATAGCTGAAATTGTCAGTTAACTCTTGATACTGTTATTCTCCTTTCATGATGATTTTTACAAAAAAAGTGGCAATTGTTGAAGATGCAGGTGAGCAACACAGACTCTTTAGAGCCACTAGTTTGCTGTGTATTTGAGATCAAAAGTATGTATTATGACCCACAAATTAAATATTGATAAAAGTCATTTTTCTTGGTCATTTGTTGCCTGAAAACTTTGACATAGCAACTCTAAATGCCCAAGAACCAATGCTTTTTCTACTGGCATGGAAAATTGAATCAACAAATAAAAGATTTCACATTATAATCTTTTTATTTACAGATAAATTACACCATTTGTACTTGCTTGTGTTTGTTGATTTTCCTGGCTTTCAAAAGAGAGGCATACATCGGATTGGATAATCTCCCTTGTCTTGTATCCCTGCTATTGTTGTATGGGTATGTTGTAATCTGTGTACATTCTTTATGCATGTTGCAAAATTTAAAGTTCTTTTAAAAGATTATTCCTTATTTCACTGCATGCTTTGAGGTATAGCTGTTTTAAAATTCCAATTCTGTAATTTTTTTAAAATACATTGAAAAGTTTTTACACATATATGTTTTTTTAATGCAAAACTAAATCCAAGTGATATTAATAATTTAAGTTATGCCATGATCCCAGTGATGTACCCATTCTCCAGATACTTTAGTGTTCCCAGTACAGCTATGGTCATCCTCAAGTCGGTTAATATTTTCTTGGGAACAACTTCAACTCTAGCCATATTTGTTCTAGAACTTCTGGCAGAAGAAGATCAGGTAATTTATTGATAGTTTGATACTACATGTAGTATAAGAAGAAGTTAAAGGGAGGTTACAGAGTTTTACATTTTTTTGACTAATTTATGATTTGGAATTAAGATTAGGTTAATAATATTTGTAATTAAGTTATCAATATTAAACCCCAATTGGAACCTCTAGTTTTTTCCAACCACAATGTTTTCTATCTGTGTAATGATAATTGCACATAATTTCAACTGATATAAATAAAAATATTCTTGTAAATTTTTTAGCAAAAGTGATTACTTTATGTAATAGATTTGCATTACTATGAAACACATGTTATTCATATTTATGTTAAGCACTTCTGTTTGTTTTGTAAGAATAAATGAAAGAGACTTGTAAAAAGGTGAGAGATCTCAGAACTCGTACCATTTCATAAATATGCAATGAAAAAAAAATTTTGTAATGTTATTGACATGTTTTCATTGCAGACTTTAAAGGATATCAATGACAAGTTGCATGAAGCTTTATTGTTCCTGCCGCAGTTTTGTCTGGGAAGAGGACTTCTGGATCTATCTAGGAATCAGGTGTACAAAGATGCCTTTAAGAAGTTTGGTAAATATATTTAGAGAATTATAACACTGTGAGGTTTATTATAGTTTTGTTTCAGATTCTATGCATTTTCTCATAGATTGAAAAGAAAAACTTAAATCTCAAAGTGATCACATGTTTTTGTAAATTTTGTCAGTAAATTTAACATAATATGTTTAATAAGAAAAAAAATCCTCTCAGCACAACTTTGAATTGATAATAAGAAAAAGAAAATCCACTGCTATAAATCAAGTTTTTGTTAGGCTTATATGAATCATATCAAAAGTCAAATGGAAGATAATGGAGTTGTAGTATGATTGCCAATGAGTCAAGTATCCACCAAAGACCAAAAGCACAAACACAGCTTACAAAAAGACAAATGATCTATCTATGAGTACTTACAGTATCTGAAAGCTAGTTAGGTCAATTTCAACTAATGAATAAACCCAAATTTTCCAAAGCCAAAATATCAATCAGTACACCTCCAATAGATTTTCTGTTAAGACATCATATTTAGCCTTAGAAAAGCATGACCTTGTGTAATACTAAAAGCTAAGTATTAACAGGAAGAAGGACCAAAAGTCTTATCGATAGCAGTACATGTTTAGTTATGTATTAAACTATTGAAAATGAAATTAATGTTTTGCAGATAAAGACACTATTCAAAGATCTTACTACTATGTTTAATTAATAATCTTTAAAAAATATTGTATTTAAAGGACTAATAAGTTTAAATGGATCATATCTTAATTTACAAACTCAAAACTTTTGAAAAATTTTCATGTGATATCAAAGAATGTTTTTTAGGACTAAATGAAGTTATTTTCTTGAAGTATTTTGCCCTCCCAATAAGTATCAGTCAAGATGATGAATATTAAAATTGCACTTCTGTGATTAAAGATTCTTCAACTTATCCTTGGTTAATTGTTTAATATTGTCAATTCTTTGTTTGTTTCAGATACATCAGGAGCTACTATGAAGAATCCATTGGAATGGGAAATGTCAGGAAAGAACTTGTTTTCCATGGCCGTTATTGGAACAGCTTTCTTTATCATCAACATCTTGATAGAGTATAGAATATTTTACAAGAACAGGTAAGTTAACTAGTAACAGGGGATCATTGTATATATCTTATGTTGATATCAATGCAAAAAACCTCAAATATACATTTGTAAAATAACCAAATGGTCAGTTTTACTTGAATGAACTGAATGAAAAAATCAATAGGTGTTGACCTTAAAACCCTTCATTTACTTAGTTCCTTCTATAGTTTGGATTTGATTGTTTTTTCTTCTTCAAAATTTTATATATGAAAATGGCAAAATGAATGATTGATTAATTTATTATATAGAGAAGTGAAACCTCGACATGAGGAAACTGATGACGAAGACGAGGATGTTGCTAAGGAACGTATCAGAGTATTGGCAGGTGGCGCTAGTGATGAAATATTGACCATACAGAATCTAACGAAGGTTGGTTTGATTGTACAGGTGTTTTTATGCCTCACCTACGATAGTAGAGGGGCATTATGTTTTTCGGTCTGTGCGTCCGTTCGTTCGTCCGTCTGTCCGTTCGTCCATCCGTCCGTTCGTCTGTCTGTTCCACTTCAGATTAAAGTTTTTGGTGAAGGTAGTTTTTGCTGAAGTTGAAGTCCAATCAACTTGAAACTTAGTACACATGTTTCCTATGATATGATCTTTCTAATTTTAATGCCAAATTAGAGTTTTGACCCCATTTCATGGTCCACTGAACATAGAAAATGATAGTGCGAGTGGGGCATCCGTGTACTATGGACACATTCTTGTTATCAATTGAAAAAATTGCCGAAGTTTTCTGTGTGAATTTATTACAGGACTTTTAAATTTTAAAGAATATAAATATACTACAAAGTTATGTAAAAAGAATGGAGAAATATAAAAATTTTCATTCCTCATAAAGAATGGAGACATATTAAATCAGATTCTGTCGATAATACATATTTTCTGATTATTTTTTAAAAATTAACAAAACATTTGACGGTACAATCCTATTTTACTGATTCAGGTAATGTTATGATTTGAATTATTATTAGGTGTACAAGTTATCAGGCAGTAAAGGAAAGCATACAGCAGTAGACAGAGTTTGTTTAGGAGTACCACAGGGTCAGTGTTTTGGATTATTAGGTGTAAATGGAGCTGGAAAGACTACCATGTTTAAAATGCTGACAGGTGCCCTCAACATGACAGAAGGAAATGCTTATATAAAAGGAGAAAGGTAAGTGTGATTTTATTGTGGAATAATAAGGGGATTTGTATAAAATAGCCAGTGTAAAGATATACAGATTCAAAATTTTAGCTTAAAGAAAAAAACTTGTGGAAGTTTGCATTCTCACATGATAAAGGTTATTCTATTATAAAGTACAAAAGTTTTTTAAGAAGGATGTAATTGTCACCTTAAGTTTATAATTTTTTTTTTTTGTGTGATGCTGAAATATTTGATATTTCTTTTTTTTTGTGTGATGCAATAATATTTGATTTTTCTTAAGCATAAGTTACTATAGCTTTTTCTGAAAAAAAGTTTATATATGTTGAGTTTACAACAATTCATGCAACTTAGTGTTAATTATCCTTTTCTTTACAGTATAAAATCTAACAAGTTACAGAGAGATATTGGATATTGTCCACAGTTTGATGCTGTTGATTCTTTACTAACAGGAAGAGAGGTTCTCAAATTTTATGCTAGGTTGAGAGGAATACCAGAAAAAGATGTCAAAGAGGTAATTTGTGGTGGAATTAATATTCTGGATTTTTTTTTTACTTAAACATTAAGTTCAAATGTTTAAAAGTAATACTGTAGAAAAAGTTAATGAATATGTTTGGAAAAAAGAGAAAATTTCAACATTTCTTGTTTTCTGGTACATATCATTTTCAATATTGACAATTATCTTGGACTGAAACTTTTTGTCATACATGTACATTATTTTTGTCTTTTTTCAGTTTACTAATTGACTTGTGTAAGCAATTTTAGGATAAATTATTTTGTTTTAGGTAGCTGACTGGGGTATAAAGAAGCTTGGTTTGGTACAATATGCAGACAAACTATGTGGATGTTATTCTGGTGGTAATAAAAGAAAGTTATCAACAGCCATGGCTCTTATAGCCAACCCATCTCTGATATTTTTGGTGAGTTATGAAACAACCAATTAATTTAGGGGTTAAATTTTCTTCCCTGATATGAACAGTTTTTCTCTTGAAACAAAAGTCACATTATTGAAAATCCTGACACTTAGTTAAACTTTTATGTTCTGAAATTCTAAACTGTTTTTAATTGGGAGAAAATTGCTGAGTATGGTCAATATTATTATTTTTTTAAGCTATGATATAAAAATAAGGAGTTGTGGTATGATTGCCAATGAGATAACTCTCCACCAGAGACCAAATGACGTAGACGTTAGTAAATATAGATCACCCATGTAAGATCATTTAGTCTGGCAACAATTTTTTTACAAGAAACTGTTCCTCATCTTAATGATTTTTCCTGTAGTACATATTGTAGTTGTAAAAAAAGCAGTTGAGAGAAAAAAAATATTGGAGTAATTTCACATATGCATGTATGTAACATGTTTTTGCATAAATTTGGGATGAAATTAGCTAAAACTAGACCCCAGATATACTTCACTAATTACAAAAAAACTATCTTACAGGTATAAAACACATGTCACTTTAAATATGTATAATATAGTACATAATTATGCATTAGAATTGAGCACAGAATTTAATTTTAAATTTGATTTCAATTTTTAACTGCTATTCATTTAATTTATTTGAACTTAAGGATGTCAAACAATCAATGATAAATATCACAAACAATAATGATACTAGGTTAATAATTAATCATTTATTTTAAAATTTCTTTCCATTTCAGGATGAACCCACTACAGGAATGGACCCTAAAGCTAGAAGATTTTTATGGACCTGTATAAATAACATTGTAAAAGAAGGCAGATCTGTAGTTCTTACTTCTCATAGGTAATATCTTGATTTCATGAATTGATGTATCGATGGGATGGACAAACACAAGACAGCACCATGATTAATTTGGAAGTAAACAAACAAAATAAATTAACAATGTTTTCGTTCACTGTTATTTGTCTTAACAGTCTTTTGAAGGCCTTCAGCGGGAAGTTTGGTTAAGAAATTAAACCTTGCAGCAATAAGAATACCCCTGGTGTAGGCTTAAGCATCTCTTTCGTGAAAGATTGTGCTTTTGCTGTATCATGAATATCATAATTATAAATAAGACAGTGGGTTTTTAATATTATGTTAAAAAATAATGAATTGTGGAAAATAAAAATCATTTCTTAGATGGTAACTTCACTTTGTCACATCTGATGTACCCCTTTTTTACACTACTTATATTTAAACAACAACAAAAAATTGCTGTACTAATTGAATTGTTTATGACTGATGTATATTACAGTATGGAGGAATGTGAAGCTCTGTGTGATAGATTATCTATAATGGTTAATGGAAGATTTAGATGTCTTGGTAGTACACAACATCTCAAAAACAGGTCAGTTTTCTTCATCTAATTACAAAAATAGGTCAGTAAATATCATCTTCAGCATAATTACAAAAATAGGTCAGTAGATATAAAATCTCATTGAATGTACATGTCGCTAAAATCTCATGGAATGTACATGTCGCTAAAATCTCATGGAATGTACATGTAACTAAAATCTCACAGAAAGTACATATAACAAGATTGTCATGGAATGTACATGTGACTAAAATCTCATGGAATGTACATGCAACTAAAATCTCATGGAATGTACATGTAACTAAAATCTCATGGAATGTACATGTAACTAAAATCTCATGGAATGTTCATGTCACTAAAATCTCATGGAATGTACATGTAACTAAAACCTCACAGAAAGTACATATAACCAGATTGTCACGGAATGTACATGTAACTTAATGGAAGATTTAGATGTCTTGGTAGTACACAACATCTCAAAAACAGGTCAGTTTTCTTCATCTAATTACAAAAATAGGTCAGTAAATATCATCTTCAGCATAATTACAAAAATAGGTCAGTAGATATATTCGTCAGCATAATAACACTTCATCTTGACAAAATCTCAAGAGAAGTACATATAACCAGATTGTCACGGAATGTACATGTCACTAAAATCTCATGGAATGTACATGTAACTAAAATCTCACAGAAAGTACATATAACCAGATTGTCACTGAATGTACATGTAACTAAAATCTCATGGAATGTACATGTAACTAAAATCTCATGGAATGTACATGTCACTAAAATCTCATGGAATGTACATGTAACTAAAATATCATGGAATGTACATGTAACCAGAATTTCATTGAAAGTACATGAAAACCAAAGATTCATAGGATTTACATGTAACCAAAATCTCAAAGGCTGTACATGTAACAAAACCTTTTGAAAAACTAGAAAATAACCAATAGATCTAAGTTAAAGTAAGGTTAAAATGGACATTTAAATGTATAGGATACAGAAATCACTTTTAACCACAACTTTCCCTAAAAGGAGGCATTACCATGTTAAATTATATAATAAACAATTACTCCATAATCTGAATTTCTCTTCTCTCATTAATTAAAGTGAGTGGTCATCAAATTGACATTTCCGGTTGTAACCGAGGAATGTATCAAATAAAGGAAGACAAAGTTCATTTTTCATAGAACAATTGATTATTATAATTCATTGTTTTCTTTTTTACAGATTTGGTGATGGATATACTTTACTATTGAGAATATCAGGAGAGGATCCAGATCTTACATCAGTAGAAAACTTCATAACAAAAACTTTCTCTAGCGCTATACTGAAGGAATCTCATTATAATATGTTACAATATCAACTTAAATCAGAGATTAAATTGTCATATGTGTTTGGACAGATAGAGTCTGCTAGACAACTACTAGATATAGAAGACTATTCTGTTTCTCAGACTACACTTGATCAGGTATTTAATCTTGTTTTATCATATTTTTCTTACCAGTCTGCCAAAACCTCTAGAATTTGTTTTATTGTGGCATTTTTCCAAAAGAAGATTAATTTTGATAACAACAGTAATTTGAATATAATGTAAAGGAGATGTGCGGTATATGTCAATGAGACAGGAACCCAACTTCTAAAAAAGTATCAGAAATCTAGTGGTCAAAAACACTACTATTTCATCAATTTTCATGATCTGACCACATGAACATATGTGAATTGAATACAAGTAGAACTTTATTTATGAAATATTGTCTGAACTATCTACTTGATTCTATATCAATCAAAGAAATAACATGTATTTTCATGAATCTGCTATTCCTAAGTTATTCCCATTGATTGTACCAAATTTTAGACTTTTTCCCATCATATACATGTATGTCATTTGTTAAAAATGAGTACATCCATGTGCATGGACACATTCTTTTTTCATTTTCTTATTTTTATTGCAAATTAACAACTGACAATTGAAAAAAAAACAGAAATATCTGAAACAACTTAGGAAATTCTATCTGTATATAGCTTGGTTAAATTTATATATGTTTGAACAATACACACAGCATACAGACGATGCACAAAAGACTGACAAATTTTCATGGTAAAAAGAAGCACTGCAGCTATGTATAAAAGAATTTTCAATTGTCACAGAATATTGTTATGTATTTTCAGGTTTTTATAAATTTTGCCAAAATCCAGACAGATTTATATGATGAAGAGGTTGAATCAGAAAAGAATGGGAAAGGTAATTTTCTGATATTTTTATTCTCATATTAAGAATTGGCACTGTATGATAAAAAGTATTAAATTTGAAGAAAAAAAATGTATAGAAATCAAGAAATTTATGTAATGTCTTATATTAAACGAGACTACAACTCACCACGAACATGACAAGACCTTCAACAAATGGTCATTAATGCTCATTTAAAAGTCTCTAACTTCCCTTGTAAAGGACTAATTTCAAGGAGAAGAACAATCTGATTTAAGCAATTTACTGTACAAGTGAAAACATTAATAGGTTACTGTGAAAGTACTTTTATTCGTGGGGTACAAATTTTTGTTCTTTTCGTGGATGGCTTTATTCAGGAATTTAAGTGTCCAACGAAATATAACAACTGTTGTTCAAATCAAGACATGGAAAGATCCCAATGTAGGTTTGACTACATGGATAAGGGTATATAATCTAGAGAATATACGAATATCAGCAAACGCACTATGAACTATATATTCAGACAAGATTTTACCTATTTAATCTTTAATAAAACCTAAACTGTACGACTTTTAACCTTTTTATTCTCATGAAAAATTAGTTTTGATCGATGAAAGTCAGACTTCCGGTGATGATATGCAATGATGAAGTGTTCATTTTAGCTCCTCATAATTCTCATACGAAAAAAAAAAATAATAATTTCGTATTGGGCTTGTTTTTTTTATTTCATAAGAATTAATTCTCAATTCAAAGTGCATTTGTAGCATTTTTTTTTAAGTAACCATTTTCTTTAAGTGACATGTTTATGGCCCAATTAACATCTTTGATGATTGTTAATCCGTGGATCATTCGATCATGGGTTACTTAGTGTCATCACTTCTGATTACACGTGTGCAACAATTAAAATGTTTACTTTTCATTTCCTTCAATCAAGACAATTTGTAAGCATAGATGAATCAGCTTATTCCCGAAAGCAATTATTTTATCAAAAAGTTGATGAATGTTGTCAGTAATGAAAGACGAACAAGTAAGTGAAAATGAACACCTTATGTTTGTAATGTCCAACAAATCATTATTAAGAACATATGATTATTTTCAAGAATCATCGTTACTGATGGCCCCAAATTCTTCATTCAACTTTTTTCAAAAAACTAAAACCCATGAATTTAAGAACCCACGAACATGCAACTTTTGCTCAATCCACGAAAAATTGATGCCCATGAATAAAGTACTTTCACAGTATTTAAAATCACAAATAGTAGACCACATATTCCTGTGAATAAAAGGTTTGTAGGGTAGGTGTCAATGAGACATCAACCCAACAACCAAAATAAATAAAAGACATCTAGAGGGAAACATACAATCTTCAACAATAGACAAGTTTCTGTACAATACGTCAAGCTCTTAATTGTCTCAAGTTTATATATGTTGAGAAAAAATTAACCAGAAACAATCAAAGATCTGCCAACAACACCCAACTCTCAAAATAATGAAAAAACAAGTACTGTGAAAGTACTTTAATTCGTGGGTATCAATTTTCATGGATTGAGCATTAGATACATGTTCGTGGATTTTAGTTTTCTGAAGAAAAAACAAATTGAGTGAAGCGAAGCCATCAAAAACGAAGATTATTTATAATAACCATGTGTCATGTATGTTGTTTTATAATGATATGTGGACATTGCCAAAAAAAGGTGTCAATTTTTACTAACTTGTTCAACATTCTCAACAAATTTGAAATAAAATAATTGCTTTTGGAAATAAGCTGATTCATCTATGCTTAGAAATTGTCTCGATTGAAGTAATTGTATATTTCGTTGGACATTCAAATTCGTGGATAAAGTCATCCACGAAAACCACGAAAAATTGGTTCCCCACGAATAAAAGTACTTTCACAGTATCGTATGACAACTACTGACAGGGTTGATGACTTAGGATAGACTCATTTAGATGTGTATGTGTTTAATAATTTATTTTGTGAGTACTTACTCTTTACTAATACCTTGCACAGTGGATTATTGTGAATTAAAATGCATTAACATACATTAATTAGTAATAAGCTACAAAAGTAGGATCAACATGTAACATTACTGAAAACTAATATTGCCGAAAGCACTTGTGCTACAGCACCTCAATGATACTAGATTGAAAGCTACAATATCTCCTTCACCAGGACAGTAGTCAAATTACCTCCTTTGGCTTCAGTGTGACTACATGAACATTTGGAGAAACCCCATTTATAAAAGATTGATTGTTACTAGTTGATTCTTTACACAATCTCATAATATATTGTGGCTGGCTATGTGAAAGATCATCAACATAATAACAAAGTTACAGCACATTGACTTCGAGTGTATAGGTAAAAGTAGTATCTTTGGTTATTAGCTTGCTTGCTAGCTGAACCATGAAATCATTATTAGCTAAGGTACAACCTTCATTTGACCTACACACTCAAATCATTGTGCTGTAACAGGATCAAATAAATAAGTTTAGTTTACATGTAAAAGGAGCAAACATTTTGTGTGTATAAAGTGTAGTGCTTCCAAAAGTTATATTTAAAACTATGTCTGTTGTAGAAAAAGAGATGATAGAACTTCGAACAGTGAGCATCAATAGTGCAGAAGTTAAGACAGGGCCTAATGGACATCTTACTCTTAAAATGCCAGAAAGTACAACAAAATTGTAAAATGGAGTCCGTAGCCTAATGCTGGACTGAAAACCTGGAAATGCTTATATCTGTTAGCCTTGCTTGATTGAAAACCTGGACATTTTTAAGCTTTGTAGCTATGCTGGATTGAAAGCCTGGTAATTCTTATAGCTGTCTAACCTTGCTGGATAGAAAACCTGAAAAACCTTATAGCTTGAACTCTATGAAGTAATAGAAGTGTAAGAGAACAATAAATGTACTGTTGTAGGGAAAGGAATATTGTATATTCAAAAGGGGCCGTGAAATGTTTATGTATAACTTTTAAAGAAGGAGTCTGAAATATTTTAATCAGGAAAATTAAACCAGATGTTTCCCTTTTCTTGGTACTTGATTTTAAAATATTGTGAATATCGATACCAAATTTCATGGATAGCAACAAATTACCAACTTTATAAGTATTCAATGAAATATATGGTTTTCAATTTCATTTAAAAGATACATATTAAAACAGGAAATAAACTACTATCAAAATAAATACTTTTTTTAAACCACAAATATTGCTATCCAAGAATACATTCTTAACAACTGCTTATTAATTGAAATCATGTGCGCTAGTTTTATAAGTTTATATAGTTTTACAAAGGTTAGTTATTTTATTGAGACTAAATAGATTTGATTTTTTAAGTGCTATATATTTTCTTGTATGACAAAGTTATACAAGTTTCACTCCTCTGTATTTACACTATTATTTTATGAATATGCATTTTTATGAATATGCATTTTTATGAAATTTATATGTTTATGAAATAAATTGTTTATTTATAATAACATTTTGTAGTCTTTTGTCATATGTAATTGTTCAGGCTGCTTAAGAAATTTTAACGATCTGTCTCCAAAGTCAATCCTTCTAAGCATAGTCCATTTACTAGCCTTTGTTCCTAGTTGTGTTTTGAGCTTTGTGTTGATCTGATGAATCCAGCCTTTTTCAGCTGATTTTAACAGTTGTTTTATGATGTGCTGTTAAACCACTGTTGTAGGTTAGGGTGATGGTTTTGCACTCCCAAAAATGTTTAACCCCACCACATTCTGTGCCAGTCCCTAGTCAGGAGCCTGTAAATTAATGGTTGTCATGTTCGTTTTTTGTTTATTGTTTTGAACATAAATCAGGCTGTTGGGTTATCTCATTTGAATTGTTTTACATTTTTTAGGCTTTATATAGCTTAATGTTCAGTATTGGTTCTGCCCATTGTTGAAGGCCATACTGTGACCTGTAGTGGCTTACATCTACATTATTATACCCCGCTTTAAAAAAGTGGGGGTATACTGTTTTACCTCTGTCTGCCCGTCCGTCCGTCCATCTGTCCATCCGTCAGTCCCATGAATATTTTTTGTCGCATCTTTCTCAGGAACTACATCATAAGGATTTCTGAAATTTGGTTTCAGGGTTTATATAAGTCAGCTATATCGTGTGAAGCATTTTCAGATTCATCACTCAACAACTTCCTGTTTAAGAACACTTACATATTTTTACACTATTAAAATTATCCAGTTGCAGCGGGGGTATCATCAGTGAGCAGTAGCTTGCAGTTTCACTTGTTTAGTCTTTGGTGGATACTTGTCTTATTGGCAATCATACTATCAATACAGCTGACTAGAGTTTTTGCCCTTCACTGTAAATTTTTCTGCCAGTAGTTTAAATATTGACATGTTGCTTAATATAGAAGTATTTGCAATGTATAAATTCTCAAAATAATTTGCAAAGATTACACATTGACAAAGCCCTCAAGTACTGATATCCTCCTACTCCTTGTGATAGGCTATTGCTATGAAAGTACTTTTATTTCTGAATACATAATTTTGTGGTTTTTTGAAAAGCCCTTTTCATGGCTTGTTTAAAGCAAGCAGCAATATTCAGAAATCATTAGAAGGACTGGTGATGGCCAAGTATAATTTCTTAAAACAATGGTAGAAAATAAAAAATAAGTATTAGTTTGCACAGTTGACTACACTGGTGTATGCCCCATTCCTGAAAATCACATGGATAGATGAATTTGAAGTAATATGAGTGAATTTGTTAGTTGTACATAACTGTTCTGTGTCTCTTAAGATACATAAAAGACTCCTGGCATGTGATATAAATTATTTATTCTTACATACCATATAACTTAATTGGAAAATTACCAAAAATTTAACAACTGGTAATTTGATGGCAAATTAGGGGAAGTATTCAGAAATATTCTCAACTGCACACCTTCAGTAGTTATCTACAAACTTCAAAATATAAAGATTCCCTTCCAATAACTACATATGCACATCTTCAGTATACGTTAAACTGATTTACAAAATAAAAAGGTTCTACCTTTCAAACTATTAAGAGCAGTCAACAGACAAACCATATACATTTTCATGTAAAATAAACTGTTGACACAGAGACATGTCTCGCCTGTCGACATAAAATTCAGAAAAAGACAATCTGATGGACACCAACATGGTTTATTAATTCAGTCGCTGGACCATTATCTAGTGGGCAGGGCCTCAAAATAGTCGTCAAACTAATATGAACTGATAGTAATGCAACTTTATATTAAATATCAATGATCTATCACAAGTAGTTCCTATCAAACTAACTTAAGCAAAAAACTTAACAATTGTTGACGCCTTTGCCGCAGCCATCGCAAGAAAAGCAATCCCTATGTCTTGCTTTCCGCGACTTTCATCGCAGGTGAGACAAAAACATAAATGTATGTTATATATATGGACAAACTGATGGATGGAAGAAGGGATTGAAAGGGGGAAATTAATATGCTCTGGCTTTTCATATACAAATATATATTGTGAAATATATATAAAATTTAATAGGGTTCCGCTGAACCCAGTGTCTCGCCTACTTTTGCTGTTGTCTATGTTTTCAGTGTGATAGGGGAATGCACATAATAGATTTACAGTTAATGAAATAAAACATTTGAAATGTATGAAAAAAGTTATGCTTGTAAAAAATGAATACAGTATGCAATCAAATCTATAGATTTATAAAAGAGTTGAAACATAAATTTATTGACCGAACAAATGATAAAGAAGATAATTTTTACATTGCTTGATGATTTATCCCTTAATTCATCAATAAAAATGCATGTAAATAGAAGATGCAATTATAAAATTATAAAAAAAATGAACTGGATTTTTTTTTACAAAATCTACTTCTGGATACTATCTATGATCATAAACAAGCTTCTGTCCAAGTTTGTTTAAAATCCAGGATAGTTTAAGAAAGTTATTAAGATTTAAAAAACTTTAACCACAGAGTGAATATTTGGGAAAAAAATTATTGAAAATTTTCCTCTAGATACTATCTTTTGATTGTAAGAAGCTTCTGTCCAAGTTTGGTAAAAATCCAGGATGGTTTATGAATCTAATAAATGTTTTAAAAACTTTAACTGCAGACTGTATGTAATGTAAAAAGTCCATTTATTAGTAATATACAAAAAAACAGGAAATAAAATTTCACAAAATTTCCTTCTTGATATTAGCTTTTGATCATGAACAAGCTTCTGTCCAAGTTTGGTACAAATCCAGGATAGTTTATGAAAGTTATTGAAATTTTGAAAGCTTTAACCACAGAGTGAATGTAATGTTAATTGGCAGAAAAACTAAGTCCATTTATAAGTAAAATACGGATAAACAGGATTTTTTTTTACAAAATTTACTTGTGAATACTATTTTATGATCATAAACAAGCTTCTGTCCAAGTTTGGTAGAAATCCAGGATAGTTTAAGAAAGTTATTAAAATTTGAAAAACTTTAACCACAGAGTGAATATTTGTGGACGCCGCCACCGACGGAATGTAGGATCACTATGTCTCGCTTTTGCGACGAAAGTCGCAGGCTTGACAATGAAGGAAAATTGGGAGTAGACTACAATAAGACAGCAACTAAGCAAATGAAATAAAAAGATAAATGACAAATGAATGTCTTAAAATAGACTAATAATATGGTTGTCGTAACCGACTGAAGATCCAGCAATAACCAATTCCTTAAGGTCAAGGAACAGTAAATGGGCTATGCCACAGACAGTTTGTGCTAATTTTTTATCATTTAACATCATTAAAATGGAAATTTATGTATCTTCAATAAATTATAATTTTTTAAGAAAAAATTATGGATTTGATGATTTTAAGACAAATTTATGAACGTTTTTCACCAATTTTATGTGCTTTCTATACAGTTGTCCATTTAATTTGAAAGAATTCATTTAGTAATATTTCAGAAAATAAAAGAGATAAATGCAATATTTTTTTTATTTCAATTTTCAGTTATACTTCCAACAAGCTTAAGTTGTATGCAAAATTTTACCAAAATCTGTATTCAAACCGAGTTCATTTACTGAACCTTGACCTTCACACTGAAATTGTCTAACCTATTTAAAAATTTGTAAGGGTTCTGCGGAACCCAGTGTGTGTCTCGCCTACTTTTGCTGTTAGTCGCAGGCTCAACAAAAATAGGGAAAAAATTATTAAAAATTTTCCTCTAGATACTATCTTTTGATTGTAAGAAGTTCTGTTCAAGTTTGGTAAAAATCCAAGAAGGTTTATGAATCTAATAAATGTTTTAAAAACTTTAACTGCAGACTGTACGTAATGTTAACTGGAATAAAACTAAGTTCATTTATAAGTAATATACGGAAAAACAGGAAATAAATTTTTACAAAAATTTCCTTCTAGATACTAGCTTTTGATCATAAACAAGCTTCTGTCCAAGTTTGGTACAAATCCAGGATAGTTTATGAAAGTTATTAAAATTTTGAAAGCTTTAACCAGAGTGAATGTAATGTTAACTGGCAGAAAAACTAAGTCCATTTATAAGTAAAATACGGATAAACAGGATTTTTTTTTTAACAAAATTTACTTTTGAATACTATCTTATGATCACAAACAAGCTTCTGTCCAAATTTGGTACAAATCTAGGATAGTTTAAGAAAGTTATTAAAATTTGAAAAACTTTAACCACAGAGTGAATGTAATGTTAACTGGCAGAAAAACTAAGTCCATTTATGAGTAAAATACAGATAAACAGGATTTTTTTTTTGACAAAATTTACTTCTGGATACTATCTTATGATCATAAACAAGCTTCTGTCCAAGTTTGGTTGAAATGCAGGATAGTTTAAGAAAGTTATTAAAATTTGAATAACTTTAACCACAGAGTGAATATTTGTGGACGCCGCCGCCGACGCAGACTGAATGTAGGATCACTTTGTCTCGCTTTTGCGACAAAAGTCGCAGGCTCAACAAAAATGTAACCTTACATGTTATTTTTTTGCTCTTGAATATCCTTTTTTCCTAATAATAAACATTTATCACAGAGATATGTCTCGCCTTTTTGTAATTTTGATAATGCAAATGTTGAAATTAAAATAGCAATACTTTAACATGTAAGTTATGCAAATATTCAAAGTCGATGAACCATGACTGAAGGTACATGGCTAAACAGTCTCCATGGAATGAGATGTGCCAATGCTAATAAAACTGCATACCAAATACCATTGACTTATTATAAGTCTTCCCTTTAAACAAACCTAAACACAAACATTAACTTGTAAACTATGTAAAAGTTTCAAAGTCAATGAACCATGATCAGGGGTGGGGCTATATAATCTCCATGGAAAAGATACTTGCAAATGCCAATAAATTTGCATACCAAATATCATTGACTTAACATTAGCAGTTCATCTTAAACTGATCTAATCATAAACTAATACATGTAAACTAAGCAAAAGTTTCAAAGTAAATAGACCATGACTGAGGGGGCTGGGCCAAATATTCTCCATTGAAATGAGATGTGCTATTGCTTATACAACTGAACACCAATTAACATTGGGCTACCACTAATGGTTCCCCTTGAACTGACCTAATCACAAACTTAATACATGTTAACATAGCAAAATTTTCAAAGTCTGTAGACCATGACTAAGGGGGCGGAGCCAAATAATCTCCATGGAAATGAGATATGCCAATGCTTATACAACTGCATACCAAATATCATTTACCTACCACTAGTGGTTCCCAATAAACTGACCTAATCACAAACTAATACATGTAAACTCTGAAAAATTTCAAAGTCAATAGACCTTGACTGAGGGGGCGGGGCCAAATAATCTCCATGGTAATGAGATGTGCCAATGCTAATACAACTGCATACCAAATATCATTGACCTACCACTAGTGGTTCACCATGAACTAGACCTAATCACAAACTAATACATTGTTGACGCCGCCGTCGACGCCGGAAACAGCATACCTATGTCTCGCTTTTTGACTCCGTCAAGGCGAGACAAAAAGCAGCAGGTAACAGTAAATGTTGCTAAATGAGTCAGGTAAACTGATAGAAATGGATGTAGATATATAAAACAACAAACTACTTTTTTACAACAAAAACAATTTTATTACTCAGAATAATAATTTACATCACTTCTCAATGTCTGTACATAAAACAAGTGCATTTTCCAAATAAAAAGTCAGTCTAAAATTCTTTCTGTATACAAAAACCTTTTGCATGATTGTACACAACTAAAAAAGTATAACAAAGGTACTTTGCATTTAAAATTTCTAAAAGTACTTATCATTATGTTCTTAAGCTTCATTTTCAACATTATTTAAATTCTCCATCTTCAGTATTTTTCAAACGTAAGCCAATATACAGTTGTGATTTTTATCGAAGAAAACTGATATGAATTCAATTAATGCCCTCTTTCCTACAGCTCACAAACAAATAAATTCTGGCAATAATCAAACTACACAGCATTCAGGACATGGATAACTTTGTACAAATATAAAACTCATTACATAACTGTATTACAAATATTGCACTCATTCTTGGCTCACAACACAGACAAGAATAAAATAAAATACCTTGCACTGCATATACATGTTCAGTGAAACCTCTCATTCCATATCAGTTTTTGTTTAGGTTCATAAAGTATTAATTGCAATACCCAAAACTCGATGCACAATTTTATCCCTGTCATACATTTACAGAAGTACTTTTTACAAGTAACCTGTGCAATAAGTTAAAATTTCAAATCACAAAAATGAATGTTGATTCAATTTATTTGTAAGCTATTTATAAATATAACACTATCAGTTTATGTTTTTTATGAATTTTGTTGGAATATCAGTTTCTCATAAAAGCTATTACCTATATTTCAAGTTGGCAATATCTTTTTAGTTTTCAACATAAGCCTCAGGCTTTAATATAGGGGTTTATTAATCTTGTATCATACATGTAATGAGATTTTTTACAACTTGAACTCTCCATTGACAGCGTCTAACTTTTGCATAAGGACTTGTGCGCCTTTGAATGTCATTTTTTTCAAAGCATTTCGTACACCAATTAACTGTGCCGTGACTAGGTCTGTAACTTCTGGATGATCCAACTCCAATAAACTGTAAGATAAATATACAAGGTAAAATGTTCCTTCCTTTACTAATATATTAACAAAGTTTGTCTGTCATGTTGTGTTGAAGGTGTAAAAAGCTTCCCTGTGATGAGGTGTATTTTTATCAACAGCATATAATTCTTGAGATAATTTCTCCTATGTGTGCTACTTTACTTTTTTACTTTTGGCAAGTATGTTTATTAACATTATTTTGCAGTCCACCCAAGTTATCTATTCATATGTTATTTCCTGCAAAGTTATCTGACATATATCTTGATGTGCCCTGTGGTTGTCTAAATGTTTGTATTATATCTGTATTCAAAGGTGAGATTGTTAGGCTTTTAATGACAGTATTCGTTAAGATTTCATTATAAGATATAATACAGAACCTCAGGTGTGATCTTCAATGCAGATGAAGTGTGATTGATACACGATATCCTTTTTTTTTTCTATTATACAACCGAAAACTTGAATATCATATTGGGTACATCAATAAATTTTCAGATGATAATTCAAATTTTTAATCCAACACACTGTTAAAATGAATCTATATTATAGATAAAATTCTGTATAACACATTGATTAATTTATTTTATCTGTATCCAAGTTGTAATTTCTAAGTAATGAAAATATTATGTTAATTAAAAGATGAGACCTCATTGTAGATATAAGCATATCAAAGCATTGTAAACACCATTGATAATCAAGCAGTTGCTTACATCCAAATGTCTCATTAGCAATCATACCACATCTTCTTATACACATTATACTTACAATGCTAATGTAAAACATCCTCTGTTACAAGCTGCCCAAGATTTCAAACATCCATCTGGTAATGTCTGTAATAATATCTGGGAAAACAGCACTGCAAAATACACATCAGTCATTGTTTACAATATGCAATACACTAGGTGTATAAATAAATACAATAGCAACTAGGTGGAACTGTTTAAGTGGACTAAAATAAATTTTTACAGTACAGCCTTCAACAAGAGGGAAGGGAATCTGATATCTTTAACCATTTATCTTATGTTGGGTGGGGCATGACCTCCCAAAACCAATGGTAAAATCTTAGTTGCATTGAAAAAGGTCTTGAGAACATATATGGTTTTGAGGTGAACATATAAAAAATCAATTATTTGACCAAAATGGTCAGAGCATGGTCAGAGGTCATCTTCCATGGTAAGTGACACATCTTCTTGGGGTGCTGTTAAATATCAAAAGCTATGTCTCAACATGAAAATGTTAAAAAAATCTACAATTTGACCTTGAGGTCAAAGGTCAAGATCACTTTACAGGCTATAATGGTGATACATCTTCATTCTTAATATAAGTCAATGTAAAAAGATAAAACAATGTTTTGGCCCTAATAAGTTTGTACGAGAACCAGAAGAAGATATAGTGCTTAAACTAAAAGATTCCCTTTGTCGAAGGGGAGACACAATAGAATAAAAACACATGGGGATTATTGGATTTCGTAATATGAAATTTTTGGAAAAAGTAACCATTATATCAGTAAGTAATTTGTACTACTTTCCCTAAAAAAATTCACAAGGGAGTCATATCTATTATGAACAATTGATATGGAATTTAATACCTGTAATAATTTTCCCCTTTTTTTGCCAATGAGCCCAGTAATTACTGAACACAGTTTTTCTCTTGTTGGGTAACGTTAGATTTTTGCTAAAAACTGAACATAAGGGTTAGTAGTATATAACAGGAAACCATTGTGTACCTGATTTTCCATCTTGGATCCTCTCTTTGTCAGACTGTATTAACTTCTTTAGAGCCATGTGACCAGCACTATGTTCTACAATATGCATGTTTTGTAAACTTCCAGCCACAAATGGTTCAGATGCTATCTTAGCTATTGCTGTCATAGCTTCTGTTGGATCTCCTGTAACAAGGCAAAAGAACCACATAAAAGTTTCTTTAAATTCTATGCTATCCTTAATGTATGGAACTATAGTTTTTGTTATAATTTTTAATAACTATTACGTAAAATGTGAAAAAAGTAACCTTGAAAACTGAACTCATAATATAGATAACTCATATATTATAATATTTTTTAAGTGAGAAAAAAATAAATGACATACTACCACAAAATATTGACCAATGAAAGTCAATCATGGTAAGGCTGTGGTAACCAAAAAGATGCTTGTCAGTGTTAGTTATGTATTAAAGAAGGTTAAAATCGTGGAATAATCAAGGTTTCTTAGAAATGGAGCCAGTCACTGGTATAAATGTAGGATTAATTGACAAATGTATCTTGTATTTACAAGTTTAAAATTACAAACCTTGTCTACATTCATTACAGGGCATATACACATTACTTAATATCAACAAGAATTGATTGTACGATATAAGTTTTGAAGGAGACAAATACATATATAGCAACAAAAGCTTGGAGGCATTACAGAAATGATTGAATGGAAAAGCACAATTTAAATAATGTGAAGTTCATAAAGCAAGTGAAAAAAAACAATAATACAGCAATTTCCATCCCCAATCTTTTGGATTAAGAAAGTTAGTATGGTAACAAAATAAAACCTTACCCAAAGAATGTGTAATGATGGCTGATAAAAACAGCAATGAAGTATTGTCCATTACAAGTTCTCTAGTATAATCCACTATGTACTTTAATAATGGTTCTGATACAAATTCTAACAGTTCTCTGTGACGTATTGATTTCTGTTTTTTGCTGAAATGCATTAACTACCATTAATACTTTGAACTGAAGTGAAAGAATAATGTATATGACAAGAAGAATCTGTGTGATTTTCATCTGTTATTTTATGAAGTACTGGAGTTTTTCTTCAGGTCCAATGGTTTAAGTCAGTACTTCAGTAGACATGATTTATAACAAACCTTTCTAAAATTGTCTGTTTAAAAATTTAGAAATTATAAAGAAACTAAGGTTTCAACTCCCTCAGGCAAAGTTGACCTTAGATGGATTTGGCTATTGTTTAGGTCCTTTTTGGTTATATAGCTCTTCAACTGTTTCGGCACTTATACATCCTTGGCTTTCAAAAATGGTTTTGAGCATTCCTGATGAAGGTAAATCCAGAAAAGCTCTTCAGAAGCATAAAATTTATAGCGTGTTGTTTTCATTTTTTAACAATACAACTTATCAACTGCTTATATATTGAAACAATGTGTGGTTGTTCCCTTTATACTGCAATTCTTACAAGTATCCACTAAAATGCAATTTTTTCTTGATCCATGAAAAAAACTGAATCTGCAGTGTTTGATGTTTGAGATGTACTAGGTTCTTATTTTTCATATCCAAATTTGTATGAAGGTAATTCTGAAATAATCATTCTAAATCTGTATTTTTTGTATCTGTTTATGCAACAAGATAAAAACAAATAAGAAGACTGACACAATCACTGGCTGGACAATCAGAAATTAACATTACCTAGTTGTACTGAGATCAGCCTCTTGTAAGATCTTAACAACATCTGGGTGGAAAAAATGTGGATCTCTTGGACATAGTAAATACAACAGCACTTTCTTTCCATATTGATTCTTAGCTAGTTGAGGCACATTCTTAATAACATCCTAAAATGAAAAGTGACCTTTTCAATAATTTATCTAACATATGTTGTATAATATCTTGATTTCTTTAAAAAAAAAAATGTGGTTCAATGCAAACCTTTGACAAAATAAACAGTCAATTTAAAGATTTAACTCATTCAACCTCAAGAGATTTCTGGAAAATCAGGCAGTGTTCTCCTCAGGCCCTTAAAGGACCGCGGGCCCGTGATGTATAATTTTTTACCGTGGTGGTATCGTTCTTACCGCGATGTATAATTTTTCTCTGTGGTGCTAAAATTTTCAGTTTAAAAGTCGTAAATCGGTAAAGTTTTAAACGACTTGTTAAATCTTTTCCGTGCAGTATAAAATTCCAGGTGTAATTTGACCAGTTCAAACCAGTTCAACACAGATTGTTTACACCACGTGATCGATTTACCTTATGAGGTTAACCTTGTTGATTGGATTTAATCGATGTAATTCACACTTGTAACATGATTCTTTTGTGTTTTAATTAAGAGTTCATAACTTTATGATCACAGATAACTATTTTATGGCTTCACTCACCACCCAAGCACTGACCTGTGACAAGTCGGCAAATACTTTGTACACAAACAGTGTCTTGACCCGTCTTGTACATCATAAAGGTGGCTCATTACGTATAATTGACAATTATACATTTCTCAATTCTTATATTATAGTATTATATGTCTCTGATTAAACCATGGCCAATTAATAATTATCTTTAATTGTGACATAGTTATTGCATGATAGTCGGGTTTCAAACTGTAGTATCTGTCTGTACATATCACATGACCAAGTTAGTTCACGTAGAATATTCAAGTACAATTAATTGCAATCTATTCTATTTTATAAATAAAATGCATGACTGTACCTTCAAACTGGATATCTATATCCATAATAAATGAATAACAGAAGTAATCTTGCAAATTTTATCCATAAGCACATGTTAAATCTATTTATATCTACTTCCTGTCATTTAGGCGGGAAAATAGGGAGACTTAGTTCTTGACATTGAATATGGTTACTTATAGATCTGTAGACCAAAGATAAATTTATAGATTTAGGAATTCTTTTTAAATGGTTCATGACAAATAAAGATTTAGATTTCAGTGCAGTATTAAGTCTGTATCTATGTTTGATTATCACAAAAGACAAGAAAGGTTAATATTTACATGAAAGCTATGGCAAAATGTTCTAAAATTTATGAAAAATTTCTTTTTATTAAAATCTAAAGATAGAAACTGGTTCAAATAATAAAACAATATTTGCAATTGTTCTTGTCAATTTTATATCTTCTTATGACAGGAATCCTTTCACATACAACAACTTTCTTTCTAGAAACTAGAAAGTTTTTTTAATTGAACATTTTTGTTCTCTTTTGAATGATATTTTATTTTTATTGATTTTGGATTTTATAAAAGATTTAATTACTTTAAATTCAGATGAATATTTTATTATGAATCATAATTTATTTATTTTTAAAAAATATTAAAGTATGAAATATTTCCCCAAGCTGTCCACACGCGTTACCCTGGTGCTATCCAAAAATCCTGGGGAGAACACTGCTTATGCAAATAATATGCAAATTAGTAGACTCTTGATGCTGTAACTGATGCTGATCTAATAAACTATGTATTGAGATATGGGGGCGGATGGCATGGGGGGAGGTGGTATATTTTCTGGTAGGTTTGAACCCACTCCTACTGAAAAATGGTCATTTTCAGTCTATTTTTCGATAAGACCTTGAGAGGTGAACATTGTCTAAACTGTGTTTCTTTGTCACTCAAGTATTACCTTACAGTTACAGCAGTATATCCATACTGACTGGAAGTAAATGTGACTTGAGAATCTTGCTGGGGAATTATTATTGGCTAGCCAAGTATGCCTAAATGTCCGTTTTTTACCGATTTCTGACAAAACGGTGACCTAGATTTTACAGACCAGATTTCTTTTGGCCATATTATACCTCCATGTGTTCCTGTACCATCTATGTATGTATTAATGATAATAGTTGATACCTACAGCCCATACCAGTAACGTAGTGGCCATACAAAGACTCCCACCCCCACCTGATTTTGGCTACTTTTCACGTTTTTCCGATTTTGAACTCTAAAAAGGCCATTAAAGTTGCCATATTTTCATAATCACACATCTGAGAAGAGTTTATGGACCATGAATTGCATGGTTGAAGTCCCTGCTGTAAAGACAGTTGAGCTGGGGCAGTTCTAAAAAAGAATGGAGGGTCATACAGGCCATCAAAGACTACAGGCGGGATTGGGGTCGAAGGGGTTCAAGTACATTAGCAAATGATCAAAATTTCTCCCAAATTTTAAATTTTCTTTCTAAATATAGGGATACATCCACCTCATTTGAACTCTGGTGGATAGTTGTCTCAATTGCAATCATAACACATCTCCTTATTTTTAAAGACTCTAAAATTCTCTTGCTTTTGCATGAATAACAATAAGATTGAAAATTAATGATTTGGCAAAAGCAACAGGATGAATATCATAACACAAGCATTCTTATTCTTGATACCAATATCAAATAGCAGCATGTATACAGTTATTGCATTAATCTTACATTTTTATTGGCTAAGAAAGATTATTTTTAATAAGCGCATAAGTAAAATTCTGAATATAGAGTCTTCTGATAATACTGTGAACATTTTGAGAGTTTTCATATTTTTCTCTCTCCTTAACTACTTACAAGATGAAGTTAAATGTATGCACAAATTTATTTTTCTGAGAAAAAGAACACATATTCAAAAGTTTAAAAGAAAATCTTACATCAAGAATAGCTTTCTGTACTAGTTTTGTGTCATCAACACCATCAAACATGGCTAACATCACTAAGTGTCCATATTCTTCACAACAGATCTTCATCACATGGGTCTTTAAACTTTTAATCATTATTTTTCTGTCCTGAAATGTCAATATAACAAAATGTAGTGTAAAGACACTTTAATTTTTCTATATGTTTTGGATTTATAAGAAATATTGGTTTTATATATGTTACAGAATTACGTGGTTTAATAAAAAACCAGCAACATCACAAATTCACAAAACTTTGCTGGTTAGATAATTTTCTTCAAGACTAAAGTTGATGAAAAGGTAGACTGTAGGCTTTTGTAGGGAACTTGCCACTTGTAAAAGTGACTTTGTAAGACTATTTGGAAATAGAAATAGACAAAAACTGGAACTGTTACAAATTTTGAGATATTATTTTGTTTTATACCAAATTTTGACACTTTTACATGCAATTATGTGGTCATTTATTTGTGAACAAAACCAGAGTGTCTAAGAAAAATCACTGACCTTCAACAGGTTACAGACAAATAAAAATACATATCAGATTGTGAACCCTATCTTTTAGCAAGCCCCAATCTTCAGTAGGATAGCACAAAATTGTAGTGATTTAAGTAATGTCAGTTAACTAACCTAAACATTGTGGATACTTTTTCTTCTTTATCAATTTTCCAGTCCTTTTTGCATTTAACATACACATAAGGGGAGCTGTATAAAGAAATCTCTATTCTCAACTTTTAAAAAAGTCTGTCTTGAATTTATGAATGGAACCAATCCCTGCTAAACAAGAACAAACACTCACCTTAGCATTACCATACCAAAAGCAATACATAGCAACTCGTGATCCATCTCTTGTATGTATCATATGCATTAAAGATTCTCTTAAGGCTTCAATCATGTCCTACAGAAACCAAACATAAATTAAAATCATTCCATCATAATGTTTTTTAAAAGTTAATTGTATAAATCTGAGAAAGTCTAACTTTTAACATACATGGGAAAATTTACATGCATGTATTGAATATACAGTATCTTCATAAATTATCTACAAAACTGTCCACATGAAGAATTTAAAAGATATGAATGAAAAAATATGTTTCAGGTCTTTTTTGGTACTCTAATGAACATAATTAAGGGCAGAAACATTTTTTTTCCATCGCCTGTAAAACCACAGCACATTAATAATTCAAGAATGCATACTCCTCGTCATAAGCGATGACCTAAACCTTCTTGAATAGCTTAGGTCAGCACTTGTAAATAGGAAATTAATTATTTTTAAATAACATTGATTTCATTGCAATATTCGAATTCAACTCTTTTAATTTTTCTGACTCCTTTTTTCATGCTTTTTATTTATCAATTATTAGAATTAATACCCTTTAAAAGTATTGTATGTAAATCAGTAGGTATTTATATTTAAAGTTGATGAGGCATGGAAGAAGCAATTATTATTTATTGAACTAGTTGAAGTGACTTTCAAATGTTTAATGTTATTGATTACACTTGTCAAAATCAATCAATAACTTACGTCCCATATTACAGTGAAAAAGTTGAACCATTTAAGTTGAATCAAAACCATAGGTATTTTATGGCTCTAGTAACTAAGGATATTTTTCAACAAAAGACATTAATTTTTAGAAAATAAATGAATTAACATTTTTAGTGTATGTTATAAATTCTTAGATTGGATTTAAAACATAATTTATTTGAGTCCATGCAATATATGGATGTTTTTTTTAATTTGAGGGATCTGCCTCCAAAATATCTTTTTATCCTGTCCAATATCTTCGTATGAAAATGGAATCTTACAAGTGGGAAATCTTATCTATGAACCATTTTTACTTGAAAAGTGTATAGGCAACTGTTCACATTTAATAATAAAATGCTTCGCTGGGCGCAGCTTGATACGACCGCAGAGGTCGAACCCTGAACAGTTGGGGCAAGTATGGACACAACATTCAAGCTTGATACAGCTCTGAATTTGGATTGTGATTAAATATTTGACACAGCATAGGTTTCTGACACAGAAAGAATGTGGTCTAAGAACTTCAATTTTTTTAATTTACCTATTATGGTCCAATGTCCAAAATCAAAATACATGGTTAGATTCAGCATATCAAAGAACCCCATATATTCAATTTTTGTTGAAATCGAACAAAGTTTAATTTTGGACCCCAACTTGGACAAACTTGAAAACTGGTCCCATAATCAAAAATCTAAACACATGTTTAGATTCAGCATATCAAAGTACCCCAAGAATTCAATTTTTGTTAAAATCAAACTAAGTTTAATTTTGGACCCTTTGGACCTTAATGTAGACCAATTTAAAAAACGGGACCCAAAATTAAAAATCTAAAAACACGGTTAGATTTGGCATTTCAAAGAACCCCAATAATTAAATTTTTGATGAAATCAAACAAAGTTTAATTTAGGACCCTTTTGACCTCAATATGAAACAATTTGATAGCGGGCCCACAAATAAAAAATCTAAATACATGGTAAGATTCAGCATATCAAAGAACCCCATATATTCAATTTTTGTTGAAATCAAACAAAGTTTAATTTTGGACCCCAATTTGGACCAACTTGAAAACTGGGCCAAAAATCTAAAATCTAAATACATGTTTAGATTCAGCATATCAAAGAACCCCATATATTCAATTTTTGTTGAAATCAAACAAAGTTTAATTTTGGACCCCAACTTGGACCAACTTGAAAACTGGGCCCATAATCAAAAATCTAAACACATGTTTAGATTCAGCATATCAAAGAACCCCAAGAATTCAATTTTTGTTAAAATCAAACTAAGTTTAATTTTGGACCCTTTGGACCTTAATGTAGACCAATTTAAAAACGGGACCCAAAATTAAAAATCTAAATACACGGTTGGATTTGGCATATCAAAGAACCCCAATAATTCAATTTTTGATGAAATCAAACGAAGTTTAATTTTGGACCCTTTTGACCTCAATATGAACCAATTTGATAGCGGGTCCACAAATAAAAAATCTAAATACATGGTTAGATTCAGCATATCAAAGAACCCCAAGAATTCAATTTTTGATGAAATCAAACAAAGTTTAATTTTGGACCCTTTTGACCTCAATGTGGACAAAGTTGATAACGGGGCCCAAAAATCAAAAATCTAAATACATGGTTAGATTCAGCATATCAAAGAACCCCATATATTCAATTTTTGTTGAAATCAAACAAAGTTTAATTTTGGACCCCGATTTGGACCAACTTGAAAACTGGGCCCATAATCAAAAATCTAAATACATGTTTAGATTCAGCATATCAAAGAACCCTAAAAATTCAATTTTTGTTAAAATCAAACTAAGTTTAATTTTGGACCCTTTTGACCTTAATGTAGACCAATTTGAAAACGGAACCAAAAATTAAGAATCTAAATACACGGTTAGATTCGGCATATCAAAGAACCCCAATAATTCAATTTTTGATGAAATCAAACAAAGTTAAATTTTGGACCCTTTGGACCTCAATGTGGACCAATTTAAAAACGGGGCCCAAAATCCAAAAACTTAATACACGGTTAGATTCAGCATATTAAAGAACCCCAAGAATTCAAGAATAAAACCCCATTGAAATTGATCAAGAAATTAGCAATTTATACGAAGTATCTTCTTTTGCACAATACTGTGCAACTGAATATTTCTTGCTATTGTGCAATACTGTACAATTGACAATTTCTTGCTATTGCGCAATATTGTGCTATTGGATATTTCTTGCTATTGCGCAATACTGTGCAATTGAAGATTTCTTGCTATTGCGCAATACTGTGCAATTGAAGATTTCTTGCAATTGTGCAATACTGTGCAATTGAAAATTTCTTGCTATTGCACAATACTTATAATATAACAATTTACACATCCTGTTTGGTGTGTATCTCCTACCATATCATTATTATTTGCTTTTAAATATTAATCAGAAATAACCAACTTAAAATGGAAAATTTTAAAAGAAAAAAAAAAATGAAAAAAAGAAAAAAAAAGAAAAAAATAAAATCCCCCCCCCCAAATTTTTTGAACCCCCTTATGATTCATCACCCCCAAACTCAATCCCAGCCTTCCCTTTGTGGTATGGTACCTTGCAGTACAATTTCAGAGAGATCCATACACTTGAACACAAGTTATTGTCTGGAAACTAGAAAAATGCTTATTTTTGGCCCCTTTTTGGCCCCCAATTCCTAAACGTTTCGGGCAATTACCCACAAACTCAATTCCAGCTTTCCCTTTGTGATATGGAACCTTGTAGTACAATTTCAGAAATATCCAAACACTTACACACAAGTTATTGTCATGAAACTAGAAAAATGCTTGTTTTTTGCCCCTTTTTTGGCCCCTAATTCCTAAAATTTTGAGGCAATTACCCCCAAAATCAATTACAGCCTTCCCTTTGTGATATGGAACCTTGTGGTACAATGTCAGAGAGATCCATACACTTACACACAAGTTATTGTCTGGAAGTTACAAAAATGCTTATTTTTGGCCCCTTTTTGGCCCCTAATTCCTTAACTGTTGGTACCATAACCCCCAAAATCAATCCCAACCTTCCTTTTGTGGTATTGAACCTTATGGTAAAATTTCATGGAGATCCATTCACTTAAACTAAAGTTAGAGTGCGAAAACCAATGTGTCTTCGGACGACGCCGGACGACGACGACGACGACGACGACAACGACGACGACGACGCCAACGTCATACCAATATACGACCAAAAAATTTTCAATTTTTGCGGTCGTATAAAAATATGTTGATTTGAATTAAATAAGAAATCCAGAAGCAGCGAATGATTTATTGAAGTCAAGGCTAAAATGTAAAGCTACTACATAAAAATCTATAAATAAATATGTATCTCGGATAATCAATAGGAATACTATTTCAACTACAGGCCGCCTAATAAAACTAAATATGGGACCCAAGGAAGGCACTTTAAAATTTCAATTCTAGGTGGGTGTCAATTTTTTGCACAGTGATAGTGTGAAGTTCAAAATTTGCCTCTGTAGGTGGTTACCCTATTTTGAATGTGCCATCCCTTATTACCATGTCTGTTTAAATAGTACAGCCCTAAATCTAAGTATACATACTGATCTCATTTTGTCTGATGCATGAACAAAAAATTCAAAGAAAATTCTGTGTACCATGGAATGTACTAAAATGGTCCTAAAATAAACAAATATACATATAAGTTATTTGTAATATTGGAAATGAAAATGTGAATTTGTTTGCAATGTTAATAAAATGCTCCGCAGGGCGCAGCTTGATACGACTGCAGAGGTCGAACCCTGAACAGTTGGGGCAAGTATGGACACAACATTCAAGCTTGATACAGCTCTAAATTTGGATTGTGATTAAATATTTGACACAGCATAGGTTTCTGACACAGAATGAATGTGGTCTAAGAACTTAAAAATTTTAAATTGGACATTCACCTATCATGGTCCAATATCCAAAATCTAAATACATGGTTAGATTCAGCATATCAAAGAACCCCAAGAATTCAATTTTTGATGAAATCAAACAAAGTTTAATTTTGGACCCTTTTGACCTCAATGTGGACAAAGTTGATAACGGGGCCCAAAAATCAAAAATCTAAATACATGGTTAGATTCAGCATATCAAAGAACCCCATATATTCAATTTTTGTTGAAATCAAACAAAGTTTAATTTTGGACCCCAATTTGGACCAACTTGAAAACTGGGCCCATAATCAAAAATCTAAATACATGTTTAGATTCAGCATATCAAAGAACCCTAAGAATTCAATTTTTGTATGGACACAACATTCAAGCTTGATACAGCTCTGAATTTGGATTGTGATTAAATATTTGACACAGAATAGGTTTCTGACACAGAATGAATGTGGTCTAAGAACTTAAAAATTTTAAATTGGACATTCACCTATTATGGTCCAATATCCAAAATCTAAATACATGGTTAGATTCAGCATATCAAAGAACCCCAGGAATTCAATTTTTGATGAAATCAAACAAAGTTTAATTTTGGACCCTTTTGACCTCAATGTGGACAAAGTTGATAACGGGACCTAAAAATCAAAAATCTAAATACATGGTTAGATTCAGCATATCAAAGAACCCCATATATTCAATTTTTGTTGAAATCAAACAAAGTTTAATTTTGGACCCCGATTTGGACCAACTTGAAAACTGGGACCATAATCAAAAATCTAAATACATGTTTAGATTCAGCATATCAAAGAACCCTAAGCATTCAATTTTTGTTAAAATCAAACTAAGTTTAATTTTGGACCCTTTGGACCTTAATGTAAACCAATTTGAAAACGGAACCAAAAATTAAGAATCTAAATACACGGTTAGATTCGGCATATCAAAGAACCCCAATAATTCAATTTTTGATGAAATCAAACAAAATTTAATTTTGGACCCTTTGGACCTCAATGTGGACCAATTTAAAAACAGGGCCCAAAATCCAAAAACTTAATACATGGTTAGATTCAGCATATTGAAGACCCCAAGAATTCAAGAATAAAACCCCATTGAAATTGGTCAAGAAATAAGCAATTTATACGAAGTATCTTCTTTTGCACAATACCGTGCAATTGAATATTTCTTGCTATTGTGCAATACTTTACAATTGACAATTTCTTGCTATTGCGCAATATTGTGCTATTGGATATTTCTTGCTATTGCACAATACTGTGCAATTGAAGATTTCTTGCTATTGCGCAATACTGTGCAATTGAAGATTTCTTGCTATTGTGCAATGCTGTGCAATTGAAAATTTCTTGCTATTGCACAATACTTATTATATAATAATTTACACATCCTGTTTGGTGTGTATCTCCTACCATATCATTATTATTTGCTTTTAAATATAAATCAGAAATAACCAACTTAAAATGGAAAATTTAAAAAAAAAAAAAAAAGGAAAAAAAGAAAAAAAAGGAAAAAAAAAACAATACCCCCCCCAAATTTTTTGAACCCCCTTATGATTCATCACCCCCAAACTCAATCCCAGCCTTCCCTTTGTGGTATGGTACCTTTCAGTACAATTTCAGAGAGATCCATACACTTGAACACAAGTTATTGTCTGGTAACTAGAAAAATGTGTTTTTTGGCCCCTTTTTGGCCATAAATTCCTAAACGTTTAGGGCAATTACCCCCAAACTCAAACCCAGCTTTTCCTTTGTGATATGGAACCTTGTAGTACAATTTCAGAAGGATCCATACACTTACACACAAGTTATTGTCCTGAAACTAGAAAAATGCTTGTTTTTTGCCCCTTTTTGGCCCCTAATTCTTAAAATATTGAGGCAATTACCCCCATCATCAATCCCAGCCTTCCCTTTGTGGTATGGTACCTTGCAGTACAATTTCAGAGAGATCAATACACTTGAACACAAGCTATTGTCTGGAAACTAGAAAAATGCTTATTTTTGGCCCCTTTTTGGCCCCCAATTCCTAAACGATTCGGGCAATTACCCCCAAACTTAATTCCAGCTTTCCCTTTGTGATATGGAACCTTGTAGTACAATTTCAGAAATATCCAAACACTTACACACAAGTTATTGTCATGAAACTAGGAAAATGCTTGTTTTTTGCCCCTTTTTTGGCCCCTAATTCCTAAAATTTTGAGGCAATTACCCCCAAAATCATTCCAGCCTTCCCTTTGTGATATGGAACCTTGTGGTACAATGTCAGAGAGATCCATACACTTACACACAAGTTATTGTTTGGAAGTTACAAAAATGCTTATTTTTGGCCCCTAATTCCTTAACTGTTGGTACCATAACCCCCAAAATCATTCCCAACCTTCCTTTTGTGGTGTCAACGTATATTTGTTCCGCCTAACAGAAGTTCCACTGGAAACTTTGTTATAAACAATGTCATAATATCTGTTCCTGTTGGAACAAATATTCTATACCATTTATTCCGTTAGGAACATTTACTGTAATATTTATTCCAGTGGAAATAATATTCCAGAATATTGTTTCCATTTGGAACTTATATTATGAAGGAACTTCTATTCCGTGACAGTGGTATTGAACCTTATGGTAAAATTTCATAGAGATCCATTCACTTAAACTAAAGTTATAGTGCGAAAACTAATGTGTCTTCGGACGACGACGACGCCAACATCATACCAATATACGACCGCAAAATGTTTGCGGTCGTATAAAAATAAATAAGTATGAAAAGTGAAGATTTTTGCTGAAGCAAGCCTACAGATGTGGGATTTACTTGCTGCATTGAAGACCCATTGGTGGCCTTGGGCTGTTTTTGCTCTTTGTTGGGTTGTTGTCTCTTTGACACATTCCCCATTTCCATTCTCAATTCTATTGTTATATTCACTTCTTTGAGATAATACACAATTTTTGTTTTTAATTTCTACACAGGTGAATCAATATAAAAAGCCTCGAGTATACATTTTTATTGTTTATTGTCAAGCTAATCTACATATCTTTAATTTGTTGGCTCCACATTTTCTTATTCTATTGGATTGAATGAAAAATTTCTTATCAATCACACCAATACAGTTGTCTGTATTCAGGAAATGTTATTCTGTTATTAGAATGAAACATTTTTCAAATTTCTACTTATAATTAAGAAATTTATACATAAATCTATTTACTTATCAATAAGAGGCAGTAAAGCTTCTTTCATGTTACTGAGAATCATGTCCTTTTTATCTGGTTGTAACATCAACATCTGATCCAGGCATCTCATGTCTGGGGTCTAAAAATAATTAAAAAATGTTATTCATTGCAAGTGAGATTAAAAATGTGGTTTATGTACATGTTTAAGTACTTAAAGTGAATTAACTATAGAAAAATTCACAGTCACTTTTTTCAATTAAATAACATTGCATCAACTTTCGAATTTAAAGTGTTCTTTTTTATTTTCAGCTTGTGAGTTTGAATGTCCCTTTGGTATTCTTCGCTTCTCTTTTACATATTTTTTTTGGAATGGAAAATGTAATAGTTTTTATCATTAAAAGTTTTGAAAATACTGTACTGTTTTATTCAGTTTTGTAGAATACAGAGACAATTCCATTTAAGAATACTAAACCATGCTAAAATAAAAACGTAATACCGCATTCTGTTAAATGAACATTTTTCTTAAGGTATCAAGATTATAATAGTTGAAAGTAAAACTTAATTTCTGACATTATTAAAGATGGTAGATTTTGAGAACTTTGACTCTTACAGATTCATGTCTAAAAATGTTTGCCTTTGATACTTATTAATCAAAAATAAGACCACATATATCAGGTATACCTTGAATAAAATAAAGCTTGGACCATAAAAATCCTCCAATAACGACAGTCTCTGTGGCGCATTTGCATATTCATTATATGCAAATTCTACTAAATCTGAAGCTTCCTGAAAAAACAATTGAAATAAAATTTTCTAACAGTAAATGCAAATAATTACAGGAAAATTTAGTATAAAGATCCATTCTTTGTTTTTTTCACTGGCGTTTGTGCTAATTTTAAAAAGCATGCCTAAAACTGATTTAACATCATAACTATAGGTTACACTTTGTAAATACAGCTGAATCACAAAGCATGCCTCTTTTGGGGAGATATATAATATTCATAGATATTTTGTTTTGTTTACCTACTGGTTGGCAGATATGATCTCCATGTTTAATATCATAGAGACACAACTTGGAGATTTTATCAGTATAAATACTATTGGATAGCGGACAAATTCAAATCTCAGGAAGACTCAAAGTAAAGGTAGGAATAGTACAGAATTTTAGTATAAGTTAAAACTTTTAGAAGTTTAAGGCAAATAAATGTTGAAAATATGCTGCACAACCCTATGTTTTGATCTTTGCGAAAAACAGTGGTGCATATGAACTTTCCATTCTAGGATATGATTTTTTTACAAAACTTCATAGTAAAAGTGGCACAGTTTTAGCCGTAAAAGGAGTTTCTATGGGAAATTGCATTGTCTATATTTACAGAAGGTCAACCTATAAATGTTAGTTAAAATTTATTTAAACAGAAATAAATTAATGAATATTCAAAAGATGTAAATATTTGACAACATGAAAAGTAAAGATCTTTAATGTCATAAAAACTAAGTCTGTTGTATTGTCAGAGAGTGAATGAAGAAAATATCATGACAACAAGCTCCAAGAGCCTGCACTGCACTTCCATCAATCATTTAGTGGAACATTTGCTATCAATCGTTTTAGGATCAATTATGCCAAATTTATAGATTTTATACTCAAGGGTTTCAGACCACTTGTTTTAAAATGTCTCACTGTCACTACAAAAACAATCTATCACCTTTAAAACCAGGTTATGTTTCACTTTCTCAATGAATAGCAAGCCTACCAGTATTATTCCATTCTAAAAAAAATAGCTTACATCATACTTAAAATCCAGCTCTTTTTCTCTGACAAAAAATTACATACAAAATAAACAGGCATGTGTATGCTTTAACTCTCTTCTTTGCAGTTGAAAATATGAAGTGTTAACAATGAATAGTTGAAGCAAAAAGATGACGAAGATGGTCAAGTAATGAACACTTCAATCTACACCTAATTGTAATTTACCGCTTCTCGTTTTATCTTAAATTTGGTATCCTTAAACTGAGGTAAAATAAACTGCTTTTATTATATTATCTATATTTACCCTGTGTCTAACCAGTTTTCTAACATTTCCATGGAAACTCTTGAAGACATGATTCTTGTGTTGTTTTGACCTGAAAAAAAAGTATCATTATCAAACGATGTTTAATCTAAAAAGGCATTCCATGTTTTTTTTATAATGAAATTAAAAGAACAATGTGTCTGAACAGTAAATGACTGGAACTCTGTCTGCGTGTTGTGGTTCTTAGCATTGTGTACAAGTTTTATAAAATTTGCATGAGGCAAACTAAAATTAGAGTGCAAAAACGGAAAAAATTGAAATTTTCCAAGTTATAAAGGAGCATAACTATAGAACGGTAAGTGACTCAGTGCCTAAATTCAAACTCTGCAAGTTTTTGTTCATAGTAATATGTATGAGTTTCATAAAATCTGCATTAGGCAAACTATAGAGTGCGGAAACCAAAATGGGACGGATGGAAGGACGGTCAAAGGTAACATTTAAAAAAAATACTTGAATACATAAAATGTCCGCTAAAAGTCATTTAGAATTGATTAACAAAAATAAAAAGCAGACGACTTTACATTAAAATACTTGTAATAATTGTGTTACTCAGCTATAAACTGACGATGTCATTTAGATTTTTTTTTTAATGTAAAATGTTGATCTGTTGTTATGTTACATTTGTTCATCAATTAATATATAAATAATTTTTTGTAAAAGTTTTTATATTGATGCAATGTATCACTAAACTTATCTCTATATTCTAAATGTGTTCCCTTTAATCCAAATAAGATACTCTCATTATGGTGAACAATGGAATATCAAGGCAATATAGTTCAGTCAACTTTAGCTTAGATGTATGTGATGCCTTGTGAATTACTCTTATGTAACACCATACACTTACCCATAAACAATTAGTTTCTTCACCAAGAACTTAGCATACTTTGACCTGGCCATTAAACATATCTGATCTGTAATAATTAAGTTATTTTTTTATGATTCAACATTCTCATAACATTTAATACGTATAGATTATTACATGGCATTTTTCATATCAGACCCTTTATCGGCCCTAGGTCATGATATCAGCCCAAGAGCCGCAGGCTCGAGGGCTGATATCATGAACGAGGGCCGATAAAGGGTCTGATATGATAAATGACATGTAATTATCTTTTTATCATATACTTCAACAGAAGAAATACAGACAAGAACTATTAATTAAAATTTTGTCTTTCCATGAATTTTTAGATAATAATTTACAGACAGCCAAATACAAATGTCTTAACTTTTATTGTTTTTATTGATATTACAAGCATTTTATTTATCTTGTCACAACAATTAACATGTTCTTAGTTTGAAATTTGCTCCTCAATTATTTTGTGGAAAGTCTTAAATCACTTGCGGTTTTCCGCACTGTGTTGTCGTTTTCGAACAAATTTCCGGAAATGCACGACGTTGCATGTGATAAACGTCACGGAAATTAACGGAAAGGCATGTGATAACATTCCGGAAGCAGTCAATAAAGGTTCCTTTATCAGCCCGCTGAGGAAATTCTTAGGAATCTGATAAATAAACCTAGTAATCCTTTCATAGCCTTTTGATATTTTTAAATGTTATTGAACTGTAAAATTTTAGTAATATTTTATACAAGTATATGATAAAGCTATATACTGTAGCTATAGCCTATTCTGATATTAATTCAAAATCAATATATCACATATCAGCAAAACAAATAAAATAAAATATATATGTAAATAAAAGGAAATGTTGGGTATACATTAATGAGATATCAACTGAACAACAGAAACAATTTTTTTTTCAAAAAGTTTGTGGAAGATCTGTGTATGAAAAGATATGACTTTAAAATCTATTTGTTTTTTAATCATTGTCATCATGCATTTCAATTTTACTATTAAAAGAAAAGGTACATTTTGGGGTTTATTTGGTCCTGTAAATTCACCAAAAAAAAATAATTGTATGATACCATTACTAATCACATTTTTAGCAATAAAAAAAAGGCTTCGAGAAAATGAGAATATTAGCCAAGTCTTGATGACACAATTTGGTAATGTTGACATCATATACATGATTTTTCAAATTTTTTTCTCCATACTTGCAAAAATAGGCTAATTTTAGGTTTTGGATTTTCAACATTTTTGCCTCAACATCATGAAGGAGACATAAATTGTCAAAATGTGCATCTGGTCCAGTAAAATTGGTACTGTTTAATGTTATTTAAGTACATTTTGGCTACATTTACATAGAGCACAAGCATCGCCCACAATATGTACACTTCTTGTTGAAATATATTTTTAAATATTATTACAGAGTCAAACAGTGAAGATTTGGGTAATTTCTTTATTTTACTATTAGAACTCATTGTATTATAGTAACCATGAAAAGAGCATATTTCAAACCAATAGGGAAATGTTTTATTAAAATACAAAGATCAAACATTTGATTCTGAAAATGAGCAAAAATTTGAAATATATTTGATTTTAGGACAACTTTTGCCCCAAATTGACCATCAGCTTTACAAATTACAAATAAATCTTTAATATGACTAAGTTCACTGTTAAATTACTTGGAAATGTTTGACAGAGCTTAAAGATTAGTGAAAGTATAAGCAAGTTATTGAGAGACGTGACAGGTTGGATGGGTGTACTATGGTATACTACAAAATTTGGAAAAGTTATACCTATGATCATTTGTGGTTCACTGTCTCCTCGGTATTGTCAAATGCATTATAGCACCTTATCTTTAGATATAAAGCTAAATAAATATGCAACACTTTTTTTCTTATTAATTCAATATTGGAGAACTACATAGTTTATTATATATATATATTTATAGGTTTCATAACGAGTGAGAATTGGATATCGCTTGATATCAACTCAAGTTATTTAATTTCAATATAATAATAAACAAGCCTTCGGCAAGTTTCTTATTACTTTTTAAATTAAATAACGAGAGTTGATATCAAGCAATTTCAAATTCTCACAAGTCCTATTTCTCTTATGGTCAACACTGTCATTGTGTTTAATTAAAAATTCTGCAAATCTTTGATCTAGTCTTTTGCACATACTTGTATGACTTCATATGTCCTGTTCTGGCGTCAAACTTTTTGTACACTTTAGAATGTAATAAAATTTGACTAAAAGAAGATTTTTCAGGTGAAAAGTGTGTGTGTTTTGTATAATATAGAAGAAATCACATATGTTCATTGCATGGACAAAATGTACATGGTCTTAACTTTTGAAAGTCATCAATGACCTAACAAATAGCCAATGGAAATGTCGTAATATTGTCTCATGATGCTGGATAAGCCAATCAAATTAACACAGTTTTCATTACATTTTTTCGTATCATATTCAGTGCAGTGTGATATGAGAAATATCTCTTCATGCAAGAAATAGATAACAGGCCACAATTATAAGAGAAATATGTCTAACATACCTTTAACTTCCTCAAATACCTCATCTTTCTGACCTGGTGATCCATGTTGCACAAGGCACTGTAATACTCTCGCTGTATCATGAGCAAATGCAAACTAGAAAAAGTAACAGGATATCATGTTACTACAAGTAACCTTAATTTATTATACCGGGGTAATACATTTTTTTTATTCTTATGGCTTCTGTTTAAAAACAATACACTATGCTTTATGTCTTTTGTTTTTATGTTAGTTGTTTTTATGCTTCATACCAATCTTCTGAGTTAAGCCAATTGCAGCTGATTTTTAGCTGAGTGCTCACAAACCTGTTTAACCCCGCCCCATTTTTTATGTACCTGTCTCAAGTCAGGTTCCTGAACTTCAGTGGTTGTCATTGGTTCATATCAGTCATATCTATTTTTCGTAAAATGTTTTTGTTATAAATTAGGCCATTAGTTTTCTCGTTTGAATTGTTTCACATTTTTCATGTTGGGCCCTTTTAAAGCCGACTATATGGTTTGGGGTTAACTCATTGTTGAAGGCTATACGGTGACCTATAATTGCTTATATCCACTTATTTGAACTCTGGAGGATAGTTGTCTCTTTGGCAATCCTACCATATCTCCTTATTTTTATACAGTATCTTTGTTTAAATACTTTTGAACAATTTTATAAACACCATTCTGACATGTCATCGCATTTATTAATTAGGAACATGATGATGTATTTTTTTTTGGAATACTCTTTTTCATTGTACCTGCAAATCAGCAAAAAATGCACCCTAAAAAACTGCATCTGTAAAAGAATAAAGTATTTAAAAATGAAAATATATAGTCGCAAGGAAGTTGTGACAAATTGGAGGTTTTTTTTACAGTATCATATTTCCTTACAAGTATCATGAATTGTAACTAAGAAATTAAACCTGAAATTCTCATTTACACCATTTGAATATGAAAATATATACAATCTACAACATACTTTAGCATGAAAACATATAAATCAAACAACTATATCCTTTAAGAGTTCAGTTTTTATATCACAAACCTCTTTCATGTTTCCTTTAACAAATCCCATTAATTCTGTACATAGCTCATGTTTTTTATTGTCCTTAACATCATGTCTACAAGGAAAATAAACAGCTATAAATCTACTATTAGGTTATAAACTTCTTTAAAATTTTTCCAGATTTACTTTCATCCAGAAGTTTTTTTAAGTGTAAGAACAATATCATAATTTAGAATCCTTGCTCAATTCTGACAGTTTATTAGAATAGTAATTTAACATTCCAGAAAACATTGAAACTATGATTATATGTTGACACAGGCTGATACCTGTTTAATGCCACTAGAGTAAGAGTATAAAAAACCCTGTATTAATGGAATCTTTAGTTCATTGTGACTTGCCCTATAACATACTCATAATTAATTGAGTTTATATATTACATATTCTTGATTGTTACCTTCGTAATTCTTCCCATATTTTCTTTGATCTTTGAATCATATTGAAATTATTCTTTAACATTTTACGAACTTTCTTTCTTTCTTTGAATGGAAGCTCTTTTAATTTAGTCTTCTTAGATTCTGAAAAGACATAGCATCCTATCTTGCTGAGAAAAAAACATGCAAAATGAATTGATTCATGAATACTTTTTAGTTCTGGAGAAAATCAAATTGTGATTTTTAATTTTTCTTGCTAACATATTTTATAGTTTACTTTGAACATTTTGTGTAAAGCATCGATAAGATAGCAACCAAATAACACAAGTAAAACTAAAAAGACATTCAGCTGTCAGCCTTCCATAAGGGACATTCATTCAGCAAGTACTTCTGTAATCTTTGTAAACATTAGTGGAAACTTGTCTTGTTTTCTATGTCAAAATCTCATTTATGTTTTTTTTTTTTTGAGAATTTGGTGCTGATGGCACATTTTTGAGAGTTCCTGATTAATTTATTCCCAACTTTTTATAAACTTCAAGCCATTTAGGACATGAGACTGTGAAGACACCTGTCTATTGTTAAAGACTTTATGTTGAGCTCTAGATTTCTTTTGGTTATTTGTGTTGTTGGAATGCTGGCTCATTGATATATACCCCACATCTCCTTTTATTCATATGTTTTCTCTGCTTATTTTATCTTAATTGAATTTATTTGTCAAAATTTTGTGTGCAGATGTATTGAAATTTAAAACTTGCTTTCAGCATTAAACCTGTCTTAGTGAGGACATATGCCACAGGAAAACATGTTACTGTCTTCTTCCTATAAATCAAACCTAAGATAAGTCAATGGTATGACTTATCCAAAGTTAGACTCCAAATTTATTTGACATCTACTACTATTCTCAATTTGGTGCTTTCATAACAATAAATTACCTGAAGTTTCTTCTAGTTGCGAATCTTCCATTTTACACTTAGCAATAAGTCTACTTTCACTAAGCTGAACCTTCTTTCCTTTTAATGACTTCAGTTTTCCTGCTGCATTACTGGCTGCTCGTTTCAATTTTACCTGACAAAATAAGTTTAAAAATATCAAACTTGAGACTACATTGAATACTTTTAAAACCAGACCAGGCTTTCCAAGTAATTTATTCATGTAGTTGAGCTAGAATCTTAGCTTAATTTCTTATTTTGACTAGTTAAGACAGAGGCACTCCCAAATACAATATGTATTGTTCCTGAAACATACTAAAAAGTATTGGTAGGAAAAGTTATGTATTTATAGAAATTTTATAAGCTTTAAGATTGAAAAGATCTTGTTTTTAACACTTAGGCCATAAAAAAGAATAGGTTGGTTTGCCCTAACCTGAATGACCCATAAAAAAGCACCAAAATCACAATCTTTTTTTTTATTCAAAAATTGCGATGTTTTTTCTTTTTTGCAGATTTTTATCCTATCCATCTTGAGTTTGTGGCATAGAATAACCTGATCCTGTCTGACCGCACTTTATCGCAGGACAATTTGTGTTATGTATAAAAGCCTCCAATTGATACAGATTTAAAACAACATGTTACTAACTCGTTTGGATTAAAATCACAACCCGTAATTTCCAACAAAATCTATCATTTTGAAAACACAAAAACATGGAAAGAGGTGTTTGATGAAGTGTGTGATGACGATTTCATGCTGCGGAAAACTGATGAAATTTGTGTGACTGTCTCTGACAGATCGGGACACTCGTTTGAGCCCGATTTTGAGGAACCAATCCAAGTGTTCAGGAATTTGATTTGGCATTAAAATTTGCTGCATCTGTTTTAAATAGATACAGTTTAATACCAGTTATGGCATGATACGGGTTATGTTCTTCTCATATATTTTATGATAGTATGATAGTTTTTGATACTAAACCCCTTACGGGAGGGATTGTACTTGATTTTCATATGATGAAGACATACTCTTTTAATCAGTTTAATTGAGGCCTGGAGCTGGCATGTCAGTAACTGCTAGTAGTCCTTTGTTTGTTAATTTAGTTACCTATTCAGACATCGGACTCAGACTTTTTTTTAACTGAGTTATACTGTGCATATTGCTGTGTGTTTGTTTTTTCTACATTGGCAAAAGGTATAGGGGGAGGGTTGGGATCTCACAAAACATGTTTAACCCTGCCTTATTTTTGCGCCTGTTCCAAGTCAGGAGCCTCTGGCCTTTGTTAGCAGGTTAGTCTTGTATGTTTTTTTAATTTTAGTTCATTTATATGTTTTAGAGTTAAGTATGACGTCCATTTTCACTGAACTAGTACACAATTTTATTTTGGGGCCAGCTGAGGACCACCTCTGGGTGCGGGATTTTGTCGCTGCATTGAAGACCCATTGGTGGACTTCAGCTGTTGTCGGCTCTTTGGTCGGGTTGTTGTCTCTTTGACATATTCCCCATTTCCATTCTCAATTTACGCATATATGTGTCTGACAATTTATACAAAACTCTATAATAGTCTTAAGCTTTCATTGTAAAAGTTGTTTACAAGGTAAAATAATTTTGACCCTTTTTATCTCTTAAAGTATAAAAAAAAAAAAAAAAATCCCTACCTACCTACCCTGGTGGGTAGGGTTTGGGCAAACAGAAATGTTTTTAAGTCTGGCCTTACGTATTTGAATACAGTTTTATACTGCAATTCAAATTTTTATGACAGGATACAGAATTAGGGTTCATAAGATACAATATAAAAAGAATCACAGTGAATAAAAATTTTCAAAAGCATTTTAGTATTTTTCATGTCAGATGCTAAATTCATGTGTTTTTTGTTCCGTGTGTACTGAGAATTACTTCCTACGGTTACATACACATTTCATTTAAATTTGAGTAAATTCAAAACAAAAATTGGTTCCAAATGAACACGGACCTTATAATTACAAATATTTCTCTATCAAAAATCTTATTTGAGCATTTTCTACATATATCAATGCTATCTACATACACATGATAATGTAAGAATAAAACAATTCTATCAGTCTATATATCGCTTGTTATAGTAAGTAACCTTCATTGATTTCCGCCTTTCAAACTGTTGTGGACCAGGTGACGCAGGTTCATCTTCTACACATACTTCTTGTGTAGAACTATCTGATGTTCTCCCTTCAGCAGCCTCTCTCACAGTGGACAATCTTGGTTGAAGTATGGATTTACTTGCTTTCTTTTGATGGAAAGACCTTTCTGCACCATCTGGTTGACCTCTGGCCTTTTGAACTGCCTTTTCTAAAGTGATATCAGCTCTTCCTCTTGGCTTTCTCATGCGGGAAAATGTTGTTTGCATCGACACGTCAGAACAAGGCATTATAGAGCTTATCTGACTTAATGTGTCTGGTGTATCTGTTTGATCTAATGATGACAGGTCAGTATCACTGTACATCTGTAGATGGCGCTTTGTGGGTTTACGCTGAACATTTTCAAGTGGATCTGGATTGATATGTGTTTTTCTTTTCTTGGAAGGAGATATTACATCGAATGAAGAGTCATTATCACTGTTTGGAGGAGCTCTTAACTTTCCTTTATCTTTTCCCATAATACTGTCACCTTCTGGGTTACCACGGATACCTTTCTGTTTACCACTCTTTGGTTTACGTCTTGGTCTTTGATAAAACTCATCTTCAAATGAGGAATCTGCATCCATTGCTATTCTCATCTGAAAACAAAATACATTCTTCAGTTGATTTATTTTCAAAACAAGAGATATTGACAAAAATTGTATTTCAGGAATAGCTTTCTAAATATCCCCTGATAGTGATACTAAGATAATATTTCAATTACACATACTTGTTCATATATACATTTGGAAGATAATTCTTATTGTTAAAACCAAAATGTCCATCATTTGTTCATTCCACATTGGCTAGAGCATGTCGAGGTTTAGGGGTAGGTTTGAAACCTCACAAAACATGTTTAAATCTGCCGCATTTTTGCACCTGTCCCAAGATAGGAACCTCTAGCCTTTGTTAGTCTTCTGTTTTTTTTTTTATTTTGGTTCGTTTGTAGTTTTTTGGAGTTTAGATTGGCATCCACTTCGCTAAGCTAGTATACATTATTGTTAACGGGCCAGCTGAAGCCCTCTCCAGGTGCAGGATTTTCTCGCTGCATTTAAGATCCATTGGTGGCCTCAAGCTGTTTTCTGCTCTTTGGACAGGTTGTTGTCTCTTTGACACATTCCCTGTTCTGCATTAAACCTTATTGCTATTTATTCCAATCCAACATGTTCTGAAATTACACAACTTTTTCATCCATTTGAGACATTTGGACCTATCTGGGACCCTGTTTAAACAATGTATTTTGCATAAAACTTTTCAAAGAGACATTTTTTAAACATCGTAAACACTTCAAACAAAGCATTTTTATGATTTTAATTTGTGTTTTAACAAAATGGATCATAATCTATCAAATTTTCAAAATGTTTGCTTTCTAAACCTTTTCCTCCCTCAGCTCGTTACTGATGACTTGTTTTAGCGACACTTAACCCAAACAGGAAGTGTCTAAGTTTTTTTCTGGATTGGACTTAAGGTTCATCTTTACACTTTATAATGGCTGTGTTTACACCATGAAATTTTCTCCGAGTACAGACAAAACCGTGTAATTTTAAAAGTTTAATGCCTGGCAGTACCTAGATAAAATAATGATACATCCAATTTATATTCTAAAAAGTTGAAACACTTTATGGATTTTGATGAACATTTTCTTTGCTTGCCACAGAAGATGGTGAAATAAACACACACCCAAGTTTTCTTTGATACAGTCCACTCATTCACACTATTTAAATCACCTTTGTTGTGAGTAGATTTCTATTGTCCCTCTATTGTTCATATCAATCAATATGATACAATACAATCATTACCTGAGGGGGGCTATCTCAAAGATTTCACATGACTTTGTTTATTTTTACACCACCTGTGGCAAGGAAAGAACATGTTTAGCAAAATCCACAAGTTTTTCTTTTTAAAACACAAAATGAATACAACTTGTATATATCTAGGTGCTGCCAGAATTCAAAACTATTAGAATTACACAGTTTTGTCTGCATTCCAAGAAAACTTCATGGTGTAAACACAGCCATTTTTGTGGAAGTGTATAGATGAACCTTAATGGCAATAAGGTGTATTATATACAAGGGTAGGAATAGGGAATCCCACATGATGAATGACATTAAAATATTTGTTAAAATAATGTTATCGATACACGTTTTACTCCATTTGACACTAACAGTAACTACACAATGAGATTTGACAAATGACTGTCGGATTAACGGACTGTCGAATTATTGGACCGTCGGACTATCGGTCTGTCGGACTACTGGACTGTCGGAATTTCGGGGTGTCGGATTATAGATACGCTCCCCTCATTTGACGTTTATGGTAGAGAAATATGAATGTTTGACGCGCAACGATTATTGAAGGGCATTCCTACCCATACAAATATATATATATCTGAATGTGAGTTTTTGCCGTTTAAAAGCTGTACAGGGTGTATGTGATGTTGTATACATGTGAGTTTTCTTAAGAAATTATTGTAGACGTAGTACTGAAATAATCAGGTGTTTTACAATAATAGTTTTAATACATGTATATAAAATGAACATCAAATTGTGAAGATTTAATCTGAAAACAAAACTCATGTCGTCATCAATGATGTTTTTTAGAATATAAAGTGTGTTAATCTGTGATATCAAAAATTAATTTCTAGATATTCATCACCTTAAAATATTGCTTCAAATTTTCAAATTTTTCCTCGTGGGTATTTTTATCAACAATAGGTTGTAGTAACTGTCGTAAAATTTATTGCACAAGATACAATTTAATTCTACAAATCATTTATATTTTAGTATCTTTTATATAGAATTATTGATTTGCATATTTGCATGCATATCTGCGTTCATCGGTTATATTTATTTAAATGTATCTCTATATATTACGACAAGCTATCGCACTTGCCGTGAGGTCAAAATTTATGACGTTTGACATTCGGGTCCACGCACTATCAATGTCATGAATCGATGACAGTAACTGTTGCCTACCACATTTAATAACGCAAACAACGAAATGATTTCAAAAATCTTTAGAGCAGTTATAATGGGCCCTCCTGGCTCAGGAAAGGGCACCATATCAACAAGAATTGTCAAAGATTTCAACATGAAACATTTATCAAGTGGTGACTTGTTAAGATCTCAGATTTTAAATAAAACTAGTGAGTTGTTTTGATAGTCAATATCACAATCAAAGTGACATTACATCTCAGCCTAGTGGCGTAGTTCAATGCACAGGTTCAGAAGGTGTCGACTGTAAATAAAAAAAAAATTTCATACAGGCGAGTGAATGGCATTAGATCGAATCCGGGTCCGTTCGCCCTGATTCACATTCGCCCTAGTACCTGTTCGCCCTGGGTCCGTTCGCCCTAATTCCTGTTCTCACTGAGTCCGTTCGCTCTGATTTCTATTTTATTTTGTTGTCTTGTATAAGTTGACCAAGTTATCTGTATGAATTTATCTTTTTTGAAACCTTGTATCAATTTCAAAACAATCCAAACAGGTATAACAAGATCCAACTCAGTCAACACCTTGAGATCAAAGAAGCCAAGCGACGAAAACAATTTCCCTTTAATGTCTTACAATTCTTACATTATTGTTTTAACTCATTCCAAGCTGACTTGTTTATTTAAAAAAAAAACCATTTCATTATTAATCCATCAAAAACAATAACTAGAACAATCAGTGAGACCAAAGACATCGTAATCATATCTAATCAGCATTCTAAATTTACCAAACTTTGAATTTTCGGAATACTAAGGCTTTTCCACCACAGAAATATATTACCTCAGCTGTATTTGGCAAAACTTTTAGAATTTTGGGTCCTCAATGCTCTTCAACTTCGTACTTTATTTGGCCTTATTAACTTTTTTGATTCGAGCGTCACTGATGAGTCTTTTGTAGACGAAACGTGTGTCTGTGCGTACAAAGTTTCAAACTTGGTATCTATGATGAGTTTATATACAATCAACAGTCATTAAAAGTAATTCTGAATAAAAATGTAACAATGAAGCCAATTAGCCTGATAAATGCTCCAAAACAAAAACCTTTTTTTTTTTAATTTCAATGTTTACTAGTATTCATGAATTTGGAGATATACATTTTTAGTATTTACCATTTAAATATCTGAATAAGATTACAAAACTTTAAATTAAACCATTGATATTATTTTTTTTATAAAAGTTAGGGCGAACGAACTTTATGGGCGAATTGACTCAGGGCGAACGGACCCAGGGTGAACATGTAATTAGGGTGAACGGACACGATACCGCATTAGATCCATATCTGTATGGGTACAGTGTAGAATCCCTAGGACTTTATTACAAGGGGACAGAGAATGCAATTAGTCCTAATGTTGCCGATATAATGTCACTCTGATGTCTTCATGTTGTTACAGTTGACACCAGTTGACATATGGTGTAAGAGAAATCAACAGTATACTCCTAAATTTCTTGCTACTTTCAGGTTAAGTGTTTTCATTGAATAACTAAAAAATCAAAGGATTAACATTGATTTTTGCAAGTTCAGTTTAATAGATTTTAAATAAAACTAGTGATCTGTTTTGATAGTCAATATCACACTCAAAGTGACATTACATCTCAGCCTAGTGGCCTAGTTCAATGCCATGATGCACAGGTTCAGAAGGTGTTGACTGTGTATATAAAAAAAAAGAAAAATTCATACAGGCGAGTGAATGGCATTACATCCAAATCTGTATGGGAACAATGTAGAATCCCTAGGACTTTATTACAAGGGGACATTATTGTATTATTGCTTTAGGGATTTTGCTCCCGATGTTTATGTTGATCATCAGTTATTGTAACAGAATATAAAAAGGAAAATTTTAAGGTTGTCAGCCTGGTAATAGCTTATTCATAAGCTGATTTTTTAACTGAATATCCCATCATTTCAAATTTGCCACTTATTAAACTTTAAATTCCAGCAATATGTCTGATATCGAAAGACAAATTTAAAACTAATTACATGTATATCATTCCAGCTGCTGGCCAGTTAGCCAAAGATTATATTGACCATGGGAAGTTAGTTCCTGACAATGTCATGGTGGACTTGATTTTGAATGAATTGCACAACATGAAGTCTCACAGCTGGCTGTTAGATGGTAAATATTGCAAATAGATAGTAGATCATAATACAAACCTGAGTATTATAAGTAGTGGGGGTACTTGTACAAGTGTTAAAGGGATCATTTTATTGCCCATTATTAGTGATTTTATAAGATTTTATAATGTAACTTGACAGATAGGATAATTTTCTTCAACTCTTGCTACAACAGAAGCATGAAATCAAAGAATATTTTTTTAAACTTGTTAAGATAAGATATTTATTATATCAATTAATACATTTAGCTCTCGGTTATTTTAAAGCCTATTACACAAGTAAAACAATTTTAAAAAATGGGAGCATCTATTTCATACATTTTTCTGGAAAAGTTGAATATTTTGGTATTTATTTTCTGTAATTAAAACCAAAACATGTGAAAGATTGAAGGAGTACATAGTAGATATATCTCTTATGTAAGTGACTCACATTAGTGATATTTGACTATATTGATCTGTTATCAGATTCCAATCAATTTATGACAGAACAAAATATTTTTTATATGTCATTGTTTAAAACTAAGAAAGCAGCTGAAATTAAAAAAAGAGACTATAACAGTCACACGATTTTCAATTAACATCACTATATTTAGTAATTAAAAAAAAAACTTGAACAAGATGATTAATATGTTTACATCACAACCTTAGATTACAGCTCAGTAGATAAACAAAATGAATGAAGCTCAAATTAGCATTTAAATCATTTTAAAAACAAAATTTTATGCTACCCATTCTCCTTATATGGTGAAATTTTCATAAAATCTGATGACTTTATGATGACAATTTCTTTTTTTTGAAAAAAAAATTCTGATTAAACTTGAATATCATATCTGATATCTATATTTTCTTGCAACTGGTCAAATTTATTTTGCTTTCTGTAAGAATTGTTTTAAAAAGTGAAAAAATCTGATAGCAAAACTACCAACACAGAAATCAAGTCATAGAAGATGAAGGCTGGTGGGACAAACTGTTAGTTTTGGAAGTTGTCTATTGCTTCTTTTGTAATTGGAACCAGTTGATAAGTTTAAAATATGTGACATTCCAGATCACAGTAGCATGAAGTATTCAGAGAAAAGTAATGGAGAAAGGAAAAATTGATATATCCTTTTTATGTTGCAATATTACATTGTGACAAACAGATCTAAGTTTTTTGTAGGATTTCCCAGGACAGTTTCTCAGGCAGGTGCTCTACTGAAGAAGGAACCAATTGATGTTGTTGTCAATTTAAATGTTCCTTTTGAGGTTATAATTGATAGAATTAAAGGAAGATGGACTCATGCACCTAGTGGCAGAATATACCATACAGAGTTCAATCCACCAAAAGTTCAGGTAAATATGTCAGATGCCAAAATATACCATACATACAGAGTTCAATCCACCAAAAGTTCAGGTAAATATGTCAGATGCCAAAATATACCATACATACAGAGTTCAATCCTCCAAGAGTTCAAGTAAATATATCAGATGCCAAAATATACCATACATACAGAGTTCAATCCTCCAAAAGTTCAGGTAAATATATCAGATGCCAAAATATACCATACATACAGAGTTCAATCCACCAAAAGTTCAGGTAAATATATCAGATGCCAAAATATACCATACATACAGAGTTCAATCCTCCAAAAGTTCAGGTAAATATATCAGATGACAATTAATATGTTAGATAACAGAATATATCATACAGACTTGAATTCTTCAAAAATTCAGGTAAACATGTCAGATGACAGAATATACCATACAGAGTTCAATACTAAAAGTTAGGTAAATATATCAGATGCCAAAATATACCATACAGAGTTGAATCCTCCAAAAGTTCAAGTAAATATGTCAGATGCCAAAATATACCTTACATACAGTTCAATTCTCCCAAAATTCAGGTAAAGATGTCCATTATGTAAGGGAAACAAATTCAATTTATTTGTGGAATTTTTCTCTGAAAATTAGAAATTAATTTGATTTGTCTTTTTTGATTTGATTGATTCACATATTTCAAATTTTGCTTTATAAAGGGAGATAACTTAGATTATTAAGTTTTTTTAATATGTGAATTTTGCACAGCATTTAACTTGATAAAAAGCAATGGAACTAATACTTTTTACTATATTTTTAAAAATAGGTTAAACTATATTTTGTCAAAGTACAAATGTATACATTTTTTTTTATAATTTTTTGTTTTAACTTCAATACAAATGTAATAATAATTTCAGTTTCAAAAACAGCAGATCAGAATATTTTTAGGTTCTTTAGTAGTCATTTTCTCTTTAATTAAGTCTCCCAAACGAAGTTTGGGAAGACTTATTGTTTTTGCTCAGTTCTTATTATTCTTCTTCTTCTTCTTCTTCTTCTTCTTCTTCTTCTTCTTCTTCTTCTTCTTCTTCTTCTTCTTCTTCTTCTTCTTCTTCTTCTTCTTCTTCCGCCGCTTTTAAATTTGAACTTGTCCGCACCCGTTCTCCAAAACCGCTTGTCAGATTAACTTAGGGTCTTCTTCTTCTTCTTCTTCTTCTTCCGCCGCTTTTAAATTTGAACTTGTCCGCACCCGTTCTCCAAAACCGCTTGTCAGATTAACTTAGGGTTTCACAATATGTTAGACTAACATGTCTAGTGGTGCAATCAGGGTTTTGTTTGTGCAATGGGGTTTATAAAGGGGTACTGTGAGGGGCAAAAAGAAAAGAGGGTTTTACTATAGAACCCTATGGGATTTTATTTTTTAAAATTTTCAAATGATTATAAATTGAAAACCGTTTGTGATAGACACAATCTTTTTAATTGAAAATGTTCTAAATGATAAAGCCCATTAAATGAATTACAGGGTTAGTCCCCAGGGGTCACCCCCACCCCCTGCCATTTAAGAAAGTTCTAATACCATGTAAGTGGTCAAGATCCCCACCCCTAAACCATATACATTCTGGTTTGTCATTCTAAGATGGTTTGAATGATATACAGGGTTAGTCCCCAGGGGTCATCCCCACCCCCTGCCATTTGAGAAAGTTCTAATATCTTGTAAATGGTCGAGATCCCCACCCCTAAACCATATATATTCTGGTTTGTCATGATAAAGCAAATCAAATGAAATACAGGGTTAGTCTCCAGGGGTCACCCCCACCCCATGCCATTTAAGAAAGTTCTAATATCTTGTAAGTGGTCAAGATCCCCACCCCTAAACCATATATATTCTGGTTTGTCATGCTAAGATGGTTTGAATGATATACAGGGTTAGTCCCCAGGGGTCATCCCTACCCCCTGCCATTTGAGAAAGTTCTAATATCTTGTAAATGGTCGAGATCCCCACCCCTAAACCATATATATTCTGGTATGTCATGATAAAGCACATCAAATGAAATACAGGGTTAGTCCCCAAGGGTCACCCCCACCCCATGCCATTTAAGAAAGTTGTAATATCTTGTAAGTGGTCAAGATCCCCACCCTAAACCATATATATTCTGGTTTGTCATGCTAAGATGGTTTGAATGATATACAGGGTTAGTCCCCAGGGGTCATCCCTACCCCCTGCCATTTGAGAAAGTTCTAATATCTTGTAAATGGTCGAGATCACCACCCCTTAACCACATATATTCCTGTTCGTCATGTCTAGAGCATTTGAATGATATATATTGTCAGTCCCCCAGGGGTTCCCCCACCCCCAATGTTCTAATATCTTGTAAATGGTGGAGATCCCCACCCTAAACCATATATATTCCTGTTCGTCATGTCTCAAACATTTGAATGACGTATAGGGTCAGTCCCTAGGGGTTCCCCCCACCCCCAATGTTCTAGTATCTTGTAAATGGTCGAGATCCCCACCCCTAAACCATGTATATTCTGGTTTGTCATGCCAAGATGATTTGAATGATATACAGGGTTAGTCCCCAGGCATCACTAATGCATATAACTTTACTGGACCAAACCAATTTTCACAGAACTTTGCCCAATGTCAGGCGACCCTGGGAATGACGATTTATGGGAGCTTCGTTTGGGAGACTTCGTAACAGCATCCTGTTACAATCATTTCTTGTTATTCATGTGCCAAGCAGCCAACAAATAAAAAACTGAACAAAAATTTAAAAAACTTTTCATATGTTTTTGTGTCAATATTAGTTCTTCAGCTTGGGTTTTATGTTGTACATTTTCTGATAAGAGTACAAATATTATGAATATCTGTTGTCTGCAGGGTAAAGATGATGTTACTGGAGAAGACTTGATACAAAGGGATGATGATAAACCAGAAACTGTCAGAAAACGCCTAGAAACATATCAACATAATACACAACCTGTACTGCAGTATTTTAGGTAATAATACAAACACCTTTATACATGTATACTATAATGCATGGGTAACATCACTGTACTATTGGTCATTCAGTTTCTACAGGAGGTATACTAAAAAATATTGGGTCACGAAAAAATTGTATTGCACCTTGCCCTCATGCAATACTTAAAGGGTATATGTATAACCCCTGTAAGTCGCTACACTTTAAATTTTTCCTGCCCATGACAGTTGCATTAGACATGTAAATGTTTGCTGAAGTTGTGCTTTTGTCCAAAGTAAATTTGGATGAAGTTCAGAAATTTTTAGTATGCTGTGAATTCATTTATTTTGTGGGTACGAATTTTCATGGATTGGGGTAGATTGTATTTTTCTTGGATTTTGTGTTTTGCCAAAGTCTGCATGCAAACCTATAATAGATCTATAATTTGTTGAAATTTTAAATTTGTGGTTCAAGTTGTCTTCAAAATCATTAAACTTTTCCATCTCTTTAGACTATTAGCAGCAATACCCCTCAGGGCCTGTTGAATCATATTTCATAAAATGCTTCCTTATGTACAAGATAACACAATAATTGTTTATTATACTCAATGGATTTGTATGTGGCGTCACATTAGTACTGATTGTACGCCACAAGTTTTTTTGCTGACTATATGGCCAATATACCATCAGTGAGAAGGATGATACAGGGGTTGCTTTCATCTAATGAAATTGCTAGAATTTCTTTTGTCAGATGTATGGTAGAATATAATACACATGTACATGTAACGTCAACATACCCTATTGGCCACTGTGGTCTAGATAGTTTGTCAACATCTTTATGTATAAATTACTTTAATTGTATGGTTTTTACTTGTTTTGATCCTTTGCATAGATGGTAAGAGCCCACAATCCACCTTTATGTCACAAAGTCCATCACCTACTTAACAACAGCTAATGGTTTGTGCTATGCAATTCGTGTCTTTATCAATGAAACCAACTCCTTTTAAAATTCCAGCTTTTCTTCCTTAGTTTAGGTGTCGTCTCACAAGATTCTACCTCTTATCATAGAAAGTCACATCAACATGCATTGCAATACGCTGGTTAAACTGTCCTAACAAAGCACGGCTAAATAAAATAAACATTGCAATACACTGGTTAAATTGTCCTAACAAAGCACGGCTAAATAAAATAAACATTGCAATACACTGGTTAAACTGTCCTAACAAAGCACGGCTAAATAAAATAAACATTGCAATACACTGGTTAAACTGTCCTAACAAAGCACGGCTAAATAAAATAAATATTGCAATACACTGGTTAAACTGTCCTAACAAAGCACGGCTAAATAAAATAAACATTGCAATACACTGGTTAAACTGTCCTAACAAAGCACAGCTAAATAAAATAAACATTGCAATACACTGGTTAAACTGTCCTTACAAAGCACGGCTAAATAAAATAAACATTGCAATACACTGGTTAAACTGTCCTAACAAAGCACGGCTAAATAAAATAAACATTGCAATACATTGGGCCCTCAATAGGCAAAATACGTCTATCTGTTAAGATCATGTTTACATATCACCACCATGGTATAGTTTCAAATCTTGCTCTATAAAAGTATAAAGCTTTATATTTCAGAAGGTAGAAGACCTGGATGCTTCATACCTTGTATGCAAATACCTTATGTTAATAAGTTTCTGTCTGTCATATGTCCGTTGCCATTGACCACATTTTCATGGTTCAGCAACTGCTTGAGAAAAAATTAGAGTTTTTTTGTCATGTGAATTTCTCACTTATTATGAGTAATAGGATAACTATATTTGGTATATGGATTCCTTGCAATGTCTAAATGTCAGTCAGTTTGACATGGTTCACCTGACCTCGACCTCATTTTATGGATCAGTGATCAAAAGTTTGGTGGTCAAGTCTGTATCTCAGATACTATAAGCAATAGGTCAAATACACGATTGTAAGGTGTATATGTCTGTTGGGCAGGGTTCATCTGACCTTGACTTCATTTTCATGGTTCATCGGTCAATGTTAATTTTTCATGGTTTTGTCAGTTTATTAGGTACATTAAGCAATAGGTCGACTATATTTGGTGAATGGAATGATTGTAAGGTGAACATGTCTGTCTGGCAGGGTTCATTTGACCCTGACTTCATCATTATTATTCAATTATGATTAGAAAATAAGCAGGTGAGACATTTCATCATATGCATTCTTGTTTGTAAGACATGCTTGATTTTTGTTGGTCTATCACCAAATTGCCATAATATCATGTATCTTTATTTGTGTTTCAGAGACCATGGGCTGTTAGAAGAATTTGCTGGAAGATATTCCAATGAAATATGGCCAAAAGTTCATTCCTTTTTATCCACAAAGACAGAACCATTACAGTATACACATTATGGAGAATGATTAGTTTGAGTTATCTCCCTTGTACTGAACACATTTGTGCAAAGGCTATCTCATGTACCATACATTTTTGCGCATAGTAAAATATCTGGCTTCAAAACTACAATATTACATATTGTACCTATTAGTTATGGATGCCAAATTTTAGGATTTGCTTTGTACTAAACAAGATAATTGTAGTCATAGAAATTCATTGGAATATTACTATGTGTTCCTAAGATATGATTTTTTAACCAAAGTCATTCAATCATAAAAAAGTATTTTAATGCTTCCTTTTTTTTACCTAAACATTTTTTAAATTCTTTTTGAATTATGATCACACTAGTGTTTGATATGTTTTACAGTTTTGGATGTTACTTTTTCATCATTTTATTATATTATTGTTAATGTTATATATCTTTTGTATATCTCAATGCAATATTTCGGTACGTCTTATTTTGGCTCTACTACTGTATTTAGGAGGATTTTTACCTGTCATAATATAATGTAACCCTGAATATATCAGATTCTATTTTTTTTTTAACTTCAGTGTTGTGCTCATATTTTTGTACATAGATAAAGTGAATCAAGTGTTTACTCCAAATGGATGTGGTTTGTGTCTAATTAAGTGCTAGTCATTGTTATTAGTATATCAAATATGTTGTTATATATATTTGATATTTGTACATATGTATTTTGTAGCATTATTTTATTATTCATGTTGATAAATGAAATTTTCATCTACACATTTCAATATTATATAAATCTTATTTGATGCCATATTATAAAAATAAAAATTGAAATGATTTGCAAAAATGAATTCTAGTTACATTATTTCTCTTAACAAATGGGTTTTCTTTCTTTTTATCTCTGCTTTTACAAATTCTTTATTGCCCTATCTAATTGTTAACAACTTTCTATCAAGTACAACCAATCTATGTAGTTTTATTCTTGTGTGTTAAATTTTCTTTATGTTTGTTAGGATACATCTTTTGTTACAAAATCAAAGCCCAATGAGTAAAATCCTATATTTTTCCTTATTATTTTGGATAGACATAAGTCTAAATAATTTTCATTTGAATGTTACATTTTTCTTGCAGAATTACTTACTTGGCAAGCTTTTAAGTTAGTACAGAAGGATTTATTTGTTCCTGCTCTTGTATGGAATTTAAAATGGTAGCCTTTAATTCTTGCTGCATTGTAACTTGCAATAATTGGTACATCTGGTATTTTTCTTACAGTTCATTTTTTTTTTTAAATTCTATCTTTGTATAAACAAATAATTTTGATCAGATCATTGAATTAAATTCCAATATTTGGAACACTGAAAATTCAGAAATTATTGCCAAAAAATGCAAGAGTATCAGATTCTCAATAATAAAAACCTTATTTATAATTGTAGTAGTGATTTTCCTTCACAAAATTTTTACAATCGAATTAATTAGATTTTGTATTTTAAACAGTACCTAAGGATTTGCTATGTCAAATGTAACTGCAAATGAAAATTTCTTTTCCAACAGCATTGAGGCAATCTTTTTTAATATTAAGCAAATATTTTAATAAAATTAACATCTGATACAGTGTGTTATATTTCTCATTTACACATATAAATGGTATTTTGTGTGTACAAATACATATATATCTGTATCAAGAGAGCATGATAAACTCATTGTCCCAATCCTCAAATAAAACATCTGTCATCAGGTCACATCTGTTAAATATTGAAAAACATCAATCCAACATGTTTCAACATTAACTAAACTAAAATTTGTTACTGAACAACACAAGGTTCCATCCATGTATGGCCTTCCTGAATAACACCAGAAACCATGAAACTTTCAATTTGTATGTGCCACTTATAAATGTTCAACTACAAAAACACAATGTATCCACTTCTTCTCGCTAGTACTCTTACAACCATTATTAAGGACTTTGTTATCAACTATCGTGACAAAGTACATTTGTGTATATGTTAATTATGGTATTTGATATTTCCGCAGTGCAAAAACTTCAGAAACATTCCTTTGAAGGTCACCTTGCATAGTTATATTTATTTTGTTTTAACGACAATGTATACTGTCATTGATTGGTTTTCCAAAGGAGTCTAACTATGACCCATTTCTTGGAGATTTATAAACCCCTAACTAAAACCTTTGTAGATATTTTTAACAATACCTGCATATATCTAGACACTATATTCTCTGAAAACAATTCAAATGTTTTTTTCTAGATATACAAATGAAATGTATCCACATCAACTCTTTATTACTAACTCAAACATTAATAATAAGAGATGTCCTTTTTTACTTTCATTTAAGAATTTTATTTGTGGTAATCTTCATACCACAATTTGTCTTGAACATACAGGAAATATTTGCCACTGGGCATTAAGCAACCAACAATATGATTTTTGGTGTTTTAACGCCACTTTTAAGCACCACTTTTGGGCTATTTCGTGGCTGCCAGTTTTTATTGGTGGAGGAATCTGGAGTGCCCGGAGAAAACCACCGACCTTCGATAGGAAAACTGACAATCCTAGTCAATTAAGATTGAAGTCGAGTGCACCCGCACGAGCGGGGTTCGAACTCACAACCTCAGTGTTGACTGGCTAGTGATTACAGTAGTAACTACTTAGACCACTCGGCTACCGAGGCCCCTGCAAACAACAATAAAAATTATGAATAACATGATGACTTTTCCTTTCAAATTGTTAATTTTCCTCTCCTTGATTGTGATACTGGTATTCCATTTGCTCCTTTTCATGGAGTGCAATTCTCAGTTGGTTCAATATGCAGTTGCAATGGCATCTGATTATTTTCATTACTGAAAACTTTTATAGCAGGGATATGTATCATGAATTAGTTGAATCCTTGAATTAATTTTTTTAATGATAAAGTGGTATTTCACATCCAAGCTTATTGTAATATATACAGCTAAAAATTTTAAAGAATTTTTAGATCTACCTACTGTTCATTAACAAAAAAGTTATCAGATGACTTATAGGAGTTATTGCCCTTTAATGATGAATTTTACCGATTATTTTATTTTTATTTTTGCCTATTACCTTAAAACTATAACAGATAAAGAAAAAACTTTACATAGCAAAAATGATCAGCAAGACAAGATCTACAAATAATCCAACATGGCTGAAATTTTCAGTCAACTCCTTATTGGAGTTATTGTCCTTAAATGACAATATTTACCATTTTTTTACATTTTTTGCTATTATCTTTAAAACTATTTAAGACAGATGTAATTTTTAAATAAGAAAATAAATCATCAAGACAAGATATACAAATAGGTCAGAAAGGTCGAAATTGCCAGTCAGCACCTTATAGGAGTTTTTGCCCTTAAATTACTATTACTATTTACTATCCTAAAATGATGATTTTATTTTTTACACATTTTGTGTTTTAACTAAAAACTATAGATGATAAAAACTAAACAGAAAAAATTATCAGAAATACAAGATCAACAAAAAAGAGATTTTAGTCATGAATTATATTCTAGTCTACAATGTTGGAGAGTGGCCATTGTTGAAGATGCATATAGATCTAGGTGAGTAACACATGCTCTTTAGAGCCTCTAGTTACTTTTGTTAGTCTAATGATGGAGAATAAAAAAGGAAGGTTTAAGATCTAAATAGAAATATTTTAACCCTGTCTGTGACCTGTCAGTGGTTATCTTGTCATATCTTTTTATTTTTATTTTAAGAATATGGTGTTAATGGTAAATCTTTGATAGTCTGTTTTTGTTTATAATTTTTTTACATGCAGGGGGATTTAGAGATTGACATAATTTAAAGACATCTGTCTATTGTTTAGGACTATTTGTTGACTTTTAGATGTAGTTGGGTCAATTTTGTTGATGGGTTGCCATATTTCTTTGACCTATACCTTCATCTAATATTTATATTTATGAAGTTCCATAACTCTGCAGCGGCAACATGTTTAATTGTTGAAATTCTAATAGAGCTTTCTTTCAACTTTTTGGAATTTCACATCAATCAATGCAAGATACTTGAATATTTGTACAAATTAAAAGAAAATATATAATAGGAATTTTCTACAAATATTCAAACCAGAAATTATTTATTTGTATAACAAACATAGCATTAAAAGATTTGATTATGTTAGCTAAAAATAGGGGCCATATTGGGGCATTATCAAATGGACTCCTTTAACACCCAAGGAAACATTTACAGTCATTTGTTATATATGTTCACTTTTCAAGGATTAACAACTGATTTTACAAAATATGAAAATTAGAATCAAGGATATACATATTTTCATAGAAATAAACCTAATTGCATACATCCCTTTGATACATTGAACCAGAAAACTCAATCACTTAAATAATTCATTTCATATATCAGAATTATGTTGAGTATCCAGGTGTCTTCATTACAACAGAAAAGAAATTAACATTCAATATTTTACCATATGTAAAAATCTTAGACCAATAAAATGTGCGTTTCAAATTTGGCCATGAATATTTCATTTTCATAAATTGATAACAAATAGGAATAACTTTAAATATATGAGATTTTATCACCAATTTAAATCACTCTTTTTCTTTCAAGATTTAAAAATTCAGTACTAACTGACTACATGTATTTAAAGATCATGGAGTTCACATATAAAAAAAGATTGAAAGTTTCTTTAAAGCCTACACATAACTGATCAACCGAGGTAAAATATGTTAGTAAATTAAGTTATGTAATCTGAAAAGTTTGATAAAGGACTCACTGTGGATGATAAGATAAAAATAAGAAGTTGTGGTATGATGATTGCCAATGAAACAATCAGAGACCAAATGACATAGAACTATAGGACACCGCCAGAAATTCATTTTAGCCTCATTTTATGAGCATTCTCAAAATATATTTCCATTGTCTCCCAATACATTATAAGAGTTTAACTTATAAAAAAAATACTATTTATTATCCTGAGGCCAGATAAACCAAACCGGAAATACATGTACACCTTACAATCATTCCATTCCATTCCAGATCTATTGCTTATACTTTACAAGAAACAGACCAAACCATGAAAACTTTATATCTACCAATGAACTATGACAATGAGGTCAAGGTCAGATGATCCCTGCCAGACAGACATGTACACATCACAATCATTCCATACATCAAATATAGCTGACCTATTGCATACAGTATTAGAAAAACAGACCAAAACACAAAACCTTAACTTAAATCACTGAACTGTGAAAATGAGGTCAAGGTCAGATGACACCTGCCAGTTGGACATGTACACCTTACAAGCATTCCATACACCAAATGTAGTAGACCTATTGCTTATAGTATCAGATATGGACTTGACCACGGCAACATAACCTTGTTCGCTGCTCCATATTACGTTATTTTCAAGTTGTCACTGAACCATGAAAATGAGGTCAAGGACCATGGACAATTGACAGACAGAAGCTTAATAACATAAGGCATCTATATACAAAGTATGAAGCATCCAGGTTTTCCACCTTCTGAAATATTAAGCTTTTAAGTAGTTATAGATAACGCCACCACCAGATTCTATCCCTATGTCTCGTTTTCTGCGACAGAAGTCGCAGGCTCGACAACAACCGACACTTACTCAGGACAAGCACATGAACAACTTTAACTTATTAAAAAATGCAGAATGAAGGTTGCTTTTTTGGAAAGCTAATACATATCTTTATACAATATATTATACTGTTTATTGTAATGATATTAATAAATATATATTTTTCTATTAGCAAGTTTGCTTTTTAATAATTTTTCAGGGCAGATGTATGTTCCTCATGTAATAACGCTCCATCAAAAATAAAGAATTTTGTTAAAAAAAATGTTTCTTCATATCATTTTTATCAGTTTTCTCTAGAATATCAAATAAAATAAAATCCATATTCAAATGTTATTCAATTTCTATATTTTCAAAAAGATCAAGGAGTCTTCCCATAATCTAGATATACATGAACAAGACCAAAATATATGTCCTATTGTTTCAACTTCACTTATCATTCAAATATTAGTGTTTTGCAGCTTTATCTTGAAGAGGAAATAATTTGTCCATACAATTCTATGAGTTTATCAGAGCCACTGTAATTTATACATTGTATTAACAATTTAACTCGACACCGTTTTTGTTCTCATTTTGTGTCAGGTTTGAAATTTTACAGTATATAAATAACATTAAACATATCTTTTGAGTCTATTGGAGATTTTAAAAAAAATCGTTTTATAACTGTGGGCATCATTTGACATTTTACCTTCTCTAAATTATTTAAACATATATTACATACTTTTAAATATTTTTTATTGCAGAAATTGCACCTTGAAATGAAGGTAAATTAGTTTTGATATTGTATACTGTTACACATCATTAAGTTTATCACAAGTCAGGAATTTCCATTATTCATTCAAGATGTCATTCATCCACACACCCGTTTTGGTCCAATCTCCCAAAAAAAATACTTTTTGATACCAAATCATTATTTCATCCATTCTTCCATATATATTACATGTGTTAATTTGAGACTTATCTTGTAAACAAGTATATTGTTTAATGTGGATATCATTCC